GGATGATCCCTCTCTAATTAGATTAGAGACAAACTGAGGACTTGGTGTTGGCTAGACGGGTTCGAGAAACTTAACGCCCGTATTCACAAACATTACTATGAGGTCTCACAGTGCGCGTGGACGCAGTGGGTGACATACGAACCAATCACAGAGCTCTATTCAACGCTGTGCGTTCGATTTGCTACTTCACTTAAGCAAGCATCGTTTGTGAATACCGTCGTGAGGCTCTCCGATCGCATTTTTTCTACACACAGTAATAATCAATAATTAGCTACAAGATAATAATATTTCTCCATAAAACAAAACTTAAACTTAAAGTGATTTCGAGTACCCAGCAAGTGGTACACCTCATTACCATATAACGCACAGGGGATGCCCAAACATTGATCCAGATGGTTCGCCGATTAGCTCTATTACGTCTGGAATATTCACCGCGAAGCTTACTCGAGTATGTAATGCATTACTTGGTATTATTATTACAGCTGCATAACATCGAACTTGGACATTGGAACTAAAATTAGTGAAGTTATGACATGAAAGAACTAGACTAAAAAGTATTTGTAATTTAATGCTAATTTAATACGCAGTTCTGGAGAATCGTCTAACCTTTAAATAAATTAACAATAACTTAAAATTAGTATAATGGCAACTGGCAATGGTCAGGGCACATAGTACACAGAACTGACGGTCAGTGGGGCAGCCAGTGGTTCTGGAGTGGAGGCCGCATACTGCATGCATACATAGGAATAGGCACATATTACCTATTAACAACCAATGATCCTATTACCTATGTAATATTATGCGAGTAAGAAATATATTGCCAGTCAATATTTTATACGTAACAGTGATATAACGATCCTAACTAGCTCATATTACCCGTTGAAATACGTAATATGTGTTATAACAGTTATGTATCAATTAAATTCTCCTACTGAGCATAAACTACTAATTGAACCTCTACCAAATTACAAGTGGTATCGTTCGACGAATCTAGAATCAGTATTACAGATCGAATATTGGAATAAACTAGTAATTAGTTAGATCTTGTATACTTAAATTTTGCTAGAAAATTGCTGAACTCTAGCAAAATTGTGGGTGGAGTTTCGTAAAATCTGTTCTTAGTGAGCACTAAGAACGGATTTTTGAAAGGTAAAACGGGATCCACGCGTACAAAATCGCGGACGGCCGCTAATAGGTATTGCTGGCGTTTATGCAATTTTATTTATCTCTTTCTTTTAAGAAAATAATTCAATGGGTGTGTTTGTGTGTGTAAAGCCAATTGTACAGTCACGGAATGAAAAGGTTCGTCAGTTTTCAAATTGATTCCTTCAACGAATCGCGGGCACATATTACCTTTTGAAACTATGTTACAGAATAATCTGGAGTTAGAGAAAATAATCTTTAACTGTTCGTCAGTAAAGTTCAAAATTATTCAGATCAAAGTTGTTTGACGATTTATCTTGTCAAGAAGATTATTATGATTGATAAACTAAAACCTTCTTGTTGGTTCAAGCTGCCATTATTATTTCTATTAAATAAAAAAAACTATTGTCAATTGAGAATGTTACTAGGTATGCAAAATCACTTGAAACCTATGTTACAGTTAAGCTTTTACATTTACAAATACATTAGTTTTTATTTCATTCAAAAATACCCAGTAGTTATGATTTTATAGGCATTCAAAGTTCGCATAAATATTGAGTCCCGCCGACGGTCACGTGACCCCGTGTGACGTACATTCACAGCGTCCGCTCACTAGAAAACGGATATAAACATACTTAAATATTTTTTTTTTTGTAAATACAAACTTATTATACATATTAACACCCAGACCCATTACAGAAATTAAAATTGAACCAAACTCAAACTTGATGCGATTGTGTCGTTTTATTGCGAATTACNGACCCCTAAAGTATTTGATTACAATGTTCTCTTTAGTACTCATAAAAGTGTATGTTAGTTAGGCATGCATCATCTACTAGTGAACGCAGTGTTCGTACGCAGTGGATGATGGATAGATCTGAGCCGGATTACCTTCCGAGCGAACACCCACCCCTGTTTGTGTAGCCAACTGGAACAAAATTTATGATTGTTTCTTGCACTGCACTAATAAAAATACTAGTGTTTTAATTATAAAAAGTCTCCGTTTATGAAGTAACAAAGACACACACGACAGCTCTTCAAACTAGGTACCTAAACGTTCTCGTTGCAAAATAGCAATTCAAATACTACTTACTAAATAAGATGGAGCTTGATGCGCCACCATCTTTACAATCTTTACTCCAAGTAGGGACGATTTTCCAATCGCCTGGGGTGCAGGAAAAAGACATATTCATGGAAAGAAAAGAAAAATATTAAAAATAGGCCTTTAAAGAAAAGTAATTTACATCTGACTAAAAAGTTTGAACTGCAAAACTACTTATTTTCAGTTTGGTATTGAAAATCTTTAAGTACCTTTGAACGACTTTACAATTTTAAGTTTAAGTTTTAAGTCATCGTTAAAATAATATTTTTTGCTGAATATTTTTTATATGGACAAGTAAGTAGGTAAATAAAATGTGCTGTAACAGTTTGGAAATAAAGTTCTACAGCGAATGGAATTCTAGAAATCACGCTCGGCCCTATAGGTGAGTCAGACCAAGCGGGTATTTCCTAGTTTTCAAAGGAGAACCAATTGAATTGTCGGTAAACCTGCTATTGCCTATTTTGTTCCGCCCTCGTATCGGTTGTTTTTCCCTATAACCCTCTATTTTGTACCAGTATGCGATGATTGATTGTTCAAGTTGACTTCCCTTTTGTTTCCAGGAAATGGTGCTTATTTAGGATGTTTTGCTATCAACTAACAATGATATACGAATACGAGCCCTATTAATTCCCTTTATTTAGTTGTATAATATGACTGCTCAGTATTTAATCCTTTTAGGCAACACTATTATAAATATGTCTAAATCTAAGTTTAATAATTATCATAATCCTTGATCATGACTTTTCACTAGGTGAAATGCAGACCAAGAGCTTATTCTTGGCAATAATATTTTTAGTAAGTAATTTTCGATTTTATTTGTAGTTTTTCATTAACACTTTAAAAATGTAGAGGGAAAGGAAATACTACTCGATAAAATGAAATAGGGATGGAATTAAGGATAGTTTTTCACTATTTTATAATGGTAAAAGTAACGATTACAATGAATAGAATAGAAACTGGCAAGAAATTCTGGAATTTGATTTAGTCAGGTTAATTTCGGGAGTTAACTCACACCAATTGTGTATATTGCGAAGGAGAATAGTCCAAATCCGAACAACGGTTGCCTTGATTACTTTCTGAAAAGTGGGGATGGTGCACGTGGACAAAACATAAGTGCATAAACTTAGGCCGGGTGTACACGAGGTACGATGCAATGTGAACTGTGCAAGAAGTACTTCATTGTTGACTTCAATAAATTAAAATCTTTAACGCATTATAATCGACACATTACCTCATAAAATCCTATCTATTTCTTAGTGTAGTTATCAATATAATTTATAATAAGTAAAAAAAACTTACTTCACAAACGATGCTTGCATGAGTGAAGCAGCAAATCGAACACACAGCGTTGAATAGAGCTCTGTGATTGATTCATGTGTCACCCTGTGCGTCCACGCGCACTGTGAGACCTCATAGTAATGTTTGTGAATACTGGCGAAAGACATTAATAACTCCGTAATAAAAATCTTAGCTATCCATCTTCATTTAATCAAGGTCTTATGTACTTAGTTTTCGAACGATTCTCTGCTTTTTCACAGCTGATCGAGATGCGAAACCTGATGTGTAGCCGCGGCCTTATAGGTTAAGCTAGGTACATACTTCTTATTGTTCGCGCTTGTTCTAAAAGCGGGTACAATGTTCCTATGTATGGTGCCTGTAACAAGTTCTAGTAACGAACATTTAATCATGCGAAAGAATTACCATCGTCATACATCAACCGTAATGATATCACCATGACACATGATACTAGTAATCACAGTAAGTATGAATGATGGTTTGGATGTAGATGAGTCACGTGTAAAAAAGTTCTATGTAGTGAAATGTACTTTATCATCGATTAGTAAGTTATATGTATAAATAAGAATGATAAGATTAGTAGGTACATACTTACGATAATATTTGTAATATGAGAACTTTGATTAGTATGGGGTCTGTTAAATATTTCGATTGCATTATTTGCAAACATGTTTTTGTTGTCAATTTATTAGTTCTAGAGATTAACCGTACTTCATATGAAATTGATTAAGTTTGTTGTCCTGCTCCAAATTAAAACAAAAGACTACAGGACTGAATTTGATATTGTATTACCACGTAGCTTCTGGATTCGGGAAATTAGTACTTTTTTTTTCGGAAATGTAGAGACTCAAGCGAACATTGAACGCTTTTCTCATGTAATTGCACCAAGCACTACTCAACACATCTGGCGAACGTAATCTTGTTATGAGGAAAAACTTTCTTAATAAGAACGCTGTTTGGTTTCTAGTTATTTCCCTCCACAGTTATCGCCGTTAGAGAGAACGATCAAATAATTACTGTATCTGGCATTAGATGTTTCTTTCTATAGGAAAATTATTTACTTTCTCTAAGCGAGATGAACTAAGCAATACTAAGAATAAATAAAATTTCTTAAGTCTTTATCAGCGGATATGTATTTATAGAACTATAAATAAATAAATAAATCTTTGGACAATTTCACACAGCGCCAGCTAGCCCCAAAGTAAGCAACTTAATGCTTGTGTTATGGGTGCTAGTTTAACGGATATACTACTTATATACTTTTTTTTTTAAATACATAAATATTATACATAGTCACACCCAGACCCGTCACAGAAATTAAAATTCATCATTTCAATTTCTGCCCGGCCGGGAATCGAACCCGGGACCTCTCGTCATAGTAGTCCGTTCTGAACCACTACACCAAACGGCCGACAAAACTATGTAGTCTAAGCACTTATAAAAGGAAAAATTCTTAGGATAAAAGCAATAACTGTATTGTTTGATATCAGAAACACATAATAGGTCTTGTTTTAAATACAAAATGTACGAGTAATTACATCACAATTTTAAGCACCATGTTCGATTCTTCTAGCAACTTCAGTGAACTTTTCTTGTGTTTTGCCATTTGTTCTTCGTTGTTGTCCATCCATTGTCCATTGCATTTGCAGTACTAGTAAGGTTTGACAGGGTGGAAGCCAGGGTTCGGCAGGGGAGGGTGTTCTACGTAGCCTGGTGGATGATGCGGTGGGGGTGGGTGAGGATGGTGGTGTGGTGGAGGGGGAGGATGATGGTGGTGTGGTGGCCCATGATGAGGTGGCCCATGATGAGGTGGCCCATGGTGGGGAGGCCCATGGTGTGGTGGCCCATGGTGTGGTGGCCCATGGTGTGGTGGCCCATGGTGTGGTGGACCATGGTGTGGTGGCCCATGGTGTGGTGGGCCATGGTGAGGTGGACAATGGTGGGGTGGCCCGTGATGACCTTGGCAGTATGGCCCGCAAGGTGGCTGCACGTGTGGGGGCGGCATAACTGAAAAAAAAGGCTTTTATTCACTACTAGCTTTCCGCCCGCGGCTTCGCCCGCGTGGAATTTTGTCTGTCACAGAAAAACTTTATCGCGCGCGTCCCTGTTTCAAAAACCGGGATAAAAACTATCCTATGTTCTTTCCCGGGACTCAAACTATCTCTATGCCAAATTTCATCAAAATCGGTTGCGAGGTTTAAGCGGGAAAGCGTAACAGACAGACAGACAGACAGACAGACAGACAGACAGACAGACAGACAGACAGAGTTACTTTCGCATTTATAATATTAGTTGGGATAAATTGATACGATTAGGTATTCGAAAGATGGAGCCACTCTTAATAACAGTGACCACTCAAAAAAATTGTTGGGTACTATAGTACCCGGAAGGGTCAAGTGGTTGTTGTTACTATATAAAATCACAGCTAGAACGAACAAAAAACACCTGTTGTCATGATGTCTATTGAAAAAAAGTTTATCATAATCAGAGAGCTGCGTATTAGATAAATCAATAGGTACTTATAGGTTTATCAGTATAAAGCTAAAGTTACTTGTGGTAAGAAATAAAAATTAAAAAAAGTAATATTCATTAAAAAGTTTATATTTACTTTTTGACTACGTATTGGAATACAGTTTTGTTACTCACCTCCTTGTTTATATTTCTTATCAACTTCTACACTTTTTGTTGGTGAATAGTGAATACCAAAACCAGTTCTCTGTACAATCTTTCAAACACTAAACAATTATCGAGTGGACCTTGTTTATCAACCTTTGCTATAATCTATAATTATTCCCCTTCTCTGAGATAACGACATTACCGAAAATGAAACCTTAGTGCTACATTCACAAGTTACAGAATGCCAGATTTCAGTATTATCAACCTTTTTTACGAAACTGATAAGATTGATCGATATACGGACGAAGTATGTGTATGTGATTAATTGCAAAGTTTGTTTTCAGGTATAGGCGCTTATCAATTTCTATAAGGACCTAATAAAGATGAAAACTTCAAAATTCAGTACTCTAGATTAGATTATTATTATTATAGTTGATCCAAAACTTAACTTAGTTGGTTTCTAAGGGAAATAATCCAAAAGAATAAAGCATTTAAACCAGACCTTTTTATTTGACAAACTAAACAAGGAACCATAAAATAGAAATTTTAAATAACAGGATTATAATTTATACATTCAACCAGAATAATAAATAAAGATTCTATATATTTTACAATTTACTTTTAATCCGCTCTACCGTGGAATTAATTTTTTGTGAATGATTCACTTTAAATAAGTGCGTCATAGGCAGGACAGGAATCGTCGTAAAATGAAATAAGCATGTAATAATGAGTTAAATTTTACTTTGTGCACTTGAACAAGCAACTAAATTATTTATATGTATAATCACCAATTTTAAACACATTTCAGTCAGATCTTCTTTGTAAACTCTTGTTCATTATCAATACTAGTCCATTCAATTTGCAGTTAGCGGTGGTGTGGTGGGCCGTGATGTGGTGGCCCATGGATGTGCGGTGGACCATGGTGAGGTGGACCATGGTGCGGTGGACCATGATGGGGTGGACCATGGTGGGGTGGACCGTGATGTGGAGGCCCGTGGTGGGGAGGACCCCAATGGGGAGGCCCGTGGTGTGGTGGTGGGGGCGGCATAACTGAAAAAGAAGGCATTTTTATTATATTTCAGGCTAGGTTGGTAAAAAACCGAATTTGCAGTTTATCATATTCGGTTCGATTTTTTTTATAATGCACACTGGAAAAAGTCACCTTTTAATAACTTAATTAGGTACTTAGCTCATGCCAAACTAAACTGGTCTAAAGGAAGAACAAATTGATATCCTTCCTTCAGCCCAGCCCAGTTTAGATTTTAAGCTGTTGCTATTCAATTAGTTAATAATTTACATTCTGATTAGTGAAAAAAAGGTTTGTTTAACTTACCTCCTAGTGTTTTATTCCTTATCAACTGTTACACTGTTAGTTGGTCAGAACAATAGTTTGTTCTCTGTGCTATCTTTACGATACTGAACAAACGCCGAGTGGTCGTTGTTTATGTACATCTGGTATAATCTATATTTATTACTTTTTTCTTGGATAGTGATATTACTAAACAATAAACCTTATTGTCATAGATGTAAGTCAGTTTTCCATGTGATCGGTCTCTACTGCGGAAATGATAAGATTTATCGATACGGAATATTGTTTAGTGATTCATTCCGAATTGTGTTTTCACAGTTGTTTTAGTTATAGACATCGATTTCTCTACCTATAAAGAAAAAGTCATTAAATCGCAGCGGATTATCTAAGGTAGAGCATGAAATGCTCTAAGTTAGGTAATAGAGGTTTACATACAACATAACAAAATAATAATTCATACTCATGAGGTACCTACTTGATACAATAAATCTATAATAAAAATAAAGTTATTAGAAAGCGTACTTAGTTTTTATAAAATAACTTTTTAGTCCTGGTCCAATTACATAGTTTAGAATTACGTGCTAAAAATTGAAAATCGTGGGTATAGAAAAAAAAATATAAACAGCTAGTCCACTCTACTGTAAAGTTTTTGCAGATGACTCCCTATAGTATGCTGGAATCATCGATAGGTACCTATTATTCGTATACTGGATTGACCATCAAATAAAAAGAGAAATCTAAAAATGAAAGAGGCAGGTCCAGTGTTAGTGAGGTTTATTTTATCTATACGTTTTATATAAAAGTAATTTTTAAATCAACTTATTATGTGAACTCTTGTTCTTCTTCATATTGGTCCAGTCCACTTCTAGTCTGCTAGTGGTGTGGCGGGGGTGGGTGTGGTGGACCATGAGGGGGTGGCCCGTGGTGAGGTGGACCATGAGGTGGTGGCTCGTGGTGGGGAGGACCATGTGGAGGAGGCCCGTTTGGTGGTGGTGGCGGCATAGCTGCAAAAGAAGGTCTTTTATAGTACCTAAATGATGTTTCATTATTTTTTTCGTTAATTTAAAAAGGATAGATTGACTGGTAATATTTTTCACTAGATTTAACAAAATATGGTTCGTTAAAAACTTTGAATGATGCTCATTTGAAATTTTATCATCATCATCATGAGATTATTTAGTTTTCATTGCAGGCTACTCTATCTCGGCCATTCTCACGATCAGGCGTTCTCAGCCTAATTACCATATCATTTTTGAAATTTGGCTTAATTGACTTAAATGCATTTAAATATAAAACTCATGAAAAGTACGAATTTAACAATCGTAAAGGCGTCAAATTATTCAAAGCGGTTTTCGCGTAAATGAGATCCAAAAATTTTATGGTCACGGTAATTAGATAAGGCTAATACTTAATCTAACGGTAATTAGAAAAGATATGTAAAATAGCAAAAAAACAACATCTTGCATTGATAAATTTGTATACAAATATATAGCGTCATAAAAAACGCTGTAGGTACACTTAATAACCCTTTGCAAAAAGAAAAACACTAATTTCTATTATTTATTGTATTTAGATACTTTCAGTATACTGCAAGAATCGAGGCTATTACAGGAACACTTAGTTTCAGCAAGAAGGGGCTACATGNTTAGTGAACATTCTTCATTGGTCAATGTCATCATTGCATTGCATTGATGGGATAGAAAAATAAACAAGCAAAACCTTATTCGTTAGCAAACGTCATATTTATTTAAATGTTAGCAGCACTGTTTCTTGCACTGTTATGTTGGCAGGTTTGACTCTTACAGTACCTAGTGCAAGCGAAAACCGACACTAAGGTGACGAACCTTTTCATTCCGCGACTGTACATGAAATTGGTGACGTGAACTTATAATGTTACAGTTCTTGAGTGACTTTCCACTTTAAGATAACGTGTTCGAGAGAAAATAACTTTTTTTCGTCAAACATCAATAAGTCCTGTAAATATTCCATCATATCTCTGTGTGTCTTGTCATAATGGCTGATGATAATCTTATTAACATTATATAATTTTCAACCGACTTCAAAAAAGGAGGAGGTTCTCAATTCGACCCGTATGTTTTTTTTTTTTTTTTTTCTATGTTTGTTACGCGATAACTCCGCCAATTATGAACCGATTTGAACAAATGTTTTTTCTGCGTATAGGTAATACCTCAAGGGTGGTCCCATTTAAATTTAATAATAGAAAGTGCGTATGCCGAAACAGGTATTCGCTGTAGCCGTGATAAGAGCTATTTTACAACGAAATTGTCTCATCTAATGTTCTGTTCACTGTACTGTACATTGGTGTACATACACCATACTATAGTTACATTGTTCTATGCAAAATTAGCCGAAGCCTTGTAGCTGTTTCTTGACACGAAGCCTGTTCTCAATGTGCAGTACTAATTACCGCAGATCATCCTCTTAGAGGCATCCTGCGAAATTAATACGCTTTGATACAGCTTTGAAGTTTTAATTCATGGGCGGCAGCGATTTTACTGACAACTGGTCGCCACGTATTGCTCTGATGGCGCAGTTACACTATGCGAGAAAATTGATTGAGATGTATAGTGTAAACACGCACTTTAGTTAGTTTCGTCGTGCGTCGCCCATACTTTGATGAGCGGGCACGCACTTCGTCTCGCTCAAAATTAAAATCAAAAATATTTTAATCAATTTTAACCAATATTTTGGCACTTATGATCGTCAAAAATAATAAATAAGGGTTGTAGAGATACTTACAGTTCTCCGCACGATCTCCCGCCATCTCTCTCTGTTGGCAGTCTGCCTGATGCAGTCACATACGCGGTTTCCCACTGCTGATTTTACTTGGTCACTTTACAAGTTTACCACAAGGACGTCTAAAATAGTTGTAAATGTTTTTTTTTTTTCAACAATTGTAATTTTGTAAAATCTAAGGCGGAGTTGCAAAGTAAGACTTTAACAAAAGTCTAAAATCTGTCAAACTCCATACAAAAAGCACCGGTTATCGTTACAGTAACGGTTAATGTTAGGTGGTGCAACTCAGCCTAAGACTTACGAATTATGAATGACACTTGAAAAATCCATAACTCCTATGATCTTTTGAGATATTGAAAATGTAGGTTAGGTGATTACTAGAAATATAGGAAATCGCTGTACACTTTTGAATTGCCCCACAGTTTAATACGATAGGATTAAGCTACCATATCAGAACATGTATTTACTGACCGAGACTCGAATGCATGTATATTACACTGCAATCCCACATATTAGGGGCATTATAGATGATCTTAGTTGGTAATTGTTTGCTGGATTGATAGCAGAGACCTTTGACGTAGGTATGTATAATAATTTATCAATGATTATAATGGACGATGATGTAGATTAATATGAAATAATTTATGTGAAAGCTAATAACTCTAACATAAATAATGTATCATTTCTAGGCAAAACTCAATCAATGATCCCATAAATTAAACTTTTCAAAGCATTTTCTGAACTTGATCTTGGTTTTCTAGTCCAGCTATTGTTACATACAAGGTCTTAATTTTGGAGAATAATTTCTACCCCTATTTACAATTACAATTCTTATCATTCTGTAAATCAATTTTGTGATCACAATCTCTTTTTTTTTTCACTTTTTCGACATTTTAAAAAACGCGTTCCGCTTCACACTTGTCCCATTCAATAATACGAGGGTATTAAGCAGCTCTATTAGTACACGCATTGTTCTCAAACTCCTGTCTTTTAAATGGCTTTAACGATTCCTATTATCTTTCAGCTAAGAATGTTCCTTTACAATCCTTTAATTTTTATTTTCTGGTGTTGGAATTTTTATAAATAAACCTTATTTAAGTAGTTTCACCCGAGGACAGTCCACTACTAGACACAACCACAAACACAACCCTCTCTCAAGTAACACTAAAGAGTACACATTTCCTACTTCTAATCATCTTGAGTTCGTCTTCATGTTCTGGAAGACAAAATGATCTGATGATGAATAGTTACTAGGTATTGAATATTGTGCTCCACTTTATTCAATCATCACTTACCACCAGATGATATTTAGGTGTCAAAAACAGACTCAGTCTTACATTCAAAGACTTACATTTAGTTCTGAAATCAAAATAGTTTTGGACCCGAAAAAGATTACTTTTCCATTGCATTTCATAGTTCGTTACTTTTCCATCATAATTAAATTCAGAGCCCTCCCGATTCACAAAGGCGCATAAAATTATTAATATCTTTTAAAAATCGCTAAAAACCCGTTAAAAACTTAACTGGTGCTCAAGCGAAGCACCAGTGCGCGGTGAAATTAAATTATTTTAATATGAGTGAAGCACTATACTTTTTCCAATATTAATCAATATTCCACAAATTTTTAATTAATGCGAGTTTTTAATTAGTGTGAAAACCACTCTTTCATTAATTGAAATGGTCTGAAATTTAATGAAATCTGATTATTAAAACTTATCTGTAAGTCCTCACTGCACTTGTACAATGATCGTCAATACATCAGACTAACTGCGAGTATTTGTAGCAGAGTCATCTATGCGTAAAATATGCGTATGCTACAGTATTTAGTTTCATGTGCTGTCTACTAAAAATTGTAGCTACTTTGATGTAGTTACCTATCGGTTAAGTTTTAAATGACCTACATAATATGATTGTATATTTACTCCTATATTTTACATTGAATCTGGTAGTAGGGCTTTTATGACGGCCATTTGTTGTCTCATAACAAAATAAACTTCCTTGAAGAAAATTACATTGATATTTCCAGCACCAAATTTTTGTATGACTCAAATAAAACCTTTTTCATACTGACAAAAACACGTCCATAAATTACAGTCGCAACATTTACACCAAAAAGTACTGTTTCTCAAAGATTAATTTCTCAGAGGTCATCGCCGGTGCCCCGAGCAACGCGTTGCCTAATTTCGTTTCATAATTCGTTACGTTGAAAATATGTCCCAGTTCGTTATGAATCTTTGTACTGGCCTATATTATTCTTAGAAAAACAAAAAAAACTTAGGCTTTAGTGCCTAATTTACTGTGTGTGTGCCAAATAAATGATTCTATTCTATTGTTTTTTAAAGAAGATGCTATTATTTCGTATTTCCCTGAGTTTACTAAATAAATTATGTGTTGATTTTATAGAAGGAAATTCAATGAAGTCAATGCAGTTATTATTATAGTAGGCGCCTATTTTAATCATTTAGCAAATGGTCTTACTTTTTCAGTATTTTTTAGTTTTTTAAATACTAGTTTTCAGACGATGACAATTTCATCATAATTCATAAATTTTGCTTAGGTACAGACTTCCAAGAATCGGGTATTTAAATAATATTGTGGTACATAAATGGATTGGTACGGGCATGATTAATGTTTCATGGGTGATAATAAATGTAGTTTAATCAAATATGAAATTATTTTCTAACCGTTGCAATGGAGGGTTCTGGGTGAAGCTCTATTTGTTGGTAGAAACCTCATTTCTACTCATCATCATCAACAGCCCTTTACAGTCCACTGCTGGACTATGAGCCTCCTCCACTATGGTGGAGGGATTTGCCATAATCTCCACGCTTGGCAGGCGGGTTGGAGATCGCAGTTTAAAAGATTGATGTTTTTCAGAGAGCGCTGCTGCCCATTCTCTGTTTGTTGTGTAGTCCCTAAGTCGCCTCTTACGACACCCGCGGGAAGAGTAGGGGTTGGTGACAAATGTATTCTACTCTGCCGTCACCACACGGCGTTTCTACTAACCATGGACAATCTTGTGTTTTTGTACATTGGAATACGTTTGACACTTCGGATAAAATAAAGGAGTTGTGATGTTGATATTCTGCCTGTTATTACTCTGTTATTTAATTAAATAGAATAAATATATTCTAAAACTATTCTACCTTCGGCCTCATAATCACTTCACCCAGAACCCTCAACTAAAAAGGACTGTAATTTCACAAGAATATATATTATGTAAGAACAATATATTTCAGTACAAGGCTAATACTGTTAATCTTGTTTATAATTTCTCTACCACCCTCAAAATAGAGCCCTTCCGTGACCACTAACAGACCTTAGGTTTGCAAACCTCCCACAGGTGTAACATAAATTCCGACGAAGCATACTCCATAGCTCACGCTCGCCCAAGTGGTTTATTAGCCTATAGATCCCAGCTTATCTCGCTTAGCCTTATTTATAGCTCTCCCGACTATTCATTTAAGACGTTATAGCTTTGTTTGGTCATTCTTTTATGTGTTGATAGAGTTTTCGTAAAAATTGAACTTTTTATAGCTCCTGCGGTGTCAGTTTTTCTGATTGCGTTCAGTTGAAGTAAGTATTGTAAGTTTTTAATGGGCGATAAAATATCTTGTTGTGCTTCGATTGGGGTTTTATTGTTGATTTGTTAGTGCGCGTTGAAGTTTTCTTATTGGAAAAGTAGATTTGCTGTTCTTTTGTTGAGGTTGACACTGGACACTGTGTAGGTTTGTTGTGGACACGATTACAAGAAGAATCTTCTTTTTTGTTTTCTTTTGGTTATGATAATTATTATAATTTTGGCTACTCTATGTTTTTATAGAGGCTTTTCTTTCTTACTTTCGTTTGCAATTAGAGAGTCGAATCTTCATCAAACTAAAATGTATATTTTATGGTTATCTCAAAATTTATTCATAACTGCGGATATTAAAATAATAAAGCAGCAAAACCTAAATCCGCTGACCAAATCCTTTAAATAAACAACGTTATGACCACCAAACCTAATTCGGGTTTCATATTTAATTTACGCCAGCGTTATGGCGCGGGTGGATTTGAGGAGGTCGTAATTGTCTTTATGGCACCCCGTTGGCTCGTTGTCCCGAAGGTGAGCCGGTTTCGTTTGCTACTAATTTGCAGCGACATTTACTATTGATAGGGCCAAATAAATGTAATAAAAACTGTATCTCTAAGGCCCAACGACACTCGATGAGGGCTATCGTTTTTATACTTAACAGTTGGCACCCCTGGCGATTGACAGGACCTTACTCTACAGTGGCGCCATCTTGATCAGTGCAAATGCGATAGTCCTCCTACCACTTTAGCGCTCACCAGTTGGTGCCACTGTCTTCGCTACTAGCAAGTGACAGGGCCTTACTCTACAGTGGCGCCATCTTGATCAGTGGTGCGAATGCGATAGTCCTCCTACCACTTTAGCGCTCACCAGTTGGTGCCACTGTCTTCGCTACTAGCAAGTGACAGGGCCTTACTCTACAGTGGCGCTAACTGGTGAGCGCTAAAACGATAGCCCTCATTGTAAATGAAATAAAGTTACTTATACATTCAAGCTTGCTATTGCTGATAGGTATGTTAAAATGCTGACTATGTCAGCTTTGTCAACAGCCCACTCTGCGGCCCGACGAACTGGTGAAGGACACGGGAAAGCAGCTGAATATATTAATCACCTGATTGCGGGCAATGCAAAACCGGGCATTGTGGAAGTCCCAACTGGGAAGGCCTTATTCCATAAAGTGAATCATTTGGTGTAAAACGACGACATACTATGACGATGAGAATTAACACTGTGATTGATTCGTTCGTTACCGTTAAAGCCAAATGACGTCCACTGCTGGACAAAGGTCTCCCACATGAATTTCCACAATGACCGGTCCTGTGTTGCCCGCATCCAGGTAATTCTCACTGTATTTTTAACTTTATTTATTTAATCACAGTAATCAAACATATTCCTTCCTTCGGAGAAGGTATACGAGTACAACATACAAGATAACATGCTGTTGTTGAAAGTTATTTTTTTACTGCTCGCGAGCATTCACCGCTAGTGTAAATGTTCGGAACAAGCGAACTTAATGGAAAACACGGCGAATGTGAATGTGCAATGTGCATTGTTATGCTAGGAACAAACAGTTTGTTTATTTACTTTGTGGAGTTGCGTATTTGGCTCCATGTTTCGACGTATGGTAAAATTTTCAGTAAGAGCTGTGCTATTTTTTACCTGGAGCATTCAGTTGATTTTCCAATTTACTAACATTTTTCAGGAACTTCTTTGTAAAGCTCTCGACAACGTTTGTTTCAATTAAGAGACATGTATACTCCAAAAAAGTATTAGAGACAACAAATTACAGCTAGCCAGCGCTACAGTTTTCAGAAATATTTTATTTATTATAATAAAATAAAACTTTGCTTTTTGGATTATTTAACCCAAACTTTCCCGAGAGCTGTGACGACCCGCAAACGGACAATGCCATACAAATTGCGATGTTATTTTTTTGTACACCAACTCACCGATCTCGAATTGATTCGCAAAAGGTTAGTTTTATTTAGAAAATGCTAGCAAACCGTGGAGTACTAAACATTTTTCATCCAGATTGACGGACCACAGACAAACACGGGGTTGTTAAAACAATCTAGTGAACTGTTTTTAAAAGGGGCACGTATACTCGATGTAAAAAATATTTGCTGTTACAATATTTTACTTAACCCAATCACGGCTTGATAGTGAAAAAAAGTATCGCAACTTTTTATTTTCATTTTCTCGGGCTTTACACGCTCAGTTTGTATGATATTGTACTCGTTGTTATTAATTTATATTCGTCTAACGAAACTTGGGGTTAACATTAACTAATTAAATTAACAGCATTATAGAGCCTCTTATGAAAAGTGTACGGATATCAAAGTATGCAATAAACCAGTAGCTACTGGTTTGCGATTATCGCTCACCATCAAATGACCCACATTATCCGCTTCCCCTTTCTGTAAAAACACATTGTTTTTCCCATCCAACGAAGAAAAATTCCAAACCAAACATAAAATGTTTTCGTTACAAAAATGCTAGATCTCAAAAAGTATCTTAGTATACTAATAACAATAAATATAGAGAGAAAACGGTAAAAATATATTGTACCGTGTTTGTATGGCACTTCAACTGTGAACTTAGCAAAATCACGCAACGAAAATACGTAACAATATTCGGGGCATATTACGAAAATGAAGGGTGAAGTTGCAACAACAAAACGAAGACTTCAAATGCCAACATCTTGTCCGCAAAACCTGCAGAAACCCCAACCCGTTTTCGACTCTACACTAGTAATGACATAGTTGATTTTACTTTGGCATGGCAGTCGCAGTACATTATTTCAAGTTAAGGGGAAGCCGGGGCGACGCGGCGTGTCGTTTATTCAAACAACACCCGAAGGGACGCTGGCCGAAGTAAGTGTACGGTCAGCAAAAACAGTGTTTACGGTAAAAAATTTACTGCGAAATTTTTGTGACGTGCAAATTGCATTTTGAAATTTTTAAAACTGGCAGTAATTTTGCTGACACGGAACGAAATGTTTGAGGTGTAGAGGCGTGTTAACTGTACACTAATAGAGGCGCATAACGCTATGCTGGATATACTTTGTTTCTGTTCTAGTAGCGCTTTTAACTCACTTTGAGGTATGGGAGCGTCATGGGAGGGTGATTTTGATACGTCAAACGTCAGTGAGAATTCAGATTGTTTCAGATTTGTATGCTTTGTCACGTCTTATTATCCACTTAAACGTCCTAAGTCATAGTTATATGCATACATAAGCGCAAGAACTATAGTCATCTTTTTTATTTTTCAGGTTTTTGCAATATTTTTTTGCACTTGACCAATGTGTACCTAAAGTCATTTACAAAATTATTCCATAGTGCCAATTCTTTAATTATTTATTTTGAATTAAATAAGTTTATTTGTTTACAGTTTTATTATTTTGCTGACTATACAAATCTGTTAAACAAACACAGACAAACAGTCTTCAGTTCTACGATTGAAATAAAAGTCAAATTAATTAATGAAATAAACTTTATTTCTAAAGTTACTATATTACACTTTTTCTTACCTACCCTTCATCTTTGAGTACCTTCTTCGTGAAGATAAGTTTTAGAATATTGTCTAAAGTATACCTACTATGGTAACTATGGCTCCATTGGACAAAAGTTGATAAATAAGTATAATAAAACCATATAATAATTATGCATAATAATTTCTATCTGCAACAAATAATAATAGTGAATAAGCTTTATGAAAATGATGTATAAAATGTATTAAGTAATTTAAAGGAATAAAAAAAATTTAGTGGTAACATTTTTGTTTAACATGAAAAAAAAAACAAAATTCCAAACAAAAGAAACGGTTTTGTTGATCGGTCGTATTTTGACTTCGACTCTCTGATAGCGTTAGTAAACTTCCCTCAATATCACCAAATCATCATTAATTTTTTCATACATTTCGTCAAGCTTGGACCCATACTATTCACGTATGTAGCCGCTTTACATAAATTTCTGGAAATTTTCAGATATAAATACTAATTAATTAACCAATAAATATTAAATCAATTTAAGAACACCGAAGCTTCAAATTGTGGTAACTCTGAACAAACTACAACTATTTTGTAAATTCCATCTAATAAGTTATTTTACCAAACCCAGTAGTTAGAAACACATACCTATCTCAAATATCGTATTAGTTTTAAAGCTTTTGCCATAACATATTAAACAAAACTCAGAAAATTAAATGTAGTAAACTATCATGATACAATTTTCACTTCACTATAGATTTTTCATTTAGGCTGAGTTGCAGTACCTTAAACCGTAACTATTTTATATTTTTGTATGGAGTTTGACAGACTCTTGACGTTTGTTACAGTTAAAGATGATAGTTTGTTAAAGATAAGAAGTTAAAGATAGTGCAACCCAGCCTTAAATATTTGAAACTTTAATTTCTTTTACAAAAAATGCTTTCTCTATTGGGTTGTTTAATCGTTGGTAAATTAACTTATCAGACACAATTAGGAATTTGAAAGCCTTAGGCGTGGTGGTGCCCGTAGTAAGGCACGTTTTCTTCTTGCTTGGGCTTAGGCACGTATGGGTTCTTGAGCGGATCAGCGTTCAATCTGCAATCATACAAATACCACGTGTTTCAATTGTGTACTAGATAGAGACATGAAGGTCTTAAAAGCATTAAAATACATAAAAAACCATTAAACTTTCACTCTAGAGCATTGGTTCCCAAGGTGGGGGGCGCAAAGACCTTTAAATGGGATCGCGGGCCATCTGTGTACTTAAGAATATAAAACCTACGACCGCTGAGAGAATGCATTCCAGACTGCTCGATATGACCAATAAATAATCTCGACTGGAGGAGGGGGGTGCGGAATTTTTTGTATGGTCGAAAGGGGGCGCGTCTCAAATAAGTTTGGGAACCAATGCTCTAGCTAGAGCATGAAACTACTAAAAATCATTATACCAAAAAAATATTCGTGTCATATGTAGGTACACTGTTTCGACTAATGCCCAGTCGAGGACCTTTTTGACAAACTTTGTCTTTTGCTTAATTTTATCTATAGTCAGTAAGTTAAGTATGGTTAGCTTTATAAAATTAACCCCTTAGTTAATTCATTCGTTAATAAATTACTACCATCATACAAGTACAATTTGGAATGTCCTGTAAGCGTCGCATTTGGTAAGAACGTTTGCAAGGGCGACCGCTATCAAATCTAGTCGCTGCCATATCAGTTAATCACACAGAATACTTAACTAAACCTAGTATACAGTACGTACTTAGACGAGTACACTGTGGACCCACTAATAGAGATCTGGGCTTAATGAATAGCCCTAGATTCAAAGACAAAATCTAAGGTCAAAGGATTTACTTTTATTAAAAGTATGTTCAATTCTTATAGTTTATCAAACAAAAAAGATTGATACTACTACTAAATGCAACAACTTTTCCCAAGGGACCGATGTTTAAATATTAAAAAAAAACCTTGCCACTCAAATTAGCATCAGCAATCGAGCATTTAGTAGGTATGGAGACGTCAATTTTTTTGTTGAGCATTTGATATATTGGTCTCATAGAAAAAGAAATGTCTGTGTTTGAGTAGTGGATCCAGCCTCTTTGTTTGATCAATGGACAATTTGACACCATTCTCCAATAATTCGAAATCACAACTTTTCTAAAAAGACACTTCGTTCTGGTCTTAAAAACTGAATTAATTTTAAATTACCTGTAAATTACGATTTTCGGTCGCATTGTAATTGAAAAAAAGTAGTTTATTTGAGTTGACAAAATAGTGACGTCAGTTGCTTGTAGTGCCATACAAAATCTATGGCAGAGTTTCGTTTTTGACAGTTTTAAAAAGTACGTCAATTGATTGGTGGTGTCAACATGTCTATTAAAAAAGTTAATTTCTTTTGCATACCTATAGTGGTGAATAGCCTGCGAGCAGTCCACATTGTACCACCAGTCGCAGGTGAACTTCTCCTGGTTGAAGAGTGTTCCGTTGGTGCACAGCAGCGCGGCCCCCTGGTGGCCCTCGCGGCCGTCGTGGCAGATGTGGTACGCCTGTGAAAAGGTGGATAATGTTACAAAGATACGCTAAACTTTCTTCTCATTATAGGACAACTAGCTGACCCGGCGAACTTTGTTCCGCCTTAATGGCAATAAATAAGCAGACTTTTTTTTTATTTCGAGCGGGATAAAAAGTATCCTATGTCCTTCTCCTGGCTCTAAACTGTCAATTTTCAGCTAAATCGGTTCAGCCGTTCTTGAGTTATAAGTGGAGTATAGATGGTGAGAAAAAGTGACACCACCTCTCGTCTCTGTAGTCCTGTATAGAACAGCAGATGGTAATGCTTCAGCCACACCAACGCATGCGGATCGCCATCGCTGCCGCGCTGGCGCGATCACAGGTCAACGATAGATCGCGTGGAGTGTCATGGGTCGCGCGACCTGTCATTGGCCTACGATCGCGTCGGCGATGGCGATCTGCACGCGTTAGTGTCGTTCAAGCATAAGACTTGATAATTATGACAGGGCTGGTTCTATCAAACAATTTCTATGTTTCTGCAGTTCACAGACACAGCATACCACAATATATTGGTAAGGGCTTAGAGCAATAGCACATTGAATACGAATAGTTTGATAGGAGTCACAACGTAGATTAGAGAATGTAGGATACTATACAATATGGCCGAGAAAACGAATAAACCATGTTCTAAATAATGTCACCTAAATTAATTCGTAATACGATTTCCCTAAGTCTAAACTCAATATTCAAGAGAAATTGTAGACAATAAGTTCGATCCATAGAGAATATAGAGAGATGCCAACTAATGTGCCTAGTTCGAAACTCAGTATCGCATTAGAAATTCACACACACAAAGTAATCAAAACGTGTGCTTACATCTCCCTTTAGTTTCTGTGCTCTGTGGTTCGATCATATTAGGCATAAGATCCAATGGAATGCACACTTACCCTTATTACAAAAACCGAACATAACCACAGAGTTTGACGCCATCAGATATTCCAAGAAGATTGCATAATACATACGCGTAATCGTCCAAATTAATCAGTTGAGTGCGTGTTTCATTCAATATTAACTTTATAATCAATCAAACCGAATTGCATGAGCTTATAATCTGAATGACATTAAATCTTATTTTGACATTATGACAATTGCTTAATGGATTACTTCAACAAAGCGGACCGACGACCTCCTAAAAGTAGCAGGAAGGCGCTGGATGCAGGCCGCTACCAACCGGGCTATATGGAAATCATTGGACCTATGTTCAGTAGTGACATCCTGTGGCTGAAATGAGTAGGTTAGCGAATCAAGCATGCAACTAGCAAACTATAAATTTTAATAATTATGTCTAAAATTTGTTACTAGAAAGAACAGAGCACTGATTTTAGGCATTATGTGTGTAATAAATATACAACTACATAAATATTTCTGTGACACGCTGTATATTGCCCTAGTTTTGGCTAAAACCAGTATTGTTATTCGACGAAATTCGAAGCTAGTCTAAATAATTATTTTGTACCGAATTTCCACGCACGAAATTGTTATCGCCGCCCGATTTCGGGAAATTGAATAAGTTCTAAGTAGTGTTGTATCTAGATGAAGTATCGATTACTAAATATCGATGTGCCTTGTGATTCTTTTTAAAATTTAGTGGGAACAATGCACGGTTTTCTGGAATGGAGGCCGCGTACCAGAAAACGCAGCGTGTGTCGTCCACCTACAAGGTAGACCGACGACATCGTAAAGGTAGCAGGGAAGCGCTGGACGCAGGCCGGTACCAATCGATCAACATGGAAAGCATTGGGGGAGGCCTATGTTCAGCAGTGGACGTCCTATGGCTGAAATGATGATGATGATGATGAATGCACGGTTTTCATTTGACTGAGTCTGAGATATTGATCTTTCGTATTTTACGAAACAATCGTAGCCTTGACAATTTTTGTAACAATGGAAGACATACCAACACAATTAGAATACCTTCTATAGACACAATGAAACCATTATCATGCATCGACCCAGAGAACAGTGTATTATGCAAAGTTTACGTTGTATTTATTTCCTCAATTTACGTGCTACTTATCAAGAAGGTACTAGTGGTTGATCGAAGCAAGAGTTTATCGTAGCTGGAGTTCAGTAATCTCTATAAAAAAATTCTAACAAGCAACTCACGAAAGTTACCAAATTATTTTAGGTTGCAGTATGAAAAGTTACGGGGTCTCTTAAAAATGTAAGTGTAAGATTTTGTGATCACTTGGCTGCGACCATGATTTGATCGTATCTTTTCAAAACAGGTACTACAACATTGTGCTATTATGAACAAATAATTTAAGCACGTTATCGACGTTGCTCCATTAATTTACACATTCGATGCAAAAACTATCGACACTTCAACAACACTATTTTGAAGAGTGACCGAGCAGGCGACCTCAGCAGCCGTGACCCGGGCTTGTTATTGCAATCACGTGGTCCCGAATGAATACTTTGAACAATCACTAACTCGCTTTGAAGATAGCTATCGGTTTTACTTGATTTGCATGATAAGTTTGTCTCGGGTGGGATTGAAGGAACAGGGAATTAGAGGTTAAGGACGTTACATTACTCTTATGGTGGAAAATGTTTGAGAAGGGCTGGAGTACAGGAGAAATGGATCGTAAAACGTGCCACCAAACCAATGATGAAGAAGTAATAATGTGTGGTAGTATTACATATTAAAGCTCAAACAATTATTGAATCTACAATTAATCAATACCCAGTTAAAACATGGAGCACAAAAACGTGTCATTGTATAAAAAATCGGCAAGAAAAATTCTTTCGGTGCGGTCTGGTGCGTGTGCACTTTACATTCTGTAGTGCCACTTGAACAATAACTGAAATGTAGCAATAACTATCTCTAAAATAGCTATCTGATATTTATAGCTCTAAGATGATACATGGCAGGTATATTATAACTTTATACTTATCCAGCATCTGTTGCTTAACTGGTCCATAAGGAACAGGTAAAACTAATCTAGTTTATCTCAAAATCGCTAGCCTGAGTTCCCGTTATCCCGTCGTGAGCTCGCAAACATCTCCCTTTGTTAGTAAAGTCGTGTTAATATTAACACCGCCTTGGGGGGCAGACTGCATTGTCCTGTTCCGTACACAGAACCCCACTTAACATTATTAAACGCTTGTAAATGCTGATGCTCTTTAACTATATTAACCGCTTGTATGTGTGTTAAGGTGACTATTAAAAAGAAACTGAAAAGTAAATAAAACCGAATAACATTTCCACCGAGAGAAAGTCTGTAGAGATTTGTGCAAACTTATCCTTAAACTTCTTAAGAATATTCTATCCCGAGAAATCCTACAAAAGATGAAGGTCGCCGCGCTACTACATTGATCAGTAAGGAGGATTCTTAGAAGTTGGTTTTCGACATCTTCACCAAATAAAGTCCTTTACATCTTTCTTATGCATTCAACATTTAAGTTTAGATTACTCGTACATAGGTGCTTAGTAAAATGTAAAGACAGAACCGTCAACCATCTGTCCATCACTATAAAGTCAGTTAAACAAAGCGTTTAACAGAATAATCGTACGTTATGAACTGTCAAATGATAACGATTGCTTTACACAATTCCACCTCAGATCTTCAAATCTTACCATACCAAAGGTATTTATAACTTTCAACTACGTCATATAGCAAAATACCTTAGCTACTTATTAAGTTTCGAAGATTCTATAAACATTTACCAACAACTTGTTTTAACAAATGAATTTAACAATGTTTTTTGAGCAGGCGTATTGTGATACCATTCTATCTACATTTAGATTGGAAGATTATTCTGTACTTTGACTGTTTCCCTGTAAGTTTCTGTAAATTCAAATTCAAATTCAAATTCAAATAATTTATTTGTGAAACACAGGTAAGCAGTATGATGTACAAACAAGATATGTGTTCAAGCCGTGATCAGCCTTGTCGGCATACAAATGTTAAAGCGTGATTTTAAGTATAATATTATGTTAAAGAAAAGTAATAATGAGCAAATTAAATGTCAAAATCATAAATGTCAGTTAAATAAATAGCAAGATTAAAATAAATTAATGCAGGGCAGTCAATCGGATATTAGAGTCAATGTTGTCAAGGAAGAAATTGTAGAAAAACTTTATTTAAATTGTAGGAACTCATGTACTGAATAAAAACTGTTACTGACCAAAAATATAAATAGCTTTTGTTTAAAGATTGAGATATCAGTGCACTCTTTAATATGATTAGGTATTTTATTATAAATTTTCGGAGCCATAGCAAAAACACCCATGTCGTAGAGGGCTGTCTTATATGACACACACACACATTGATGGATATCAACGGCTATAAGAATATTGCGATTACGCGATCTCGGTATTATTTTAAACAGGGAAGGGTTACGTCTAATAAATAGAGCCAGCTAATTTAAACATAACTAGACATTTACAATTTTTGAGAACGTCCACTTCTTTACAAGTGGATGTTACGTGATTACTATACCCACGATTCTGTAACGATAAATGGCAAAAACTTAAATTAAACCCATTATTGACAGTGGCGCCCTCATTTATAATATTAATTTATGGTTGTCCAACGTGGCAATGATCGGAACTAATAATCCAGCATAGATAACAGCGCCCCCTGTCAATGTCACGTGTGGGCAGTGTTGCAAACAGCTACCAAAGGCTCGTAGCTAGGAATTTAACAAAAAGTTGCTAGATTGGGTATTTTTCTGTCTCTAAAAAGTAGCTAGAAGTAGCTGAATTCCGAAGTAAATAAAATAATACTAAAGAAATAAAACACTGCAGTTAATAAATCAGCTATAAACTTTAATAAATTTAACTTTAATACTGTGACTACTTAATAACAAATAAAAGAAGACAATATTTTGATTATCTAGGTACCGAATATTATAATTATCTAATTATGGTACGAGAAGATGTAAAAGGTTCAGCTGCACATGATTTGGAATCTTTTTCCATAGTACCCATTTTGTCTTATTAGTTTAGGGGAATCCCCACCCACAGGCCAAAATCACTCAAACGAGGGAATCCCCAAAGTTATTCCGCACCGATTTAAGTGAGTTGTATCGTATATTGCTAATACAAATTTTGTTTGTCGGGGATGCAGCGTGCCGTTACCATAACTTTGTAAAAATATATCATAATCAATAGTTGCTAGAAAAAGTAGCTAAAAAGTTTAGCTACAAGTTAAAAAAAATTGTAGCTGCCTGACATCAAAAAGTTGCTAAATCTAGCTATAAAGTAGCTAAGTTGGCAACACTGCGTGTGGGACGGTTCAGTGTAGGTACTTCATCTATGCTTTAAGATAACCCGATACAGAATTTAGCTAATCGTTCGATAGTTTGGTCGGCTTTGAATTTTGATGAGGAATTGGCTGATTCTAAATCGGTGTAATGTGCGCACTTTCATACATGTCCATACAAACTATCAGCCGGCTAATAGTGTGTGTAGGCTGAGGGATNTTTTTCGTTAATTTATGAAAATATCAAATTAGCCCGTAATCCTGAATCCTGATACATAAATTTAGCCTATTAATTTAACACATGTACGACTGTACTCAGTGTTGCACTATCAAATGCAATTGAAGCGCCTCTATGCCAGGGTTTTTATGTTCCTGGTCAGGCTATACTTCTATTCTGTAACAAAAGGAAAAAATGCCACATGTATGTCTGGTAAAGTACCACTAATGCCACTAACATCTTCTAAACTAATAAGTTTTTTTAGTTACTGATTATAATAATTGTAATCATGGCTCAAAGAGTAGGTTTTATCTGAATTTTGAAATTTTATTTTATTTTTGACACACTAAACTTTGTTTTTTGTTATCTGACTAGCATACAGCAAGTACAAAATATACAGTGTGTTTGGGATAGGGATAATTGAAGGCGATGTGTCATCATGTCAATTTTATCGACAAAAATGCTCCCATAATTATGTGGGCCTACCCCCGGAATGGGGGGGCTTAATTTTTTCATTTATTTTTTATATGACTACACAAAAATGTTATTTATTTCTTATATGCCCGTCAAAACTGAATTTTTTGACAAAAACTAAAATTAATTAGTTTTTTTCTTTCAAATACAAACAATTTTTATGTAGAGTCACATAAAAAATTGACATCAACAATGTCTTAAATTATCGCTAGCCCTATCCCAAACCGGGTATCTTGTTACAGAGTACTATGCTATTTTGCAACAATAATGTTTAGTCTAATATGATAATTTTGGTTAATAGCATCTTAAATTAAATCCTATATTTAATTATTTAATTAAATCAAATGAAATCATTTATGCAAGCTGCATGCATGAGTTTGGACTTTATATGTAGATTTGGCAATCAATGTGATGTGCATAATAAACAACAAAATTCACATATTTAGAATCAAATTCAACATATTTTTATCTATTAGCAGCAGGATAGTCCAAGAATAAATCTATGAATCATTGTGTGGGTTAATACAAAATGTACCTAGATAATATTTCATTTATGTATGATAATATTGCACCATCGTTAATTTTTCTAAATATAGGATTGCACTGATCCTATCCTTCCGATTTTTCATACTGTTAGTTGTCCTACCTTTTCATAACATAATAACATGTTGTAGCCAGGCAAGGCAAAGTTATTGCAGTACCTACCTACACAAATTTTAGTTTTGTCTAAAGTAAAAGATCCTAAAGTAAGGATAGGCAAGAAATCTTTTGTTCTTTGGAATTTAAATGTTCAGGTACCCATGTACTATTGTTCAAAGTAATGCTTACCTACACAAATTTTAATTTTGTCTAAAGTAAGGATAGGCAGGAAATCTTTTATTCTTATGGTATTTAAATGTTTAGGTACCCATGTACTATTGTTTAAAGTAATGCTTACTATAAATGACTGCCCTTTTAAGGAATGTGCAAACAATAAACTGCAGATACCCGACGTTAATTGAAGACCATAACAATGACTCCCGGCTTTTGTTATCTGGTGGTCCGTCCGACGATTAGCAAATCTAGAGATAAGGCTCGCAATCGGACAAAATTACCACGTGACCGAAACATTACCCTTTGCAATTTGTGAATGGCTTCTTTGTTCGACGAAACGCTAAATGATAAGTCGCGATATTTTTACACGCTTATCTATGTCAATAAAACGATAGAGTAGGTAAGCAAAAAGTAACATGGTCCGTATATCTCGAATTACTATAATAGGTAGGGTAGAACCCGAATTCATTTAAATTGTTATGGGTATTGGGGTATTGTTATTTTTTCTGGATTTATAATTAAATGGACAATTAATTTTTTTAACTTTAATTAACATGACGCTAAACAGTTTTCTGTACCGAAAAATTGCAAGTGTGTGAAGGACACACAGGAGGAGGATTACTTGGAAGGCGAAAACAGAAATATTAGCGCTTATCATTTATTTATTTAGAAAAGAACGGTAGTACCATAAAAAGCGGGAGTCTGATCGTCGGTTGTTCGCGCAGGTTCTACAACAACTACTCGTCGTTCGTGCACGGCGGGCTGGACGCGCCCAACCGCGAGACGCTGCCGGTGGTGGGCCAGAAGCAGATCCACAACCGCATCCAGCAGCTCAACTTCCGCGACTGCCATGCCAAGATCAGCCAGGTATGCCGCCGCTCGAGCGTGCCAATGCAGGCAAGCTGCCGGCTGACGTTAAGCTAAAAGGCAGCCAAAAAACAAAACTGAGAATCGACTTCAGGCTAGAGCACTCTTGCCACTTTATGCTCCGTCTTCTTAACCGACTTAATTTGCCTTATAAAATAGAATAGGTAAATTACTATCGAGACAAAAACATAACTTATAGCATCACGGCAGGATAATGGGAGTTGTGTATTTGTAGGAGCTCATCGGGTGCACCTATGCCAGTCATCGAATAGTGCCCTGAAAGAAATGACTGGCTAAAACAGAGCGTGTGAGCTTTCAGTTTGCTTACTGTTTACACGCGTGTTTTTTTTTTCATGATTTTGTATGTGTCGGGCGTGGGCCGATCGTTGCATTGACTATATTGTGATATGCCAACACATAATGATCTGTAGGCCTAGGATGCGCGACGCGCGTCGTCATAAATTATTCAGCGGTTCCCAAACTTTTGTCTACTGCCCACTTTGAGAATAAATTCTTTTTAGCGCCCCCATTTGTAGTCGAGAGTCGAGTGCTCAGTCGGTGTCTAAGAGACCTCCTAGTAAATGACGCCTCCCAAGCCTCTACACAACGTCCCGATTTTTTTTTTCTGGGTCTCTTACCGCCCCACGGTGGGCTGATATTAGAGCTTCATAGACTTAGCGTCGCTCAAAAATCAAGTGCCGAATTTTGAAAAAATAAATATGCCAATGTATTCCTTTACCGAAAAGGAATATTTTATGTTATGTAACGTTTCTTGATAAAGTTATTATTTAATAAGTTATTGACAATTTCCTTTTTTTTNACACACTACGTACATGGAGCTCTACATTACGTATATGCCTGCAAGCATACAAAATTATTGCTCACGGAAAAGATATTTACTTCCAATCAGAAAGTACTACACCACGCTCGAATTTTGCAGGAGAGCAACTAATGAAGATATTTTACACAATTTATTAAATAAAATAAAATCTGATTCTCAGATATATATAATAATATAAACTTCATAGAAAACACAAAGTTTTATCAACAGCAGCAAAAAGTTAATTAATAAATGATCGATTTGATGATGAGGCTGGTACTGATACTGAAAGAAAGCTTTACTTTTGTGGACATTAGCCTATTTCACGGTTCAGAAACTGACTCTGAATAACTAATAAACTTAACTTCACACTGGCTTAATTTCCATAAAACATATTTTAATAATCTTACAAGTGGATTAGGCCTCCTGGAAACACCACTATAAAAAACGTGCTTAGTTCTTCACCTCGTTAGAATAGTACGGAAGAAAGTACATATAGATGACCCACGCTGAACTGTCCCGCCAAACTCAATGACAGGGGGGCGCTACCATCGTTCAACTATATGGTTTCCAACATGGCAAAAATCTGAACCAGCGATCCGGTATTGACGGTGGCGCCCCACTGTCAATGTCATCGACAGGACAGTCCAGTATTTTGGAACTAGAACATTGCAGTTTTCATTATCTTTTTTTTTATTTTAAAGTCCTAAATGACAATGTTCCGAAGATTTCCGAAATGCGACACTTGGTGATAATATAGCTTATATGTTGCATTACATAATACAAAAGTCAATTTCTTAAGAAAGCTTAAGAATAACGAATAAAATAAAAATAAATGTTGAGCTCCATACAAAAAAAAGTAATTATTGTCAATAACTTATTAAATAATAACTTTATCAAGAAAAGTTACATAACATAAAATATTTCTTTTTGGCAAAGGAACACACTGGCGTAGTTATATTTACAAAATTTGGCAGGTATTTAATTTTTTTTATTTTAAAGTCCAAAATGACAATGTTCCGAAGATTTCCGAAATGCGACACTTGGTGATAACATAGCTTATATGTTGCATTACATAATACAAAAGTCAATTTCTTAAGAAAGCTTAAGAATAACGAATAAAATAAAAATAAATGTTGAGCTCTATACAAAAAACAAAGGAAATTGTCAATAAGTTATTAAATAATAACTTTATCAAGAAACGTTACATAACATAAAATATTCCTTTTCGGTAAAGGAACACATTGGCATATTTATTTTTTCAAAATTCGGCACTTGATTTTTGAGCGACGCTAAGTCTATGAAGCTCTAATATCAGCCCACCGTGCGCCCCCCTTTAAGCCTGCAGCGCCCACAAGGGGGCGTTATCGTCCACTTTGGGAAAGACTGAATTATATCTAGGCATTTTATCGATTTGGTCGTCTAAAATCATCGATAAGATTTTAGCACGGCGTGGCTCTTAGTCTGGCTGGTCAAGTTAGGCTCCGCTATGACCTACCACCACCCATGGTTCTTCCTGCCTCACGGCGTACGAACCGGATCTCGGGAGAGCGCGCGGGTACTTGCTCTGGGCTCTTTTCCCCGGGCGCTTTTATTTATTTATCTATTTATTTATTAATGCAAAACACTTGCAAGCTTACAGAGCTTGTAAGCGCTTTGGACCTGCCAAAGCGCTTACAAGCTTAAAAATAAAATAAACATATCATACACTTAGGTCACAAATAAAATACATGCAGTTTATAAATTAAATGGCCCATAATGTTCTAATTTTAAAAACATAATGGATGCAATAGAATATTGAGTATTGAACATTAAATAATTTAAAGAAACACTGAACAAGAGAAAAAAAAATGTCAGTGGTCAAATACATGTCAAAGAGATATTAATAAGTCACTTTAAAAACAGAACAATAAAAATAAATGTCAATGGTCAAAATACATGTCAGAGAAATACTACTTTGCTTGACTCCCTTCAAATTTAATTGATCCATGTCCTTTCTCATAGTCAATTCTCTCCCTTCTGGGGCTTGAAACCACAAATACGGATAGATCCGCTATGACCTGTGGAAGCTGTGCTCAGTGAGGTGCTGGCTGTGCAGGTGGACGCGCAGGCCACGCTGGGCAACGGCGTGGTGGTGCAGGTGACGGGCGAGCTGTCCAACGGCGGCGCGCCCATGCGCCGCTTCACGCAGACCTTCGTGCTGGCCGCGCAGTCGCCCAAGAAGTACTACGTGCACAACGACATCTTCCGCTACCAGGTAACGTCCGGGACGATCGGAGAGAACGGAGAGAATTTTACAGTTTAGGCCCAAACTTTTATCCGAGAATAACTCCCGGTATAACTGGCACATCGACAGTTTCAGCAAATAAGTCAAACCTGACGATTTATTCTGATATTAATATTTATACTTGTTTGTTCGAATGCACCCTTAGTCGGTCAAATCATATTAAAGACGTTTTCAAATTACATTCTCAGAAGAGACTCTATTTTCAGCCAGACAAATTGCAAGCGTCTTGATAGTGGTTATTTTTAACAGCATTAAAGTAGAAACTGTATCTTTTCGGTAGTAAACCTACCAAAATAATATCACCGTTACCACTAATAAATGGACGATAATTCTAAGAACGAGTCGAGACTTATAAAGCCCGATCTGTAAGCACGTAGAATTTTGTCCAATGACCCCAAGCTACCCATCCTTATCGCTCGCGCGTAATTATATTGCTGTCGCGACTGTGCGACGGGTGCCCGCAGTGAGTGTGCGATCGCGACAGCAACTTGGGTAGCTTGGGGTCATTGGACAAAATTCTACGTGCTCGCAGACCAGACTGTAGTCGTGGATACGTGTCATTGAAGAGCACCGGTTCGCCCCCAGGACATAGTGTTCTCGGACGAGGAGGGCTCGGGCTCGGGGCGGTCGGAGGGCGAGGAGGAGGAGGCGGCGGGCGCGGGCTACTTCCCGCCGCCGCCGCTGCCCGCCGCCTTCCCCGCCGCCTTCCCCGCGCCGCCCGCGCCGCCCCGCGCGCCGCGCCTCGAGCCCGCGCCCGCGCCCGCCGCCGCGCCGGCGCCCGCCCCCGCGCCGCAGACCGCGCCCGCGCCGCCGCAAGCCGCGCAGGTGACTTATCGCTCTACTTACACATTACATTTTACTCAAACTAGTGTTGCCGAACTATCTATAGTAAAACTATCGATAGTTTTCATCCAAAAAAGCCTTCTCCATCGATAGGCCTATCGATAGTATCGATACTGTCGATACAATCGATACTATCGATAACTCAAAACGAGGCAATAATAATAAATAATAAATATCTTTTGACATTTTACACTGCGCCTCTAGCCCCAAACTAAGCAAAGCTTGTACTATGGGTACTAGACGACGGGATAAACATACTTATATACTTTTTTTTTTGTAAATACATACATATTATACATAGAAAACACCCAGACCCGTCACAGAAATTAAAATTCATCATTTCAATTTCTGCCCGGCCGGGAATCGAACCCGGGACCTCTCGGCATAGTAGTCCGTTCTGAAATACTATTGAATATTATGTGCAATACTATCGATAGTATTGTTGCTCGTGGAGAATAAACTATCGATACTATCGATAGTATTGTCGCTTTTGAATAAAAAACTATCGATACTATCGATAGGCCAATCGATAGTCTTGCGATAGTTTGGTTATCGATAGACTATCGATCGGCAACACTAACTCAAACTATTACGTGATTACGTGATCGTCTGGTCTTCTCATAAGTCAATCATAGTCAGTCATAGCCACGATAGCCGAACGGTGAAGGGATCAGACTGGCCGACTCGAGATCCGAGGAACGCGGGTTCGAATCCCACCGCCGCTCTACTATTGTAATGAGACCACTCGTAACATAAGCTTATTTAGCTTAACACGAGGGGCTAATTAATGGGACTATTAGTTTGTGCAATACAAATTGCTAATAATCTTTTTAAAAAAAATGTGACGTAACGGCGTAGTCTACCTAGCCTTAAAAATTTTATGGATTATGGGGGTTAACGAAACTGAAAAATTTTAATCGACACTCGACACCTTCAGTGTTGTCGATACTTTTTTTTTGTAAATGTATTGAAATTTACGCAAAATATTGTAAGCTAACTTTGCTAACGGTTAATGATATTTTAGCAAAATTTAATGTAGTTTAACATGTTCACGTTGTGACCGGCTCTCTGCCCGCAGGCCGCGCCGCACGTGAACGGGCTGGCGCCGCACGACGACGCCGCGCGCCACTCGCTGACCGTCGCGCTGCAGGGTAAGCTATCACTCACATTCTCTACTCCTTGCCCAGACACCGCATGACTTAAGCTTCAACCACACCGACGCGTGCAGATCGTGCGCCATCATCGCAGGCGCTATCAAAGGCCGTTGACAGGTCGCGCGACTAGTGATGTAAAATGAAAAAAAAAAACAAATTTGTTTTTTTTCTTTTTCAGATTTTTGAAAAATAACTTAGCACCGTTGTTTTTTTTCTAAATTTGTTTTTTTTCTGCCTTACATTTTAGGCCTGAATATACTCGTTTCGGCATACTCAGGTAGATTAGTTGGTAATCACACTCGAATAGCACAAAAACTAAATAATTTGATATTGAAATTTCTCCGTCCGTCACACACCCCAACTGCGCTAAGCCAACTACGTTCAAATAAACATAAACCTAAAGGGGATTTCTCCCTGTGCAAATGTAATTGATTTGGGGATTTCCCTTTCGTTGATGTAAAAATGTTGCCAATATATTCATGAAATCTTAGTACCACTCAACCAGAAAAGTATAGTAGAGTTAGAAATAAACCGAAAACTCTATTACCTATGTATTCTTAAGTTATTTGTCTTAAAAGTTTTGGATTTCGTACTCTTGAAAAAAAACATGGTCGAGAAAAAAAAGTTTTTTTTTCAGGCTTTTTTTTCAACGTTTTTTTTTCACACCAGAAAAAAAAACGTTTTTTTTTTCATCACTACGCGCGACCCATGACAGTTCACGCGACCTGTCCTTTCTCTATGATCGCGCTGACGAGGGCGATCTGCACGCGGTGGTGTGGTTAAAGATGAAGAATTCATGATGCAATTTGTTGTTCTTAACTTCACTGAATAATGTTAACGATTGTCGTGCGCTACAGAGATGGCGGTCAACATGGACATCAGCAGCGCCGAGCGCGAGCCGGAGCCGGAGCCCGAGCCCGTGCCTGAGCCCGAGCCGGCGCGCGAGCCCACGCCGCCGCCGCAGCCCGGTGAGTGTCCGCCGTGTTTCATAAAACAAACGACAGACAGAATTTATATGTAAGAATATTCTGCGTATTCAGACTGTAGCGTATACAGGGTGTCCCAGAATGGGTGAATCAAACTGCTAGGGGAGGTAGCTCTACTAATGTACTATCCCTAAAAAATATGAAAAAAAAAGGTTTTTTTTTTTTCATATTTTTTTGTGTATTTTTTTTTAAATAAAGTGCTCTAAACTCGAAATCTAGTCATTATTTTCAAAAGTTTGTTTACAGATAGACGAAGCGATCATGTACAATTAATATTAGTAAGAAAAAAGTACAAATACGCAGCAATTATAGCCAGATACTTGGCAAAGCTGATTTATTTTCACTTTAAAAAAAAAAATTATGTGTCCCTTTGCGCTTTATTTTTTTTCCACTTACACCATAGTTTATTGACACTTTATTTGACAAAAATAATATTTTGATTTTCCTTAAAACAGTCCGCGATTCGTTATCGTGTAATCCGATTTAAAGACGCGTTCTGTCGTTCGCCCGCAGCCACCCCGGCGGCGCCTCCGGAGCCGAAGACGTACGCCAACCTGCTGAAGTCGGGCTCGCACGCCACGCGCGTGTCCCCGCCCGCCGCCGCGCCGCACGCCCCGCCGCACGCCCCGCCCGCGCACGCCCCGCCCGCGCCGCACGCCCCGCACGCGCCCGCGCCGCCGCAGGACCAGCGCCCGCGCCCGCCGCGCTCGCACCAGCCCGCAGGTAAACATTGTGGCTGACGTTTAGGCTGGTTTTAATGTCACGCGGACCGTCCGGTGCGGACCCGCTCTGCACGGCCAATCTGTATGAACTTCTAGGAAGCGTTTTAGAGTAATGCGGTCCCTAGCAGTTCATATAGATCGACTGTGCGTAGCGATTCGCACTGACAGTCCGCGTGACACTAAAACCAGCCTTAGTTACATTGATGATTTTGCTCGCAGAAATAGTGATGTTAGTGTTAGTGTTGGTGTAGGGCAGGGAAAACAAGTCATCAACACTAGATGCTAGTTTCAACTCATTTATTCCAATATTTAACTTAAACATTACAGCTCCGTGTCACGTGTCTGTGCGTGTGTGAATTTGGACATTGAACTTTATACAGGGTGTCAGGTAAATGGGTGGTACCTATATGAGCCGACACTAGCCCATGTTAACATATGCATATAAATGGTATGGTGAAGTCAGAAAATTGATATCATCATTTTCATTATTTTAATTTTCATATAGATTTTATAAATTTTATTTTATATGAACATTTAAAAAATTAAAATGATTATATCAAATTTCTGACTTCACCATACCATTTATATGCATATGTTAACATGGGCTAATGTCGGCTCATATACCCATTTACCTAACACCCTGTACAATACAATTTAAGTACATTGACACAGTTACCACAGTGAGAACAATAGTGGTTGGCGTTAGACCACCGCGCAAGAACGGAACTTTTCAAATGACTCTTTACTCTGTTGCACCTACCAAATAAATGAATAAATTGCGACAATTTGTGCTCGCAGCGGAGGGCAGCCGGCGGTACTCGGACTCGCAGCAGCTGTTCCTGGGCAACCTGCCGCACTCCGCCACCGAGGACGAGCTGCGCGCGCTCTTCGCGCGCTTCGGGCCCGTCGCCGAGCTGCGCGTGCACAGGTAGCGGTCACGTCATCACATTTCACAAGTTTTAAGCTCGATTCACACATCAGTGAAGCCACAGTTCCGTGACAGTATCCGCACAGTTCAGTATCAGTGTTACAGTGTTGCGTCAGTGAAATATTTTAAAATGTCAGAGAGCTGTTTCAATATTCTTTTTCAGAAACTATGATATAAGTTATTTTGTTTTTGATGCCGCGGCGGCGTCCGTGATCCGACAAAAAATATCGTCGTCAACGAATACGTCCGTGATTGCCGGTGTCGGCACTGACACAGAGCACTGTGTCGTCACTGACACTGACATAGACATAGAAACTGTATGAAGAATATTTCGGTGTTGTCTTGTCGTGATTGTGATTTGTGATGTCTTTTTTGTTTTAGGTCGATAAGTTCGCTTAGTCTTGTAGTTAAATTATTTTATTTTATTTTATTTGTCTCTATCACTGTGTAAAAGCTGCGCACGTGACATTGGCGGAACAGTGGCGAAAAAGCACAAGTTCATCGCCATCAATAAAAGAAGAAGAAGAATATTTCGCACTGTGCCGGTACTGAGCCTGAACTGTGACTTCACTGATATGTGTGAAGCGGCCTTTAATCACAATTTTCTCGATTAATACGCATTAGGATTGAATCGGAAGCAGAATTCGTTTTGAAAAAATTCAGATTTGAGCAGTCTGTGTATGGGTCATTCCACAAAAATATGTCAACTCTTAGTCCGCGCCACATTTCACATGAAATATTTGTTAATATTTTATTCCAAAATTGTTAAATAACAGCTCGCAATGTGCTCTATTCATCACCCATTTATATTTTTTGAAACTATTTTTAAAACATCGTAAATTCCTTTTGAATGACCCAAAACGTCATTCCCTAGGCATGTCCGTAATCCAAAAGTTTGTGTTTTGGGACCCACATTTATAAAAACATCAACTTTATCCTTTGTTTTAATTAACGAATAATCTATTTAAATGTATATTACACAAAATTCTATTAATATTTTGCGGGTTCAATAAACAATAATTTGATTTTCTTTAGTTGAAAAAGAGTCTACAGCTTTTAGCGTCATTCCCTCGCCACGCACTGATTTTATAATATTGCGCTTTAATATGTATTTAGAGTGAATGACATTTAGTTGAGTTTAAAGTACGATACGAAGTTATCCTCAGACCATACTGGTTTTGCGGTAGCCGTTTTTAAATTAGTGCAAACGTGCCAGTTGTTGCGGAAACATGTGTTAGTCCAGTCATTTCGTCAGTCCCTAGTTGAGTAGCTTTATTGATTACAATAAGAAATTGTATATAATTTAATTAGTATTTACGTGTGGTTTTTTGGCTATTTTCGGCACATTGTATTAAGCATCTTATAATATAAAGTTAATCTGCATTTGTGTTAAGTTTTACTCCAGATCGTCAGTCCCTAGAGCGTCAGGCCCTAGCTTTAAACGGCACTTGGGACTAAATTACTAGTTAGGGAATGATGTTTTTTATATAGTGATAATAACAAAACAACTACATTATGTATATTAACTTATCTATAAATGTTAAGGTTATAAGTTTTATACTTTATTAGAAGTCATATAGGAGTAATGTAGTATGAAAAAATTGAAAATTATAATTTCTCCTAAAATAAAGCATAAAATGACTGGCCCTTTTAGACATAACATAATTAATTAATCAACTATAATTTACACTAATAAAGTATTCAAAAGCATCTTAAAAAAGTTACGGACAAAATGACGTCGAAAATATACAGATTTTTATGGAATGACCCGTATGATGATAAAATGTGTGACGTTGCAGCAAGCCTGCGGCGCCGGGGGCCCCGCGCCACCCCAACTACGGGTTCATCACGTACGAGAGCGAGCAGGCGGCGCACGACTGCCTCAACGCCGCTGTGAGTATGCCGAGCCTTCTCGACCCACGCGCTCTGTTCAAAACTTATATTTGTTATACACTGGTCATCACAAAAATCGACCCACCCGCGACAAGCACTTTCAAACGTATGCATCCCCACTTCACACCAATATTGGCACCATTTAAAACCCGAATTCTAAACTTCATTTCATTAAAGGAAAGGTTTTTACCCCAAAAATGTGTCTGTAAAAGAATCCAGAGTCACTTCTTAAAAAAATAGATAGTTACGCTTGAGCCAACTTTTATGGCTATAAAACTGTTAAGTTGGGATTAATCGCTATCCATCTGTTAAAGAGGACACGTGAGATCATTATTTGGTTTTATAACCATAAAATTGGTCTAATTGATCCCAGAGGTGAGCCCAAAGTGAGGTCTTTTTTCAAGTCACATTTATTGTGTATCGCGTTTATGTTAATCGTTTACTAAGAAATTAAATGTGTTTTTCTTTAAGGATATTTATTGGGCTTTCAAATAACACTAATATTGTTGGGGCACCATGATTGTGTCAGTAGAAACGAGGTTTCCTGTAAAACGTAGGTGGGCCGATTTTTGCGATGACCAGTATATGATTAGTAGCTTTAGACTACCGTCACCCGTACGCTAGTATTTTTTTGTTAAAAAATAGAGCACAACTTTTTTTATTCCCCCGTTTCCCGGAGGTGTCTCAGTGACCGATTGTGTTCACAGCCGCTGTACTTCCCGGCGGACAGCGCGGAGGGCGTGAAGCTGAACGTGGAGGAGAAGAAGACGCGCGGCCGCGAGCCGCCGCGCCGCCGCCCGCTGTCCTCGCACCGCGCCGCCTTCCCGCGCCCCGCCTACCGCCGCTAGCCGCCCCCCGGCCCGCCCGGCCCGCCTGGCCGCCCGCCCGGCCCGCCCGGCCCGCCCGGCCCGCCTGGCCCGCCCGGCCCGACCGGCCCGACCCCGATCCCGAACTAACGCTTTCGCATATCGCTTCTCTTGTTCGGTTTAAGTAGTTAGATAGTTAATTAATGTTATTTTAGCCACCGCCCGGTTCGAGTCGTCCGGACGGCCTCGTCCCTCGTTCGGCTCGGCCGCGGGCGACCGGACCGCCGCGGGCGCCCCTCGGTGTCGGCCTCCCGTTTGATTTCGTTCAAAAATATTACGATGCGATTTATATTTAAAAAGCGTGAATTCGCCCTCGGCGGGCGGCGGGACGAACCGTGAGATCGGAAATCGCGGTCGCCTCGCGCGCCTCCCCGTCCCACGGGACCGACGCGGACGAGCGAGATTTCTGATCTCAATCTGCGTCCGGGCGATTCGTCGACGAACCGTGCCCGCATTGCCGATGAGTTGCCCTCGTTCGATGTGCACGGCGCGACTCTACGTTGCGTTTACTTTTCGATTTGGACGTTCGACGACGACGATCGTTCAGGTGTATGATCTCGATCGTGCCCCCGAGTGTTAGATGTGTGTGGGGCCACACACATCTAGGCGCCGATCACCGGTGAAATTACGGGGCGCCTGCGCGTTCGGTCGAATCCGCCGCGAGCTCCTCTGTGTGCGAACGAGCGCCGCGGGCTCGAAACAAACGCCCGACTCGATTGTTCTCGCTCGTTCCGAAAACATTTAACTTTTGCCAACGATCGGTTGATTTTTTTTGTTTGTGTGGTGTGAGACGCGTCGGCGACGTTTGTGGTCTTTCGTTTCCGCGGCCGCACCCCCGACGACGTCGCGAGCGGCTCGACGGCCGGGCAGTGACCCCGCGGCGCCGTGATGGTCGTTCCGGACGACGTCTGAAAATTATTTCGTACACGACGAGGGCCCGCTCGATCACGGCCCGAAGTCGATTTTTGTTAACGTTTTCTGTAAATTGTCCACCGTCAAGGTCTCCCGGGTGGCTCCCCGCGCTGATCTCCCGCACCGCCGGCGCGTCGCTGTTCGAATTCGGGTACATAATTGTTTGAGAAAAAAACACGCTCAAACGATTCGGTACGCGGACTACGGCGAGCGCGGCGCGGTGCGGGGCCGCGAGCGCCCGCGTTGTGTGCGAGCATGCAGCGCGCTCCCTCTCTCTGATCATGGAGTTTTGTGATTTTACATCTATTTTGTATATTTTACTTTATAGTATACATTGAACGTGCCCGCGATGCGCCACTGCTCTGACATTTATTTAAGTGGACGACGGGAGTGCGATTTACTTCAAATAACTTTCTAAATAAACAGTTGGCTTATTTCTGTCGTAGATGACCTAGAGCGACGATATTTTTTTCATCAAAGGGGTTCTCTGAGGCACTCGTGTGTTCTCCTTGAGTAGTATGTCCGTGAGTCGTGGCGAGCGCAAGTGAATGTTGCGCGAGCGCCGGACTGTGTGTGCCGCGGGCCGCCCGCCGCACGGTGGGCCAGAAATCGACCTCCCCTTTCATAGGATTTTTTTTTTTAAAAAATTAGTTTTTAGCACTTTANTTTTACACCTGAAAACAAAACAAAATACTCGTATTATCCCTTCCAGGTTTCCCAGCCTGCCACATCGGGCAGTTCCGCTGCAGCAACGCGCTCTGCATCCCGGCGACGTACCACTGCGACGGCTACAAGGACTGCGCCGACGGCTCCGACGAGGCCAACTGCACCGCCATCGCCTGCCCCGACAACAAGTACCTGTGCCCTAAAGGCGGCCCCGGAGGGACCCACAAGTGTATTGCCAGGAGCCAGCTGTGCGACGGCAAGAAGGATTGCGAAGATAATGCTGATGAGGAGACTGCTTGTTGTAAGTTGCATTCTCAAACTGAGGTGGTAGGTGGTATTTTGTGCTAGTGCAGGTAATAGTTATATTGAATCTTAATTAAAACAGCTAAAATTATAGCTGGCTTCAACTCATTGAATCACTTTACATAAGGAAAATGTTTTGATTCCCGCCTTCCTGTTCTGTGAAGACAGTCAGATTATCTCATTGAGCGCTTAGAAAGATGACTCGTAGTCTCATAGAACTGATATGACAACAAATTGACGGGAACTCTTAGTCATATTCTGAATCACAGGACCTAAATTTTCAACACTCGAGATGATTTTCACGAAAGCTTCATTGCATTGTAAGTATGTACGTATACTTATTTCTTATCCCCAACGAGGAAGCTCTTGGCCTGTATCTCACACGCCTGATGGTAAGCGATGATCAGGCCGAAGGTTAAAGCGAGCCTCACCCGGAATCCTTAACCACAGAGGATCTGCCTATTTTACCTCTAACTGCCGCCACTGGGAATCGAACCCGGAACCTCTGCATCTGAAGCAGGTGGTCTTACCACTAGACCATAGAATCGGTGTATATACCTACTACATTCGTGTTTTTTCTTCCCAGCGACTGCATCATGTCCAGCGCTGGAATGCGAGTACAAGTGCGTGGCGTCGCCGGCGGGCGGCGCGTGCGCGTGCGGCGCGGGACTGGCGTTGGCCGCCGACAACCGCACGTGCGCCGACCGCGACGAGTGCAAGGAGTGGGGCTATTGCCACCAGCTGTGCGTCAATACTCCCGGCTGTGAGTACTCATCATCATCATTTCTGCCATAGCACGTCCACTGATTTCCATGTAGACCGGTTGGTAGCGGCTTGCGTCCAGTACATTGTGTTGTGGTGGACACCCCACGCTGTGTTTGCCCCATCGGCCGTCAGTTCTGCGTACGATGTGCCCTGGCCATTGCAACTTCAGCTTGCTAATCCGTCGGGCTATATGAGTACCTACTCACCGGCATCAAAACCACCAGCCATAGGCATACCGATCTCGCGGTATACTGGCCGAATCGTGGGAGGTGTGCGCGAAACTGTATTTTACCGTGCCACACTTCTTGACTCCTTACAAATTCTTATCATCATCAAGTCATTTAGTCTCCACTGCAAAAGGACATCCCCTCTAATGTACTAGAGGCAAATAGTTTGATTTACACTCCCCACGCTGACTGACAATAAGAAGTTTGGTGGAGAAGAGTTCAAAAGTCTTTCTGCCCAGCATGAAAACCAATATTACCCCCTAGAATATGTCCTTTTTTTGACGGGGAGGAAATGCTCCGCGCACCGTCGCCACTGTTAAAAAGGATCGGGTATATCCACTAAAACCTCCGCGGCGTTCCGTTATCGCACGAGTGGTGGTGTTGTGAGTATCTGGCCGTATGGACTTCCGCGACCTCTAGACTTGTCTTGAACCAACAATAAATCTCCCTCCCTTCATGATTTAGGGTTATAATAGAATCCTTTTCTCACCTCCAGCGTACCGTATGTCTAGGGAAGAGTGGTATCACCTAACACAAGCGTACACCTTATGCCTAAAAGGTGATTCCATTGTCAAAGATTTTGTAAAAACTCTTTATTCATTAAGTAGCAGTGTTGTATTCTTCGCCTACCAGTAAGGAAGTCGGTGTGTTTTTTTTAGTGATAACTTTGTTACTTGTACTGCAACCGGAGTAGTATTGCTGTGTTATAGCAGTGCCTCTTGCCCTCCGAGTATCAACGGAAGACCAGCGTCGTGGTGTCCCTTACGACACCTCGACATGATGCTGAGTGGATACCGTTTCGGTGACACGCACATTACCTACTCTCTTTACTTTTGTTAAATATTTTTGATGTTGTTTTGTGTCGCTGAATAAAATATTTCATTTTCATTTTTAAAAGGTTTATATTGAAATAAAAAAAAAATATTATTACCTCCAGCGTACCGCTGCGCGTGCGCGCCCGGCTACCGGCTGGTGGACGGCGGGCGCTGCGCCGCGGAGGGCCCGGGCGGCGCGGGCGCGGGCGCGTGGCTGGCGCTGGCGCACGGAGCGGGCGTGGTGCGAATGGAGCTTCATGGACGAGCGCCCGCGCCGCTGGCGAATGCCTCAGCGGCTGCCGGCCTCGACTTCCATTACAAGAAGAACCTGCTGTTCTGGTCCGATTTGAAGACGAGGAAGGTTAGTATTATAATGATGTTAGCTATACTAAATTTTCAAAACAAACGGCGAACAAACCTCTTCTCCACAGTGCCAGCCGCGTGCTTAGCCAGGCCCGGCGTATCTCCGAAATGCAGTTTGCTTGTGAAGGATTAGCACATATTGATGAAAAAGACCATAGTTCCATAGGGGCTGGATCCCGCACTCATTAGATTCACTTGATTTTGGAAATTGACAAACGCTTATATTATGGTTGCCAAATTAAAGAACACACCGCTGATGCGCACGGGCGTCCTTCCGAACTCAAAACTGTTGCGTCACTGGGGGGTGTCGCAATCGCAATCGCGAGCCTTAGCTACATAGGAAAGAATGTTGCCAGTTTGTGATTAAAAAATGCAATTAAGAAAAGAGCAAATTCCTTCCAGTTTGTGTTGTTTTATCTTAAACTAAAATTAAGAAACCAATAAATATATTTCGGTACGAAACAAATGATATGCACGTTTATTATCTATTCTATCTGCTTTCTATCTCGCTAACCAGATTAGTTGAAGAGACCTGCCCCCCTAGACAAAATGCACTTTTTGATCGAATCGAAAATCGAATCCGTCAAAAGTCTATTCAAAAAAAGGCCATTCGATCACTTTTCGACTGGTTTGCGATTATAATGTGCTCTTTGTCTAGACCCACTGATGTTCGTATTTGTTGTCTGGTCTTAATTGCCTTTTGCAATATTCTCCGCGGGAAGAATAGGAGTGTCGTAAAATAATGAACTCCGATGGGACGGGATAAACTCAAATCAATAAGTAAAATAGAATTTAAATTCGTTATTTTATTTACTTTACAGTCCAACATAACTTTTGTATCATTAAACTTACAGCTGTTTCGGATCAGCACTGACTAGAATCACTCAAGAAACTCTATATCGCGTTTAAAATAAACTATCAGAGCTCAAACTCATAACCATTCCTTTCAGATCCACTCGCAACAACTGAGCGCGCCAGCGGGACTCAACAGCTACGCAGGCGCCGCCATAACCGTAGCAGGCTCGTGGGCGCCGACCGCGCTCGCCGTGGACTGGGTGGGCGACAAGCTGTACGTGGCCGACGCCGTGGGGCAGAAGATCGATGTCTTCGAGCTGGACGGACGATGGCACGCTGTGGTGCTGGGGTCCAATTTGACAAGTCCTGCTGATATCGCATTGGATCCTACTGTGGGGTTCATGTTCGTGGCTGATAGTAGTCAGGTACGCATTTTTTTTTCTTCATCCACTTTTTTCATCCAGTCTGTGATCTGAAACGAGAATGTTTTCAGCAGGGATGTTATGGATATCCGTAACCGTAACCAAAACTTTCGGATATCCGAAATAAAAAAATATAAATAATAAATATCCTTGGACATTTTACACTGCGCTTCTAGTCCCAAACTAAGCAAAGCTTGTACTATGGGTACTAGACAACGGATATAAACATACTTAAATACTTTTTTTTTGTAAATACATACTTATTATACATAGAAAACACCCAGTCCAATACAAACAAATATATCCGAAACCGTAACCATAATCGATTCAAAAGTTTCGGATAGTTTCGGATGTAGGCAGTTTAAATTGTTTTTTGTATAGCATTATATGTAAAGGCATGACAGCCTGATTTACCTTTATAATGCCATCTAGTATCAATTTTTATTTTTTTATTAATTTTTATTCCATGTAAAGTGTGCGGCCATGAATGAACCGTGTTGGACAACTATTGTAAATTGCATTCTAAAGCACAGATATCCGTGACCGTAACCGAAACTTTCGGATATCCGAAATAAAATAATATCCGTAACTGTAACCGAAACCGGTATAATATTATTCCTGCATCCGTAACCGTATCCATAACCGAAACTACATAGATATCCATAACATCCCCAGTTTTCAGTTTTCTTTCAATCTTCGTGTTATCTTTGCAGATTATCCGAGCCAACATGGACGGCACGCACGCCAAATCGATTGTATCCGAAGCTGCTTACAAAGCCTCCGGTATCGCCGTGGACATCATCGCGAAACGCGTGTTCTGGTGCGACTCCTTGCTCGACTACATCGAGACAGTGGACTATGATGGCAACCACCGGTTCCTGGTACTCAGAGGACAGCAGGTCCCCAGTCCCTCCAGATTAGCATTATTCGAGGACAGAGTCTACTGGTCCGACAGCACTAAACAAGGCATCAGCTCGGTCAACAAGTACGAAGGTGCCTCCAGCATCCAGGCCATATACAAGCAGAAGGACATCCGAGACCCCAAAGCTATAACTGTGATACATTCTTTAAAACAAACCTCAGTAAACAATCCTTGTGGAAACAACAACGGCGGCTGCTCGCAAATGTGTATAGTGACCGCGCTGCCCAACGGTGGGCTCGGCTACCGCTGCGCCTGCAACATTGGCTACAGACTAGGATCTGACTTAAGAAACTGTGATCTCGTCAAAGAGTTCCTTATGTATTCCCAGCAGAGGTTCATCAAAGGAAAGGTCTTGAATCCCGTGATAGAAGGATTCAGCGAAGCTATTTTGCCAGTCGTGTCTAGAAGGGCGCGATTTGTAGGTCTAGATTTTGACTCAAGGGACGAACATATTTACTATTCGGATGTCTTACAAGACGTCATATACAGGGTACACAGAAACGGGACGACGAGAGAGATCGTTCTCGCATCCCAGAACGAGGGCGTGGAAGGTTTAGCTGTCGATTGGGCATCCAAAAACTTGTACTACATCGATTCTAGGAAAGGAACACTTAACGTTCTATCGACACGAAACGTGGCTTACAAAAGGACTCTCCTGAAAGACTTGAAAAGACCGCGAGCTATCGTCGTGCATCCAAACAAAGGTTACATCTTCTTCTCCGAATGGGACCGCCCGGCGAACATCAGCCGAGCGAACACGGACGGAACCGGTCTTCTGGTCTTCGAGAATGTCACTCTTGGATGGCCCAACGGTCTATCGATAGATTTTGAAGAGGACAGGATTTACTGGTGCGACGCTTTACTAGATCACGTTCAGCACGCCAAAATGGACGGAACAGACGTGAAGACCGTGAACTCGAGGTTAATAAGGCATCCGTTCTCGATCGTCATCCACAAGGAGTTCATGTACATCACCGACTGGAGACTGGACGCGATAGTCCGCCTGCACAAGCTCACAGGGGAGCAGGAGGACATAATGGTCCGCGAGCCGCAAACGAACCGGTTGTACGGCGTCAAAGTTTACAGCGAGGATATCCAGAAGATTGATCCCATGCAGCCGTGCGCGAGAAACAATGGCAACTGCCAGAAGCTCTGTTTTGCGATACCGAGGAATAACACGGAGCTGTTGACTGTGAAGTGCGGGTGTCCCTATGGAGAGAAGCTGGCGAACGACGGCACCACATGTGTTGCAGACCCGAACTCGGAGCCGCCGGTGCAGGCCTGCCCCAACTCCTGGGACTTCACGTGCAACAACCAGCGCTGCATACCCAAGAGCTGGGTGTGCGACGGAGACGACGACTGCCTGGACAACAGTGACGAGGAGTTCGCCAACTGCACGAGTAAGTTTCCTCTCTCATATCTCTGTGATATTAGCATCATTCCGAGGAGCGTGACGAGCAGTCACCGGATAAATCACTAGTGTGAAAGGCGCTTAGTTCGTTTCAACCAAATACGGTCCACTGCTGGACAAAGGCCTTCCCCAAGGATTTCCACAACTACTGGTCTTGCGTTGCCCGCATTTAAATACTTCCCGCGATCTTCACCAGATCGTCTGTCTACCTAGTGTAAGGCATGCCCACACTACGACTCCAGGCCACTCCAGAACTTTTCTGTCTAAACAGCCATCAGCTATACTAGCTATGTGCCCCGCCCACTACCACTTAAGGGTTGAGAATACACTCTTATTATACCTACTTAATGTATTAATGCTTATGTGACTGCACCAGACAGTCTGCCAATAGAGAGAGATGGAGGGAGATCGTGCGGAGAGTTGTATCCGCCTCTACAACCGATGTGAACAACGCCTCAACGTGATCACGACCGCTCTGCCAAGAGCGTAACGAATAAGAAGAAGAAGAATGTATTAATTGGGCCGTTTATCTTCCAATTCCCAGAATCAACATGCGGCCCTTCGGACTTCATGTGCAAATCCGGTCGCTGCATCCCGGCGACATTCAAGTGCGACAGCGAGAACGACTGCGGCGACTACTCGGACGAGGCGGGCTGCGTCAACGTGACGTGCAGCTCGTCGCAGTTCCAGTGCGACAACGGCCGCTGCGTGCCCAGTACTTGGAAGTGCGACTCCGAGAATGATTGCGGCGATGGATCTGATGAGGGCAGCCACTGCGCGGAGAAGACCTGCGCCTACTTCCAAGTGAGTGTTGTACTGTAATGAGCTAAACATGTTTATTGCAGCACGTTCTATGGACCTGCTACTATTTCTTCGTAAGTCTTCAAATCAAACCGTCTACTGGTCTAACCAAACGGGTTTTATAAATTAATTTAAAATTTTTGTTATCTTGGAATAGAAAATTAAACAGGAATTTACGTTCAAATATTGCGCAATAAGATGAGTGTTGCTTGACAGTTGACATGCTCTCTGCGTGCACATAACAATAGATGAGTATACGCCTGTTTAGTTTCACACGAGCGATTTCGTTTGCTCGCAGCGCGTGACGATCAGTAGCCTTATTCACGTCACAAAACTTCAACGACAACAAATCACTGAGTTGCGATCCTATCGAGTAATCGTTCCATCAAAATAACCCTTGTGAATACAGATTTATAACTGTTTTTCAATGGGACGACGTAACAAAACTTCAATGACAACAAATCGCTGAGGTGCGATCCTATCGAGTAATCATTCTATCGAAAATGACCCTTGTGAATACGGATTTAAAACTGTTTTTCTATGGGATGACTTCTGAACGTCAGCGAGACCTTGACTGTCAAAATACGTGAATTAGGCCACAGCCCCGCCGAGAAATCTATGTTATTTTTGTCGTAATTGTGATAACAATACTGATTGTGACGTGTATGTACCCGACAGTTCACGTGCCCTCGCACGGGGCACTGCATCCCGGCGTCGTGGGTGTGCGACGGCGACGACGACTGCTTCGACAAGCAGGACGAGGCCGACTGCCCGCCCGTGTCCTGCCTCGCCAGCCAGTTCAAGTGCGCCGACCTCAAGCAGTGTGTGCAGGTCAGTACGAATTGTAGTATCTTCTTTCCAAAACGCAAATCTTGTCTTGTTTAGATTGTTGTTTTCTTAGAGAAACAACACACCTTGTTACTTTTAAAGCCTGGTCCGTGAGCACGTAGAATTTTGTCCAATGACCCCAAGCTACCCATCCTTATCGCTCGCGTGTAATTATATTGCTGTCGCGACTGTGCGACGGGCGCCCGCAGTAGGTGTGCGAGGTTAGCTTCGGCGATCGGCCATTTAGTCTTAATTGAATGCAGCGACCACACATTCCACACCGCACACTTAAAAATATTAATCGCTGTGATTGAGTCGCTTTTCAGAAGCCCGACGCAACGAAAGCAGTCGCTAAAACGCGCGATTCTCGATATCGCATCCGAACGCAAGTTACGAAATCGCAATGCTGCATCGATTGTCGATAAAACGAGCGATTCCGTTACCCCGTCCGAATGCATAAAAATGCTGCATCGATACAGTCGTACTCGTAAAATCACCGATCGCCGATGCTAAAAGTACCATGTCTGTTGTGGCCCCTGCCCTTTTTTGGTAAAAGTCTGTAAATTGTAAAAATGAACCTTATGTGGTCTCAGGAAGCGTACAAATGCGACGGCATCCCGGACTGCAACGACGGCAGCGACGAGGCAGGCTGCCCGTCCCTGGCACCGCACCAGTGCCAGCCCGACAAGCAGTTCCAGTGCCGCTCGTCCGGCATCTGCATCCCCACCACCTGGTACTGCGACGGTGAGTCCCTGCTGCTGCTGTGTGTACTGCGACGGCACCCGGCCTGCCACGACGGCGCCGCACAGTGCCAGCCCGACAAGCAGTTCCAGTGCCGCTCGTCCGGCATCTGCATCCCCACCACCTGGTACTGCGACGGTGAGTCCCTGCTGCTGCTGTGTGTACTGCGACGGCACCCGGCCTGCCACGACGGCGCCGCACAGTGCCAGCCCGACAAGCAGTTCCAGTGCCGCTCGTCCGGCATCTGCATCCCCACCACCTGGTACTGCGACGGTGAGTCCCTGCTGCTGCTGTGTGTACTGCGACGGCATCCCGGCATCATTTAGAACGTGATCAGCAGCAAATAACTCTGCTGCTACTCTTGGCTATGCATATGATATGGCTAGCATAGATTTAGATCGTGATCAGCAAGTTAAGGTTGCGTTAGTCCCAAAGGCAGTTTCAACTGTCTTTTGAGCCGAAATGAAACGAAAATAAGAAATCGTTTTAGTTCAGTATCGATATTCGATATCATCTACTGATGGCATCGATCTAGTTCTAAAGTAATTTAATGGTTAAGGCCCTATCTCCATCAAGGTGAAGTTAGAAGAGAAGTGGATACAATTAAATCTGATTGGTTTATTCAAAACACTTCTCCGCTCCGCACTGCTTTGGTGGAAATCGGGCCTAAAAGTTACGAGGGTATCTGTTACTTCAGATTTACCACACGTTTTGTAGTCGACTATTAGCTGATTCACGCCACACTTTCAGCCAATTCTCTTTGATTTGACATAATTCTGCGACGGTCATTAATCATGAACATTACCACCCAGGCACCCCGGACTGCGAGGACCTGTCAGACGAACCGACGATCTGCGGCACGGTGCAGTGCGCCGCCAACTACTTCCGCTGCGACAACGGCCGCTGCGTGTTCAAGGCCTACGTCTGCGACGGCAACGACGACTGCGGCGACGGCTCCGACGAGGGGCTCAAGCACGCCTGCAAGCCGCCGCCGTTCAGGTAACAGGGCCTAAGAAGGTCACAAAGTATCTTCCGAACTCTTGTAGGTCCTTCCATCGTGTTGGTTTATGCTAGTTAATTGATGCAGTTTACTTCTAAAGAATTCGATAAATCGAAATCATACTGATGGGATGCCCAGGTTCTTTAATGGACCCATTTATGCAAACAAGAACCAACCCACAGCAGGGTGGTTTCGAGAAAATGAGACTTTTGTAAAAAGAGTGCGCAAAATGCATACATAATATATAAGTGAATGATTACTTGTTAATCTTATGTGGGATACTGCAGCCTATCTAGGAATATCAGATTTATAAATTTTGTAAAGTTAAAGTTAAAGTAAATCGTTAAAAACTGGTTGGTTCTTTCTTGCAAAAACATTTTTTGTNTTTTTTTTTTAAAAATCCTATGAAAGGGGAGGTCGATTTCTGGCCCACCGTGCGCCGCCGCCGGTACTTTGCGCTGACTGAGCGCATCGTCATCGGTCAATTTCTTTTGCGCAAACTTTAGCTTGAACTAAAACCACCAGAATATTCAGATCAAATCGTTGCTATAAAAATGTGCAAGTATTGTTTTAAAGTGCTATTTGCGTGGACAACAAAATCGTGAAACTGTTCTCTTCAAGGGAAGTTTGAGAGTCGTATAGTTTATTTTGCTATTTTAATCTTGCACCCGTACTAAAGTTAATGCTGTCGTAAATATATTAGAATATAGCACGACTGAATTCCTCACCCTGTGTAACGGTTTAAAAGTGAATAGTATATCTGCCAAGAAACTAATTTCAGTGCAGGTTGCGCTTTATTTTTTTCTTTTGTTCGGCCCGACTGAAAATATGTTGACCGAAGGAAGAAGTAGGTACGACTACATAGCGGTTACCAAGGCAGCGCAATATTTCGCGAGCACGGCGGCGGCGGGCGGGCCGCGTTTGAGCGTACGAGTATGTCGTATCGTTATTTTTTACTGTCGAATAAAATTGTCTAAATTTCCACGCATTATGTTTAATTTCATCCTGAATGTATCGTGTTTGGTGACGCCCTTTTAACTATAAATCGCGCGTCGCGTCGGCGACACCGCGGCCGGCCCTCGGAGCCGCCGGCGCGGGCGGCCAGTGTGTCTGATCTATTGAAACTAAAAGTAATAACATCGTGTGAATGTAAATATAGTAAACGTATTGCGTGTACGTGGCGGTGCACCGCCTCCTTGCAACTTTCGATGATAAATTATAAATTCTAGACTATTTCCGAGATATTTCGAAGATATAAATAACGTATTTTGTATTATTAAAATGTATGTTATGTGTCGATTCGCAATAAATGATTATAATGCAGATGTTGAATGCATTTACTTAGAAACTCTGGTGAAGTCACGTCGGCCTGCGCACGCCCTCACCTTCGTTCAACCTTATAAATTTTTGATCATGTACCGAAAAGTACCTTCCCATCAGTGCTGGCACTATTAAAATAATAAAGAAGTTTACAACAAAATGATTATATCAGTTATAGTTACCAAGGCCCATATTATGAAACGAAATTCTAAGTACCCATAATTACACTCAAGAATAGATTTAATGCTGTGATTTGTTCGCACGTAATTTAATCACAGGGTTGTTTCTGTTCTTGGTATTGTTATGAGCTTGTGTCAGAATGCAAGCTTACATTGGTGTCCCGTGTCCCCGCGCGTTGGCCGGCACTTCACTCTACACTGTATTATACCACACCTTACTTGTTATTCGATTTAATTGTAGAGAATACAAATTTGAAGTATCTTTTTTTTCTTCCTTTTTATTTCTCCGTAAGTTTATTGCTTCCATTTTATTCGAACTCATTACTATAAGATTTTTTTTTTAAATTTCATCAATCTTTATCTGTAAACACACGGTGCGATATCATGATTTGGAAAACAAACTACTTCTTAATTTTATTATTTTATGTCCATATTAAAAAAAAGTATTTACTGTAATAATCAAATATATCTGGCGAAAAAAAAACAATAAATTGTATAATGCACTTCCGTGCTATCGCATCTTATGTTTGCTCGCCCGTTGTGAAATTTTGTGTACTTATTTATTGTAAATATACTTTCAATTTTGCAATACCCGAGGACAGACATCGTGATTCGATTACGTTACGAACTGCCTCGTAATGAGCAAAGCAAAAAAAGAAGATAAATGTAAATATTTATCTTTAAGGAACAATAACAGGTTTAATTAGATTGTGGTGCCACTGTAATAATAAAATATATAATATATGTATTATGTAATTATAAAAATACTGCCATCAATTTAATAGTTACTTAATGAAGATTTCCATTCCATGTGACTTAGTAGTTACCTAAGGCTTTGCTAGAGTAGACGGGCCTGCTACACACTATGATTCGGCTGCTGCGCGGCCCTAAGTAGTAACCTAAGGCCTTGCAATAGTAGACTCGGGCCTGCTATAGTCTGGTCCGTGAGCACGTAGAATTTTGTCCAATGACCCCTAGCTACCCATCCTTATCGCTCGCGCGTAATTATGTTGCTATCGCGCTCGCACACTCACTGCGGGTGCCCGTCGCACAGTCGCGACAGCAATATAATTACGCGCGAGCGATAAGGATGGGTAGCTAGGGGTCATTGGACAAAATTCTACGTGCTCACGGACCGGGCTTTACACAGATTCGGCTGCTGCGGCCCTGTTCATGTCCGGGCTGCCCGGGCGACAGACGGCCGCGGAACAGGATCGGTCGTGGAGCAGGCCTCGGGCCCTCGGGCCCCGAACCGGTGTCTGTCCTCGGGTGGGCCTTCGCCCATCTTCTGTAAACATCTTTCTGGCCCCGCGACTATCTCACGAGCGATGTCGAATATCGATGCTCTTAAGAGTTACATTATTCAAAATAACCATTTGTCATGCACACGTAAACTCTGAATGCAGTAAACGTTCGTTGTATGAATTTCGGGTCTGGAATTTGTAGTGTATTTTGTTTTCGTAAAATGAGTAACCGCCTCCAGCGGGCGCCACTCCTGCGATGACGGTTCGGGGTTTAATACCCAGTCGACGCTTATACATTAACATGATCTTGTGTATAAATTATCTTCAATCTGTATTTTATTGCTAATTGTATAAATATTTTTGCGTGATTAAATCCCTAAAATGTGGCTATTCGAATGCTCAGTCAATTTTCCCCCTGGAATCATATTGAATTTTAAAAAAACTTGTAGATCAACGGTATGGTAACCTAAATTTTATCTCGAAGTTTTTTTGCGACTGATCCCATTGGGAAACTTGCAGGTCTGAGCGGCTGAATATCTTTTTTATGATTAACTACATTTTATTGCGTTATTTATACAGTTTTATATTGTATTTTTCAAACTTGTGTTGTTCGGTTGTAGTGCCTCTAGTGTTAGTTCGCGCGTCGACCACCGGCGCAGGAGTGGCGCGCGTGGGCGCGACTCCCTCTGTAATAGAGACGTACTTTTTGTAACACGCCGTGAGTTTTATTTCGCCAAACCCTACCCCTTATTATTAAATGAACTTATTGGCTTAGACCGCTATATGGATAAATCAGCACAATTTTTCTGAAAACACCGTAATGTTAAAAACATCTGTTGCAGACCTTGATGAGACTAATAAGTCCCCATGTACTTGCAAATTATTTATATATGTATAATATGACATTTTTATGATATTATTGAGATATTTTAAAATGTTTCAAATTATTTAAATTATTATGACGCAAAATTTTTAATAACTTATTAATAATATACTTACTTGGTTTAGTAATAATAATTTATTTATTTGCACAGAAAGTTTAAAGATAATATCTTTTATGAATTACATATTATGTAACCCTTAGTAAATGAAATGAAAGTAATTAATGTTACATGTTTATTAATTACTAGCTTTCCGCCCGCGGCTTCGCGCGCGTGGACTACATATTTTACGGAACCCTATTTTTTTCCAAAATAACATTTAACCTATGTTACTCTTGGATAATGTAACTTTCGAATGGTGAAAGAATTTTTAAAAACGGTCCAGTAGTTTTTGAGCCTATTCATTACAACCAAACAAACAAACAAAGTTTTCCTCTTTATAATATTAGTGTAGATTTCTATCTCTGGAGGGAAGATTGATATCGCCAAGCCGTTCTACTCGTGTTTAGAGATGCATGTTACAAATTGGCGGGCATTTAACCCGCGCACGTAAATAAATTATTTGTGTTTGAGGTACAATGCAGGCAGACAAAGAAGGTCTATCAATAAGCGTAATCACCGTATACAAGAGTTCTGTATCCTGATGCTGCCTGCCTGAAAGCAATAAAAATAATTACTTAATACCAAATAAATCAAGCAAATAATTTATTGTGCGGCGAATTAAATTAAACGTTATTTAGTATCGCAGTTCGTCAACGTGTGCACTCGCTCGGCCGGCCAGCGCGCAGCGAGCCTACCGCGCGCCGGCCGCGGCTCGGGCGCGCGCAGCCGGGCTCGGGAAGCGCAGGCCGCAGACAGCCGCGCACTCGCCGCAGGACCGCAGCCGCGCACCACGCGACACGGTGAGTGTCCAACACTTTACTCCGTACTTTTTTAAACTTCTTATAAATTCGTTCATACATAAACAAGTAAATTTAGACATTCTAAAACCACAAAATTAAAATTTATATTTAATAGCTGTACTAATTAACTAAAACTTATGATGATTGATAATGTTTTGACATTTTATAATGTGTTTGTTATGTTTTAAAAAAAAACAAGTCATATGTAGAGGCAAAGTAAAATAAATGTAGTACTTCGTCAAATCACGAGCGGGATTTGTGAGGAGTTTTAAATATTAAACGTGTTGCATGGAGTGACCGTAGACCGGGGAACTTTTTGTAGCGAAAACTGGTTTAGGGAGTCGGGAATACTTGATGAGCCGGCTTAGAGACTTAGCACGCGCTTTTGCGACACGCTAATGTAGGTGTCCGTCACATCCGAGCTGAGATTGCAAAGTCGGCTTTATTCATTAACTAGCAAAATGTCCTGGCTTTACATGGATGATTTTTTTGATATCCAATGCTTCCCGGTTGAATTCTATTGAGTGACGACTTAAAAATTCTGACACTAGTTTATTTAATTGTTTATTAAACAGGACCGGACAAAATTTTGATGGAAAACTTAATAATTTGTGTTTTAGTATTGCACTCGTATTACACTACACACAGGACACTTAATACCAAGAAAGCTGGGCTTTGTTCTTATCTTTTATCGAAAACTTACTTCAAGTTCTATCTAACTTCGTATTTAAATCAAGCACGTTGTTTCAACTTTGAACCCAATAACTTCCCTACCTACTCGTCAAGTAACTTTTATAAAAGTATCTTCATCCATCAGTGTGTGTGCGAAATGAAATTATTGTCTTAAAAGTATTTCCACAAAGAAAGAATCTTGTTGTATGCGCGTCGTGAATGGACTATTGAAAGAGTGTTTTATTTGTGAGTCGTTACACGACTATTTGTTTGTGTAAACCGAACTGTCGGCACAGATGCTCGCTTGCAGGCGGACGAATTCTTTGCTTCATTCGGTTAGAACAGAGTTAACCAATAAACGGTTAAAATTTTAACTGAAGGTTTATCGTCCAATTTTGCTGGTACCAATCTGATATTTTTTGATTCACTGAATCGGCAAAATATTATCTACCATTTTATTTGAATGCAACTAAACATTAATTAGTAAATGTCTTCTGCCTTTGGCGCCTGAAAATAAAGTTTTTTGTCGCATTGTGTTGTAAAAAAACTTTATGATTATTTCATCCGCAACGTTCACAAGTTTGCATCTCTTACCTCAAAGTAGGATTTACAACTCAAATCGGCAAAATTTGGGCGGTAGTAACATTTTTTATTGGCTGCTAAGGGATGATTCTGTATTCTGGTTGTGGTTAACTATTGAGTACCATACCATTCATACCACCTGCATAGCAAAGTTTATTATTCCGCAGCATTTAGTCATGACGGCGCATGGCCGCATGGTCGTTACGTATGTTAGTGTTTGTGCTTGTATCTGAGCGAAATGTGTTAAAATGGTCTTGTTTGACCGAACCACTCCAATAAGATGAATGTTACTCAGTAGGTTTACTTACCCCTACTGTACGACTCGTATTTATATTACGCGTATCGCACTAATCCAACAAAGAAATATGTATTGAAGGTCTACAGAAACAAGCAAGTTTCTGTATATGAACAACATTGCCAAATTAAAAAGCAGTTTCTGTAGACTTTCAATATCTCTACAACCATAAGTTCCCAGGTTGATCCAAAAGAAAAGAAAATATGATATGAAAAATACATGATAGGTGCTTGGCTAAATAGGATTCTTTGTAGGTTTTAGTACATCTCTTATTTGTGAGGTCTTACCCAGCTTGGCTGCGCTGTGGCGCGCTGCCGAGCGGCAATAAATCCGCGCTTGATTACACCGCGCGGCTTCACGAGCAGAATATTCACAAGTTAGTTATGTGCTGCGCTATCCGATGTTCCCTGCCTATCGAACAGCGCCATAAACTTCGATTACAGCATGAGTAATATCCTCCAACCACTCACAGTATGAGGGTACGAGTATAGCAAGTAGGTACATACCTACTCGATACAATAATCAGACTTCATTTTCTAAATCTAGACTTTGACTCAAATTCAAATTTCCAATGAAACAGCGCATGGTCCCTTTCCCCCCAAATGTACTATGGGCTCTTCATGAAGTTTTGCTAGACCTTATTATCGTTAACGTCATCCACAGTCGCTTGATTCTACCACTGTAAATCTACTGCACTTGCTACAGGTATCAGCAACTTCATTTGATGATTTGATCATCATAAAATGAGTGTTGGCATAATTTAATATCGCAAAATGTTATAAATATGAGCGCACATTGACACACAAAGCTTTGTGTATTTTTCTCGCTTTTATCTGTCGGGGGTCAGCGCTATCTGCGGACGCGATGCCCGCTTCCGCCCGCGCGCCCGCTTGTCCTGCCGCCTGCCGGCTGACCCACATACGAATTTTGTCACATAAAATATTCGCGAACAATGGACTATCTTGACCGTTGGTCCTACTTTTCAGAATACACCAAAGTGTAACATAAAATTCCAGAGTCGTCTCCGAATTCAATCGAGGAAAATTTAATAAGTTATGTGTTACGTCTAACGTCCCGTCTTGAGGGTCGAAATTCAAAAAAGTTTATTCTTATGGACATTGGGTATTACCCTTACACTATGTGGTCGGCGGCTGGCTTCATCGTCATTATAGCGCTGCACTGCACTCGATGCAGCAGCCATAAATTAATTACAGACTCCATGCACTTCTGACGTTTGCATATTATGTGCAGCATCTGCATAATATTTATGTCCTTCCTGTTGTTGCGATCTCTTATCATTATTTTCACAGCACAATTAATAAGCAACCCGTAGATTATTTTTCCGATATCTGTATTGCATATTATTCTATCCTTAGAATCTATTTTACATAATTTTGTTCCTATTCAAAGGGCTACGGTTATCTTAGAATCCCAGTGATGTTTCGGTTATGTTAACATTAAACCTATATAATCCTCGCTCTACAGAAATCCGAGAGGATTCCGGAGAGCTTTTGGCACTCCTACTTGAAAGCGCCCTCAAAGCCTTTGCTCGATTGCCAAATCAAATAATTCAATGTAAGGAGCGCTGACGGCAAGGAGCTTTACTTTTGGCTTCAAAGTGCACTTCAGAAGGGAACGTACACACAAAAAACAATACTTTGTAACAGTCGCACATAAAAAAGCAATTAATGATAAATATTGATTAGAATGCCTCTCGGTAAGTAACACAAATTAACTATAATGTATTTAGGTAAATTTGGTATAGCAACGTGGCCCAAAATATAATTTTGCTTCTGGAACAAGAAGCTCGTATAATCTAAGACGGCCGTATAACTTTTCGGCGTAGTCGTAAAGCGGCGAGCGGCCGTCAGATCGCGGGCACGGGGACACCAATCTGGGGTTATCGTCGCCAGATACCGAGGTTCAAAAATACTGATGATATCCATATTTTTATACACTAATCGCCAAATGACTATTCGATTATGTTGGTTTTTGCTCATTATGTGGGACAATTTGTCATTCAATCGAATATGTAATATGCGATCTAGTATACTCGTACATTGCAAAGGTACAAGTACACTCGCGAGCAAAAGTATGGAATCACTTACATGAAGTTGTTTCCACGCGAACTTGTGTACTAACGAATTTGTTAGGAACAAAAAAAGTGACACCATTTTAAAGATTAAACTTTTATCTTTAAATTGATACCAAATTCATTTAAATCACACCAGTATTTAAAAAGATATCCCGGCTGATGTGAAGAAGTAACGAAAAAGACATGTATGAACTGTTTGATACGTCGCGAGTTGCGGCCTATTTACCCCCTATAAAAGCACGCGTTTTCGGATTTTTGCTTTCACACGTTGATTCATACACATCTCCGCTTCTTTTGACACTTTACCTGGGATTCTACACTTTCAGAAGCAGCACAAATCGTTGCACTATTGCAAGAAGGGCTCAGCCAGCGAGCTGTCGCACGTCAGCGCCACATAAGCCAGTCCTGGGTTTCGAAAGTTTTAAGACGCTTTCGGGAGACTGGTGGCTTTATCCCGAGACCAAGTTCTGAACAGCGCCGGCGCACATCGCAGAGGGAAGACCGTTTTTTCATGTCAACCTCTCCATGAAATCGTCATTTGACTGGAATCGACGTCCAGNAATAGTGCAACGATTTGTGCTGCTTCTGAAGGTGTAGAATCCCAGGTAAAGTGTCAAAAGAAGCGGAGATGTGTATGAATCAACGTGTGAAAGCAAAAATCTAAAAACGCGTGCTTTTATAGGGGCTAAATAGGCCGCAACTCGCGACGTATCAAACAGTTCATACATGTCTTTTTCGTTACTTCTTCACATCAGCCGGGATATCTTTTTAAATACTGGTGTGATTTAATTGAATTTGGTATCAATTTAAAGATAAAAGTTTAATCTTTAAAATGGTGCCACTTTTTTTGTTACTAACAAATTCGTTAGTACACAAGTTCGCGTGGAAACAACTTCATGTAAGTGATTCCATAGTTTTGCTCGCGAGTGTATTATCATAATGTCTTGTTTAATTGTTTAAAAAATCAATACAAGATCTAACAATATTCCAGTCGTCTATTGACAAAGCCTGCAGCTGTGCGGGCTGGCCATCCCTCGTCCGTTGCGTGCGAAGATCACTGCCCCGGGCATTGGCGGCTCTATTGACGTGCACATGAATCTAAATGCACGGGATGCTGATTCACAGTTGCTGTATCGCGCCAATGAAAAACGCATATTTTATCCGCACTTACCATGCGAATAAATGGGCCATGATTGATGTTTATTGGAACTGAAATTGATACGCTGTTACATAGCGCAAACAAAAATTGCTTGCTGCTGTGCGCGGTTCAATATAATAGTTACTAATATTTACATGCTTATTTTCGATCGCCTTTGCAACTGAGGCGTTAAAACTAAGAAATCATCATATCAAGATTAATTATATTAAGGGTTATTTAATTAACCTATATTTAGATCCCCGAGTTGCAATTTTATCGCCAGCCACACTCATGACCATGTGGAATTTTATATTGTTTGAATGTTAGTGTTGCCTGCGACTTCGTGTCTGTACATTTATTATGCTGCATCATACACATGTCACATTGTGTAAACATTGAATAATTTCATAACTTTCGGACCCTAGTGTAATAGTCTCATTACCCTCGATAGACCAATGAGGCCGAGTGAACTTGCCCCGGTGGTGGCAGCCGCTGCATATTTGGGTCAATGGAAACAAATAGATGTTGGTGCGAGATTGCGTGTGCTCCTTGATTTCAATTCATTGGCAATTATTGCTCCATTCAGCTGCAGCACGGGCCAGTGAAGTGGGACGAGGGATGACCTGATGTAATATTGATAGCGGTCCAAAATCTCGCCGCGGTTCTTGCGCCAAATATGGCTGACGCATGCCTACATAAAGTTACTTGAATCCCATAAGGCAACATAGTTAGCCAGTATATGGTGTTCTAATGAAATGTTCATGTAGTCTAGTACTTGTACCTACAGTGCATTTTGATTTAGCTTATTGTTGAACTACTAATTTACCTACGCTTTAGTTGCAACAAAACCCCTAGTATAAAGGTGTACGGTGCAGTAAATAAAAAAACTCAAAACTCATAAAACTCATTTTATTTTTGCAAGTAGGCTTTTAAAACGCACTTTTACTTATACACACAAAAGCATCCTTACATAGATAGGTACGTTTTACAGCAGGGCGTTCCCTAACCGTCATTGGCTCTATACACTAATGAATAGTTATATCGGTTTCGAAGAATCTCCAGCGATTCCTGCAGCTGCAGGCGATGATGTCAGCTTTGTCGCCAATTAGTGCGCAGCTCCTGAAAAATTACATCACTCGTACTTATCTATATTATGCCGAATGCAAACAGTGTTACGGTATGCCTACATGATGACGCTAATTTAAACTATTCTATCCTATCATTCTTCTTATTATCTTTACTAAAAACTTGTTTTATCCCGAAACATTTTCCTAGTTTAGTTAAATAATCTTGGTCAATTTATGTCAATGCAAGAGCATTGAAGACCCTAATGAATTGTATGTAATTCTATTTTGATGGTTATCCCAAATCGGGCAATCGTTGCGATCGTTATGGGTTGTGCAGATGTGGTGAGGTCACCGCCTGGTGTCGAGTTGCCCGCGCACCGGCCGCTCGCGCTGCTAACGACATCATGTCATCTGACTCAGCACCATTCTAATATCGATGCCATTTAAGAGCAGCCCGTTGTGCCTACGAGCGCACTAAGCGTTTTTATTACAAGTTTATTGGCCTTTGGTTGATAATGTCATCACAATTATTCATTCATGTAAAGTGAGCATTACTAAGCATCTAAGGGAAGGGAGCATTACTAAGATTTGATCAAATCTGCACTTTTCGTGTAAGCTCCGAAAGCTATTACTGCAGTTGAATCGTTGGCCGCACGCCGCTCTTTGCTTTCTACTCTCCGTAATAATTATATCACTTTTGGACTTAATTTATTCAAGAGTAGAAGAGGAACTTTCATTGTTCGTGTTCAACTCTACTAAGTTTAAGTACAGCAAGAAGATAATCTGTTTTTGTGTGATTATCTCCCGAAAGTTTGCAAGTTGAAACTAATTACTGGCCTCGTGTTTCGCACTGTGACTTGCTGGCAAACTTTGTCGGTGCCCGGTATTTAGTTCAGCAGCTCTTCCCATTTCCTTACTGCTATAGGCGCAAAAATTACCATGCAAAAAAAATATGGCTTTGGAGAACTGTTTCGGTTAACTTGTAAATAATGTTTTAACTTGATATACTTAACTCATAATAATTATCACCCTTTCTGACTCTGTTTATTGTTTATACCGTAATGCTATGCACGGCCGATGATAACGTGTCAGCTATGCGTAATGGCCTATGGCTGCAGGAGTTCGAGACGGGACGATAGCGAAGTTGCGCGCACGCTCGAAATAGCTCCATAAACACGCGCGCTGCGGTTCACCTGCAACTCGACCAAACTTCCAGCGGACCAATACAAACACAGCGATGTAGTGCACTCAGTACCAGATTGCTAAACATCCCGGTTGTTAGTCCACATAAAATTGTAGTGTTACCTTTTGATATTTCTCCACGCGCTACAATTTATTTGACTGTTGTATTTTACATACTGTGCTACCGTAGATACAATTTTAGTAAACTTGAAATATTTTTGTTATAGAGAGCGAGCAGAATGAGGGGTCGTCTGTTATTGTTGGCCCTACTGGTCGCGGTCATATGTACCGCTGACGCACAGGTAAATAATACGTACTTATAAGTAAAAATAATTGAAGTTTAGGCGACTTTTTTTTTGTTTTATGCCTTCACGGAAGCGTAGACTGCATCCCACTTAACACCAGGTGCGATTGTGGTCAAATACCTGCCTTGTTATGTATAAAAAAAAGTTCCATCGAGACGTAGGTATTCTTTATTTCCGCGTCTATGAAATAACGCCTCTCGTAGACTTTAGTTCTGCAACTTTTTTGTATCAAATCAATGTGTAAATATTTTTCTATCAATGAATATTACTTGTACCATTTAATTTTAGCACGTGCTCTAGCACATAACTAATATCCAAGAATTATACTCAGAGCCATCTACCGGAGCGCTCACAAAGAATGTTTGTTTCAGCAGAAGCACCGGCGCCGGCACCGGCGGCCGCGCACCACCACGACGGAGGCGCCAGCGGTAGGCGAGCGGGAGCCCGAGCGCGAGGACGCCGAGGCCGAGCACTTGGAGCTGGGCATGGCCGAGCGCCTCGACGAGCGCCGCTTCCAGGTCAAAATAAAAAATAAATCAAATTCAAAATATTTATTCATAGTAAAATACATATTGCGTTGAACAATTTACAAAAATACATTACATTCTATTTCAATTAACTAATTATTAACATTTATTAACTAAAAATTATTTCACCACTTTGCTCTACTGGTACCGAATAGATACAGTCTGTTGACGACACAAGATTTTCAATCGAACTATTATAAAGTCAAAGTCAAAGTCAAAATTTCTTTATTTGTTTAGACTAATAAATAGTTCTTACAAATCGTCATATGCTCTTAAGGAGCCTCTACGTGTCTCATAATCTTTTTACCCTACCAGCGCGGCGCTTCGAGACCAACATTTGGCAAGTGCTGAGAAGAAGCGCTGCAACAAACTCAGTCACCACTGTCTGCCGGTTAATATAAATAAATAGAAATAGTAGTAGTAGGTACATTCGATTCAGGAGCAGTTCACTGAATTTACCATGCATTCTTGTATGGTGTATCATAAGAATGGGTATACAAGATTGCGTGGTATATTAAACAAGGTAGTGACGTGCTAATATCTAGACTTACATATTAAGGTACTAGTAGAAATGACTCGCATACATAAATTTGAATAACTTGGATTGACCAGTCCCCGAAAGCAGCGCCTGTTCACAGACATGACGAGTGAACCAGCCATCGCTTCACTCGACCATATATACATGTTGAGACGGCGTTTATATTGTATATTTATTTTTTTCTTTTTACAGGATGCGGAAAAGGCACGCGTCAACGAAATCATGAATGAGGGTGAAGGTCTCTCTGATAACGAAGTATTCCCGGATGGTAAGTTTTGTGGCACAAAAGAACCAAAATGACAATCTCTTAAATTTCCCATTCCATTTTTTTTCTATTTTAAAATGATAAGGAGTTTCTTTAGTATATCTTTAAAGTGTTGAGTGCGCCGTGTGCCCGCAGACCCGTGCCTGAAGGTGCACTGCAGCGCGGGCCGCGTGTGCGAGATCGACGAGCACGGCGACGCCGTCTGCAACTGCATCAAGGAGTGCCCCTACGAGACCGACTCCCGCCGCAAGGTACACCTGTCGATAGCTAATCCTTTAACCGACTCGACACTTTCCAAAATGCAGCTATAGATCGTTTCATCCACGAAGACGCGCCCCACCATTCTTCCGCTAATGTTCCGCACGTTAAATATTCCATGAGTGCACACGCACACTACAATAATGAACCGATCTACAGATGAATAAATCAGGAGAAAGATAACCAGCTGCTTCTTGATGTAGGAGTTCAGTATTTACCGCAAACGTTTTCAGTTCTTTGACCACATGTTTGTTTGAGTCAGCGAGGATGTTACTCTATTCGAAGAAACCACGACAGATGTTAAATCAGGGCTCCCATTAGTCCTATCCTGCGTATGTAACTATGATATGTATGATAGGCAGATATGTACCATCCTAGACTGCATCTCACTTAACATCAGGTGCGATTGCGGTCAAATACCTGCCTTGTCCTGCATAAAAAAAAACCTTCAGTTACTTTTGAGCGTATAAGATTATCCTCCTATGGCTAGCGTCCTATGGCTGAAATGATGATGATGTGTGTATATAATCAGTGTGTATTTCCAGGTGTGCACGAACCACAACGAGACGTGGTCGTCGGACTGCGAGGTGTACCGCCAACGCTGCCTGTGCCTGGACGGCTCCGAGCTGTGCCGCGCGGCGCAGTACCACCACGTGCAAATCGAGTACTACGGCGTGTGCCGCGAGATGCCCGTACGTACCGACCCTTCGTCAACTATTTATTTGACACGATTCCCCAATAATTCGAAAACCACTTTTTTATAAGATACTTCATTCTGGTGGTTCCTTTTAAATTACCTGTAAATCTAAATTTTTTGGTAGCATTGTAATTGAAAAAAGTAGTTTAATGAGGGTTTTCGCGAATGAAAAATCCGCTAGATGGCGGGACGTGGATGTGGGGTCTGACTGCTGCGTGATTGGTAGATTTTGACATATCTCAATGTCATGTCAAAAATAACCAATCATGCAGCATTTGGACCTCGCGTCTACGTATTGCCATCCATCTGGCGGATTTTTCAATCGCGAAAACCCTCATTGAAAAAAGTAGTTCGAGTTAACAAAACAGTGACGTCACTTGCTTGTATTTCCATACAAAATCTACGAGAGAGTCTCGTTTTGACAGTTTTAAAAAGTACGTCAATTTATTGTGATATCAACACGTATTTATTTATTTATTTGAACACCAACAAGATTACATTGAGGCTTGTTAAATTTTTTTTTTTTTTTTATTTATTTTATTTATTTNTTTACCTAGTATAACCCATCTCTATAGGTGTCATGTCAGGGGCAAACTGTCACGCGGGACACGTAGCCGACATCAATTTAATACCTGACAACAGAAATTAAATTACATTTTGCATACTTTTAACACCGAGCATAAAAGTTGGTAAGCTACTTACTCGTATGTAGTGTAGAGAGTAGTACATCTTCCAATATTTACTTACCAAAAATCGAGTAAGATTTTCATTATGTAGGAGTTCATTACTTATTTTGGATAAGATACTACTTGGTGCGTCTCTACTAAAGCCTGGTCCGTGAGCACGTAGAATTTTGTCCAATGACCCCCAGCTACCCATCACTCACCCGCAGTGAGTGTCACTGCGGGCGCCCGTCGCACAGTCGCGACAGCAATATAATTACGCGCGAGCGATAAGGATGGGTAGCTTGGGGTCATTGGACAAAATTCTACGTGCTCACGGACCAGGCTTTACTCACTTTAACATACACAGGGCTGATAAATCATTGAAATTCGCGATCTCATTATAAAGCATGATAGATAACAATTCTCTTCCTCTTTTATATTGTACCAAAAGTACTTACCAGTCCATCATCTGAAAGATGCTATTTAAGCCATTTGTGTTGTTACAATCAGCTAATACTGGCTTGACCATGACTGACACCACGACAGAAGTAGACTCTGAGAACACTGAGGCTAAGAAACCAGTAAAAGAGATCCCCGTGGTGCAAGACCAAGGATTCTTCCAGCACGATACTGGCGACACTTATGACGGCTTCTTCGAGGCTAAGAAGAAAGATAGAGTCGCCAAAATGCATGGTAGGTATCGTGCCCTATCTCTATACCAGTCTATTTTTTAGTCAGTAAGTACTTAGGTAAGTAAGGTCTATTGTGTCCATAGCAAAGGTAGGGGATACGCTTTACCATACCATTTGACTACAAAGAAAAGAACATGTTTGTTATCTAAAACTTCCCACTAGCTACCAAAATGCTAGTGATCCATCCAGTAGCGTGTGACTACAACTATAAAAGCCCTCCAAATCTTTATTGAATGTTTTGGTCTTTATCTAAACTTACTGGAGCGTAACGTAGTTCAATCCATCCCGTACGGAGACGTCACGGTCTATATGTTCAAATGGTTATTGCTTGCTTGCATTCGGTAATAACATTGTAAGTTTGTAATAGCGCTATCGCTTTTTTGTTTTACTAGCTTGTAGTGGGGTAGCAGGTAGCTGATAAATATTTTTACGCTACTACAATTTGGGTAGCCTATCTTTCGACGAAGTGTAGGTAAGCAGGCCTCCCTCTAGGATAGACCGATGATCTAGTGAAGTTCGCGATAAACACCTATGGGCAGAGTTCCGGTCGTTGTGAAAATACTTAAGGGAGGTCTTTGTCCAGAGATGGAAGTCATTTGGATGAAACGAACGAACCTGTCTCTCTATAGGTCCAGGGCTGTACACCACGGTGGAAGGAGACACTTACATGGGCACGTGGGACGCGGACAAGCTAGGCGGGAACGACGAGGTGACTGTGGCCTTCACAGACGGCTCCCGTTACGAGGGGTTCTTCAAGGACTGGAGCTACTCTGGACGTGGAAGGCAGGTTTTATTGTTTCAAACTTACTCACTAGTAGGTATCCCCAGATACAAGGTCACCTACAAGGTGAACCGACGACATCGTAAAGGTAGCAGGGAAGCGCTGGACGCAGGCCGCTACCGAGGCCTATGTTCAACAGTGGACGTCCTATGACTGAAATGATGATGATGATGATCCCCAGTAATTTTTTAGAACTTCAGCTACTTGATTTTCATAAAAAGAATATTATTTCCTCACTCCTAAGGTACTACTACCCAGATGGCAGTATCCTAAGATGTGACTTCAGCGAAAATTCGCCTGTTGGTTTCTTAACTCTCTCAGACCCGAACGATCACATTTGGTTGGGCAAAGCCGAGCAAGGCTACGGCTGGTTCGAACCAGTGAACCACTTCTACGATATGCTGGAGAAGACCAAAGATTCCGGGAAGTCCAGACGTCGGCTGAAGAGCAGTGCACCAGACTCCAAGTCGTCTCCGTCGAAGTCTATTAAATCTATATCCAAAGTTAAATCTTAGGTCTAACTCAAACGTTAAAGACGAGAAAGAAGTGTTGTATTCCTATTATTTATACTTAAGTACTTACCTACTTCTGAAAGTCATTAGGCATGCTTATCTTTATTTCTTTATAAATTACTTACATAAATAAATTAGTTCTTACAAAACATACGTTTACGTCATTCGTAGTTATTCATCCCACCACACCTAAAACAGTACATATTGTCTTAACGATATCGCGTTAAGACCAGCAGTTGGTGTGCTTTTTGTTTCACACTTCGGTATAAACGTTAATTTCGTCACAGGCCCTTTACTTATTTAGCGGAAAGTGCGAGCAAGCTACAATCATTAAAGTAAACAGGACGGAGTGTGAACATGGAAATGTTACCGGATTCAGTAATGGGTTACACTCTAAGTACTGTTACTTGCTCCTCCAGTTAAAATACACACTCCATGCGACACTTCACCATTTGAACCCACTTATCTTACGGTGTAGCAAGCGCATACAATCGGAAACAATTTATAAACTTATTAGTAGGATATTTTTATTGCGCTTTATCTGGTAAAACTTTCCACGAGTAGGTAATTCGGCGGAGTGAGGAATAATTAATTAACAGTATGCTCATTCTGATCACACACTATCATTGTTAATTTTAATGACCCAGAAATTAAGTAGGTAGTCGTTTCATTAACATACTGTGCCAAGAACACGCCATATAACCGCTCGATATGATCACCACAATTTTGCGCACGGCAACATAAGGAATGATGGCAATTTGCACGGTCAAAAACAGAAGTCAGACGGCCTGCCGCCTACATGTGACTGTGACACGAAACATTAGAAATAAAATGTTTGCTTTGTGTTTTGGCCTCGAATGTACGCCCACAAGTTGCACTTGAGCGTCCAGCGTATCGAGACCTATAACTTTGGTAGGAGTACTTTAAGCTCAGTCACTTTCGAATTCACGCGAGGGGAGGCGTAGGTCTAATAATGGTGGTAGAAGCTGGTTGTAGGAGCGGCTAACTGCGTGACTCGGTGCCGTGTATCTTGTGAAGCAACGCCGCTTGCCGTAATTAGTAATTAGGCAGAATATCACCTTGACGAACATTGATTTAGGCTGGAGTCATTAATATTGTGGTGCGCTATTACGCGTGTGCTGCGGTAGGTCTTTGCGGCCATGGTTTTATAAAGGCCAACATTCCAGTTCACTGTCTTTATAGTCCAATTAAAATTATTGTCATCATATTATTATATGATGGACTTTGTTTGAAGTCATGCGCAACAAACATCAAACAGAGAAATTGATTTCATTCAATCTCGTTATGAATATGTAGAGTCACCCTTACCTATTTCTCTATTTACAGCAAGCAATTGATTCAAAATAAAGAAAACTGTGTTTTCTTTTAATTTTATTAATATCCACTAAGCTGTTTTTATTTACGGGAATGAGTAGCAGTTCTTAGACGAATCATCGATAAATGGAAAAAATACTTTTAGAAGGCTATAACCACCCCATGTTCATTCCCTGATGCAACGGAAACTACATACAGCTCTTTTCTGTACACAAAACTGCACCTTATGGATTAGTAGTAGAAGCGAATTTACAACATAAATGGTTAGTCTGACATATTGAGAAATCTACATGACATAGAAAATAATGCAAGCAGGATAAAGTTTATGCAGCCTACTTCTATACGCATGCAATATGAGATGCCTGAAATAACCGACCGCACAGAAATGGAAAATGGCACAAGATGTGGACGTAAAAGGCTCTATTTTGTAGTCACATACCTACACATGGGCTTATACATATACAGTATATTTAATTAATCACCGTAATTAGTAAATGGAAAACTCTAGTGTGGAGAAAGGACTACGTATAGATAAACCTACATAGGAAATTTTCCAACGATACTTGTCCCTACTAGCTTTTGCCCGCGGCTTCACCCGCGTGAAATTTAGTTTGTCACAGATCGTAATAAATTATAGCCTATATGTTATTCTGGGTTATAAACGATAATACTGCAAAGTTTCATCAACATCCGTTCAGTAGGTTTCGCGTGAAAGAGTAACAAACATGTTAACATCCAGACATCCATACAAACTTTCGCATTTATAATATTAGTAGGATTGTAAGAAGGCAGGAGTCAGGGCAGTAGGCCGATAAAGCGAAAAGTCGTGGGTTCAAAAAGTCTTTCAAGAAATTTCTAGTAATTATTTGGTATGTTTCCATCCGCAGAAATAATTTTAATAGAGACAGACAACCAAATAAACCCCTTATCATCATGACTGTGTTACGTGATGTGTATAACCTAAAGTTAGTATTAATTCATCTCTAAACAAACACAGCACTCATATCCTGATAACGTTTCAGTTTTTTGTAAACGCCCATTAATTTGTATAGAGTCACACTTTTCTTCCATGTTCATCAGTCTACTCGCAAATATAAATGAGAAAACCGTAGAGACACTTATGAGAATTAGTTTTTTTAACGAAACAAAACGAACTTTGGCTGAACAGGCTAACTTTTAAGAATACACCACATAATTACAATACATAGAGCACTTACATAGGTAGGTACCTACTATTAGTGAGAGAATAACATAACACTCCGATATGTAGTTATAAAATATGGTTTGTATTTTCTCTACAAACGTTTTTTAGTTACACATCACTTTCAGTTTTTCATCTAAACCTATCGCTCGCGCGTTCGACAATCGCAAACGCAGAAGTGTTTCCGATGCGGCCGCGGCGAGACGTCGGCGGCGCGCGGGCCGCGTCGCGAGCCCTTACTCCTTATCACTGTTATCAGCCCTTATCAGCGCATCGCGAAACCGATCGCGCGAACACTCGATACACCGTGCAAATACTCGTATACTCGTAACTCGCCAACGGACGCCGTTGATCATGTCCCCGAATTATGTGTTGTGTTTTGTGTCGTTTGTTCTTGTGTTTCAATACGCGAACGGTCAAGGTGAGAAGTTGCTTTGTTTATCTGATTGATAGCGATAATGATAGATGCCCTGAAAACCTAGTTGTGTGTAACGTGATTGTTATTTCATATTTATTCAGTCTAAAGACTTGACCAACGCGTAGCTGTTTGTTGTTACATATTTATTCGTAATAGCTCTACTTTTATAGGACGTATTTATGTATGTAAATAAGTATACTATTAGTTTATTTATGTTGTTCACAAAACCTTTGCGTGAGTAAATTCACAATTTTAGAATGTTTCGTCACCGAGATTAACTGGTAAAGATTACTTTAAGTAGGTACTTACTCATATAATTTATTTATGTGAAACCTTGTACGCAAAGTCAAATGCTATGCGTCATCAAAGTACCCACCTATTTATTCTTACAATAACTAACGTAAGGCGAGATAATGTGGAAAACGTGGTGACTGAAACCAAAATAAAACACCTTACATACTCTACCAAATTTGAAAACCCGACGAAATTAAAATAAACAGATGTTTTAAATGGGGTGTTCGCCGTCAGTTAGTTGTAATTAAAAGTAAGGTAACTATCTTATCTAAAACATAAATGCCAACGGTCTACTTCAAAAGGAAATTTATTTTATGTCCGTGCATTACTAAAATAGCTGAGCGAGCGCGTGCCGGAACCCACCTGCTTCCAATTCCTGCTACGAGCATTAGTAGATAGAAAATATCCCGCCAAGAATTGACAGTTTTATTTTTAAATGGGAGAAATAGTGACCGAATCGAGGTGTTTTCAGCTCATAGCGTTGTTCGCCGCGCGATAAGTTGCAGCTGAAAAAACACTCTACATAATAATATGAGATCACGATATAAAGAATTACTTTATTAATGTAGTAACTATGTACTACTATACCTGAAAATGTTTAAATTGTGTTAGATCCTGTTAATGTAACTTTAAAAAACATTTGTAGGAGAAAAATTTTGTAGTCATATTATACTTTGATTTGATACCAGGTATAAAACATAAGTTAAACTGAACTTCTAATTAGAATTGAGAAGTAATGAAACTTAGAAAAAGCTTGTAAGTTTTAAAATTCTTAATTTCTACGATTCCTCTTAAAGTGTAGATATCTAAATATTTAAGGATTGTGTGATGATAGAGCACGTATTCGTAGTTTAAAAAGCAATAAATTTATATCCGAAGATTCTCTTGGGAAAAGTTCTCAACAATGAAGACAGGGCTTTGTCTTGCGATGCAGTCGCATTGACTTGCACTAAGTAGGTTGAATAGAAGGGCAGGGCATCAATCCTCAAAAACAATGCAACGGGTTTTATCGCATGGATTGAATATAAAGCGATAACTTAATGAATAGGCAACAATTTATCCGCTTTGACCGGCGGTGCCGAAGTTGAGGCTGATTAATATTCATTTGTTTTAGTGACATACTTGCAGCTGCCATAATAAAGTACACAGTTTACTTGTAGCTTTGATTTAAATACGTACTATAGCGTAAGAAGTTTCGTAACATAACTGGACTTTATTCAGCCTAAAACAAATACCTTTCATTACTTTTCTTTTTGACTTGGCGTAATTTTGCAAACTTAATAGGCAAGCTAAGAAAGAAAGAAAAAAAAATGTTTATTCAGTATCTTCAGTATCATCGACAATACACTAAAGAAGTAAATTTATTGTGCATGATTATTTATTCAGAAAATATTAATGTTTAATTTATACAAACATTGATCAAGTCATGTCGCTCGATTAATTTCATTGCGAAAATAACACGAATTAACCTATCTACGTTATTTCGGTACAGTGTAATTTTTGTAGTAAATTATTAGTTTACCTAATTTGGCCGTAGAACCCAAATGTTAGTAACTGAAAACTATAATTACATTTAATACTAACTAGGTACTTTGTTACCAGTCGCTAATATTAAAGACAACTCAAATCTGATGAAATAAAGTAAGACGTCTCTACAAAAAGGCATAATTCACATGCCAGTCCGGCCCTTTGACACATAATTACCGCCTTCGCTAGTTAACGTTAAATACACGTTAATTGCGGTAATCGGCGGGTGGCCACGACTATCTCCGATCAGTTGGGTAACACTCGATTAGCCCTCATAATCACAATATTGACGCGAGCGTGTCTTCGGCTTATATTTATAATCCAATCTTGAAAATAATGTTCATCTCTACTATGTTTTGTTATTCATTTCCTCGCCAACCAAATCAAATCAAATCAAATCAAATCAAAAATATTTATTCAGTTTAGACCACAAGTGGCACTTATGAACCCATTTTAAAAAGTCGAAATGTGTTTCTATATTTTAACCTTCAAATGCCTATATTGTTTTTTCATTTTTTTATTCTGAAACAAAAACGGATTTTCACTCTGGAAGTTTTTCTAAATACTTATTATACTACCATTATTCACTCAAAGAATTGTTCATGTAAGTAAATTGTTATACAAGTAACAGTGTTTAAGAGATTAACAATAATGTTATTTGCAGTAACCGCAAAGGTAAAGTTGATAAAGTTGCTGCAACTTTCAAAGAACTAAACTAAGTAGGTAATAAGAAAATAGAGTCGTCATTTTATTATATTGCCAGAAAAAAAAACTTTGTACCTATATGCTTTTAAGGGTCGATTCGACCAAACAAGAGTAAATATCTCAGAATAAATTGTCAGTTATTCGATATTTTGACATATTTTTAACTATTTCCCCATACTGAAACTGTCAATGTTATACCAGGAGTTATTCTCGGATAAAAGTTTGGTCGAATCGGGCCTTAATATTACCACTAAGTTTGATTAGGGCTTGATTATAGATACGTCCCATAATACGCGTCCTCACAATCTCGCGTAACGCCCACTCGAAGTGTGTCAACACCGACGTCACACTGAGGACTTATTTGGTGGCCCATTTATGGCATTTGTTGTGGGGCAGTAATTGGATAAAGGTTACCCATAACTAACGCTAGAATAGATTTGCTATAGTCGTATACTGCTTTTGAGTACTTCATAATCATTTTAGCTAAAATTCAATGCTGAAGGAAAGCCACTAAGCACGATCGCCTGCTATTTTCTTTTAGCCATTGCCAGCTATCGTGTTTGTGATCATTGGTCCATAGAACGTTGGCTGATTTCGAGAACCCGTTTTCATAATGCTCTGATAAATATGGCCGACACACTGCCTCTTCAGCTTGCTACATTTTTGGTCTCCTGTTGAAAGATCTTCTTCCGGATTTTATCCCTTAACGTGATTCGTGGCATCGACCTTTACATAACCTTTTGAGTCTTTCAGCATACTTTGTGATCGTGCTTGTCATAGGTGCGAATAGTTCACTAACATTGTGCATATTATAAATACATTCATGTCTTATTATAACGCTCGAGCTTCGATGCATATTGCAGAGGCGGTACTTTGCAAAATGCGTTTTGATATACCTAATCGACTCCATCGGCTTATCGTTCAAATTTGATGTCGTAATTGCAATCTTAGCGCAGCTAGATTAAAACTTTCCTAAATGAAAACTATGAAGAGCTTACTTACTGTAACTAGTGAAGTAATACATCGAACAGTGTGCCTACCATGAGTTTACGTTAGGACTGCTCGCTAGCGACTGCGTAAAAAAATGACATTTAAATGTATGACATATTGTGCAGCGCCCCTAGTGGCTACTTTCAAGAAATAAAATCTTCATAGAATTTTTTGACGTATTCGCTAGCGAGCTCACCTAACGTAAACTCATGGTAGGCACACAGATGTTGCCAAGTAATTGTTTATGTCATAACAACGCAACAGATGCACTGCTGTTTATCGTCATAATGATAATGCTCTAGAATTGCACGTTTAAATACAGTGTTTTTAGCTTTTTATAGTAGTAAATCCTACTAGCAAAATGAGGATGTGGACGACTTAGAGAAGCCACTTTTCATCCGTTACATAGGCGATCTATATAGGACGTTCGAAACTCAACTCTAGACCTAGCATAGCTTCAATCTCTTAAGATGAGATTCAGATAGTGCTAGGTCTATTTTAATTACCATTTACTGTACCCATTTTAATTAAATTATTGTTTTTGCAGCCGAACAACAGCTGCTCAAAAAGCTAGCGTGCATCGAGCACGAGGAATGCGGCGCGTGCCTCTCCGCCGCGCCGCACTGCCGCTGGTGCGCGGACCCCTACTACAGCTCCGCGGTGCCGAGGTGCAACGATGATGAGAGGTTAGTGAAGATCTTTAAGCGACAATAGCCCAATGATGTCGGTGTCGGACTGGCCCAATCGAGGAACGAAGAACGCGTGTTCGAAACCCCGCCGCCGTTGGACTATTGTGGTTAACCTAATCTTAATAAAAAGTTAGCATGCATCAAGCAAAAGAATTCGCTGGTGCCCGGACCCCTACTACAGCTTCGCGGTGCCGAGGTGCAACGATGATGAGAGGTTAGTGAAGACTTTAAGCGACAATAGCCCAATGATGTCGGTGTCGGACTGGCCCAATCGAGGAACGAAGAACGCGTGTTCGAAACCCCGCCGCCGTTGGACTATTGTGGTTAACCTAATCTTAATAAAAAGTTAGCATGCATCAAGCAAAAGAATTCGCTGGTGCCCGGACCCCTACTACAGCTTCGCGGTGCCGAGGTGCAACGATGATGAGAGGTTAGTGAAGACTTTAAGCGACAATAGCCCAATGATGTCGGTGTCGGACTGGCCCAATCGGGGAACGAAGAACGCGTGTTCGAAGCCCCGCCGCCGTTGGACTATTGTGGTTAAGCTACTCTTAATCCAAAGTTAGCATGCATCCAGCAAAAGAATTGCTGGTGCCCGGACCCCTACTACAGCTCCGCGGTGCCGAGGTGCAATGATGATGAGAGGTTAGTGAAGGACTTTATGCGACAATAGCCATAGACTATAGACAGAGAAGAGGTGTCGGTGTCGGACTGGCCCAATCGAAGAACGAAGAACGCGTGTACGAAACTCCGCCGCCGTTGGACTATTGTGGTTAACCTAATCTTAATAAAAAGTTAGCATGCATCAAGCAAAAGAATTCGCTGGTGCCCGGACCCCTACTACAGCTCTGCGGTGCCGAGGTGCAACGATGATGAGAGGTTAGTGAAGATCTTTAAGCGACAATAGCCCAATGATGTCGGTGTCGGACTGGCCCAATCGAGGAACGAAGAACGCGTGTACGAAACTCCGCCGCCGTTGGACTATTGTGGTTAACCTAATCTTAATAAAAAGTTAGCATGCATCAAGCAAAAGAATTCGCTGGTGCCCGGACCCCTACTACAGCTCTGCGGTGCCGAGGTGCAACGACGATGAGAGGTTAGTGAAGGACTTATAGCGAGAATAGTCATATACTATAGAAGACAGTGAAGAGGTGTCGGTGTCAGACTGAACAAATCGACTCATAAAGCTAGCGTCCATCGAGCACAAGGACCGTGGTGGTGCGTGGACTTGGACCCTTACTCTGCGGTTGCCCTCCGTGGTCACAGGAATATCCCTACCTCTAGTTCCCTTTGGAACTCCTGTGTAGCCTGGATTTACAGCTTGACCTTCAATAAAACCCAACCAATGAAGATCAAGTTTGTCCTGAGGAAAAATTAAACTCTCTGTGGTCAGTACATACTAAGGTCAACTCTCTCACCTCCGAGGTACTGGGTTCGATTCCCAGTGTAGTCACTTGTGTGTTGATTCTACAATTCATTATCAAATCGTGGGTGTATGTGTTATGAGTAGTAACAATAACGTTGGTCAACAAAAGTATATAAAACAATTTGAAAGTATTTTGATGCTTTTAATTTCTTTATTTACGATTATTTCACCTAAGAGTCAGTACCTACTCTGAAAAACAGGTCATCCAAGCAATATAATAGATGTTTTATACCGCGATATTTTACGACTCGCCTAAGTGTTATTAGTAGGAAATGCACTGGCACGAGAATAGATCCATCTACTAATCCTAAAATTAAAACATCGCCCGAAGAAGGCGCCCAGTTAATTTAGTTCCGTATACCGTCCATATTACAAACATGTGAAACATTTTTCTTTTCACACTCTCGTTCTGTTTATGAACTAAAATAAACTTGTCTATGAGCGTGGCCGTTCTATGGTGTGTTTTCTTTTTCTATTCCTATATTGGTTTGATTGAAACATGTTCGGAGAGAGTTCAGAGAGCGCCGAAATGCGCAGAGCGCACGGGTCGATCTTTTAAAGCACCGACGCGGATTGGCCGTTCCCACGTCCGCTCGCCGCTCGATCCCGGCTAATCAAGAGATCGTCGTGTGATTGATTATTGACTGTAACTCCGTCGTAGCATCGAGTAGAACCACCAGTTCATACTTTAGTTCTTACTTTTACATAAATTCTTGCACCAAAAGAGGCTCTATCGCCACATTGGTTAGTAAAGCGTTCAAATCTCATAGAGGCACATAAAGTGAACTTTTTTGCTGTAAACAACAGTTGTTAAGAATATCAGATTTTCATCATCATCATCATTTCAGCCATAGGACGGTCCACTACTGAACATAGATGATGATCCCCCAATGATTTCCACAATGGCCGGTTGGCTTGCGGCTTTAGTCGTAACGAAAAAAGAAAACACATGCATGAACTCTTATCAATTTCCGCCATTTAGGAAAATTTTACTGGCTGATTTCCGTGGTATGTGCGCCTATGGCCACACCAAGCCCGCTGGGATGAATGCTTTTCAATGGCCGATTCAACGCACGCTGCGCAGCTAATACCGAACTAGGCAACGTTCGTATCTTACAAAAGTATTCGTCGGAATTGTATTCCGATGACTAGATTATACGGTTGACCACACAGGTTAATATTTCGTCATATTCGTTTGTGTAGTTTAAATATTTCGGTTCATATTTGTCTTAGATGCTGGTACCTAGAGTGTGAACACTCTTCCGCTGAAGCACTATGCCACAATTTGAACTTTTGATACTAGGAACGATTCATAGTTAGGGTAAATCCAGGATACATGCCCCAGTGGGATAGGTGCCGCGATTTTAAGTACACTATGTTACAAGCAACTTAGCCTAAAGTTATAGTGCGTATAATAGAAAGGGACCTCCCCGTACCACTTTTCGCCTCGCAAACCATCAAAGAGTGCGTTCGTTTAGCCAGTGAGAGCAAAAATCTTCCGCGGCCACACCTTAGCGAGCGTCGAAATAAAATTGGTAAGTATCTTTTAATGGATAATTTTTTTGTCAGCTGTAAAATGAAGCAGATTTTTATATAATTTGATAGATTATCTTATAAATTAGACGGGATAGCTATGTTTAATACGATTTTTAGTATTATTATATTTTTTATTAAAAAAGGCACCTATCCTATGCTATAAGGATAGTTGCCAAATTTTTTTTGGGTATAGATGCCCTTAGGGCCAAGTCCCATGCACCTAGGGGCATCTATCCTAACCTGCTCTTTTTGTTACAAGTAGCAAGTAAGAAGAAAAAAAGAATGTAGTACGGCTAACCTTAGGAAAGTAATAAATAGGGTGCCCTTCTGATCGAATTACCTTTTTACCCGACTGCGCTAGAAGGAGGGTTATATTTTTCGGGTGGATGTACTATGTACATTTTTAATAAAAAATATTAAATTTCATTTTTAATTCATTTAATAACAAACAATCTTAAATAATAACTAATACTTAGCTTGTTTGATTTCAAAATGCATTTGATCCTTAGAATTCAAAAACTGTATTAACGAGTCATCTATCCCTGCATCAGGCATCTATCCTTTGAAGCAATCATACAGTGAGTCTTCTATCCCCCACATTAGGCGTCTATCCCACTTCTTAGAGGTCAATTAAAATGGTATTTACTCAGAATCGGTATAACTTAAACAAAAATAATTATAGTAATATGATAGACGAAAGACCAAAGTTTACAGAAACTAAGGTCAAATTGTTGATAAAAACTTACTGACTGAGTTACAGAGCTGTTTCAAAAAGGGGGGCATCTATCCTGGACTTACCCTATTCTTGCATAATAATTAAATAATGCCTGGTGCCTGCTGCAAACTCATTGATATCAACAATTTAATGAATTATTCTGTACAGAATGTATGAAATTTAAAAATAAGACTGTTATCTTTCGGCGTAACTTTCGGTAAGTACCATTTATGGCGAGTAAGGTTACAAAGTTACGTGCGAGATGTATTGTTTTCATATCGACTTATCTAAACGAACTTTAACTAACTACACTGAAACTACTTAAGTACTTACTCTACACTATTATGTTGTGGGAAAACACATTATTATAATAAAGAACCAACTATGTAGTTGGCACGGAACAATTTTGGCGCGGGATATACCGTTCATTAAAAAGAGAAAGATTTAATCCAGAGTCATTAGAAAGTAGGATTAAAGCAAGTGGCACGCGTGGATTGTAATTGGTATTATGTTTTCTCCAGCTTAGTGCAAAGTGGCTGCAGCCAAGGTCTGATCCAAAGGCCTGCGCCTCCGGTGTGGGAGGTGGTGTCAAACAGCTCGCTACAAGACGTGCTCCCTAATTCGCTTGAGAATGTGGTGCAGATCCAGCCGCAGAAGATGAGGATCTCTTTAAAACCACGTAAGTTAGATCACAATTTTAGGTTGACCTTTACAGCGGTGAACATCTGTGGCGGGAATGATGATGATGATTAAGTGACTATACATATACTACAAGACTATGTACCCACAGGGCGAGGACGAATTTACATTGGAATTGTGGCAGAAATTAATCCACGTGAAGTTTTTTACTGGCATCTATTTAGTAATTGAAAAATACTTTCTCGTACATTTTTCAGCGAACCTGTTTGGAACACTAAACTCAGTTTTGGCAGTTTTGTGGATTAGCTTTTCTGAGTACTGCGTCCTTTGTCACTCTCAAAATCTATTTTGCGATCGGTACGAATCTCTATAATTTATGTCACGTATTCTTAATGAATACTGGGTTCCGAGATGCTATCAAAGCTAGATTAACAGATTTAAATTGATTGTTTTATAGTTTGTAATTCACTAGTGAATTTCCCATAAAGCACATAGGGGTCAAGCGTGTGTTTGGGGTTAAGCAAAGGTTCAGTGTTTAACTTGAGGTTTGGCTCGTCTGTCTGGCAGCACACGTGACACAGCCGCCGGGGGCAGGGGTCATAATTACACGCAGGAATCCCTTTAAATTCTTTACCGTAACGTTACTTTTAACTTCCTACTAGAATAACGGGACTAAGCTGTTTACGTAAGGCATCATGTACGAGTACGAGTACATCTTGACTTTTGGTTGGGTTAAGTGGGAAGTAAGAATTACGCATGCGTCTGAAACAAAGGACTTTTTGGGCCATAGGTCATGCCGCTACTAAGTTTACTACTTAGCTCTTTACAAATTGACAAGGAAATTCAAATTAATTCATTACATGTTTTGTAACATGGTTGGCTAATGAGGAAGAATGTATTTTAATATTTGTTAAGTAAGTACCTACTTAGATGTTGGGAAAAAAAGAGCGTGTATAGGTTTTACCTTCAAAATTGCTTGGAAAATACCTACAAAATATTTCTGATAGAGTTTATCAAATTAGTTAAATAATAATCATAAATTAGCTCTACCATAAATTGTGTAATGAATTTCGTAAGAAACTCATATTAAGGGTCAGTATTTAACTTAACAAGCTAAGATTCAGTTTTCTATTGCAGGTGAGACTACAAAGTTGTCGTTTTCGTTTCGTCCAGCGAAGAACTACCCCCTGGACTTGTACTACCTGATGGACTTGACGTGGTCCATGAAGGACGACAAAGAGACTCTGTTGACCCTAGGCGATGCCCTCTCTGTTACGCTGAAAAACCTGACTGATAACTTTAGGTATGAAAACAATAATTTTCTTAAAGATTTCGTTGTTAGTATGAAACTTCCCGATAATTATATTCGTTGTGTCACGATGAGTGACTTATAAATATGAAAGGTAAGGACTGTTACTATAATTTGCTCATTATAAAACCTTATCATTAGTATATTAACTAGCTATAATGAGTTAGTTTTGGCGAATTTATATTGACTTCTTAGGTATTTTTCCTCAACGATTAATTGCTTTAAAGGTTAGGCTTCGGCAGCTTCGCGGACAAGCCCCTAATGCCGTTCATCAGCATGGACGCCAAGAGGCGCGCCAACCCATGCGCCATGGAGGAGCACCAGTGCGAGGCTACCTACAACTACAGGCACCATCTGTCGCTCACTGACCAGGTATTTATCTCTATTGAGTAACCTTGGGGACTTGAATCTTGTGATAACTGGACTGGCTCAATGACTGCCGATCATCACCATTGATGCCAAGAGGCGCGCCAACCCGTGCGCAATGGAAGAACACCAGTGCGAGGCCACCTACAACTACATGCACCATCTGTCGCTCACAGACCAGGTATTTGTCTCTATTGAGTAACCTTGGGGACTTGAATCTTGTGATGACTGGACTGGCTCAATGACTGCCGACCATCACCATTGATGCCAAGAGGCGCGCCAACCCCTCGCCATGGAGGAACACCAGTGCGAGGCCACCTACAACTACAGGCATCATCTTTCGCTCATTGACCAGGTATTTGTTACTAGTAGTAAGCTTGGGACTTTACAAGTATCTTGTTATTACATTACCTATTATGATGACCTACGGGTATTAATACATGTGTAGCATTCGTCAATAGCAAATTAAAAAGTATGTTTATATTTATAGGACTAAATATATACCTACCTACATCTGTGTTTTAAAGATTTTATCTCTATAAAGCACACTAACCAATTGCATTAATTCGCGGCAAGCTCTAAGCCACCCACACTTTAATATTTACTAGGTTCTATGATCTCAACTGTAATATATCATGTAGATAATCTTATTTGGCTTATCCGAATCCACAAAGTTAGCCGAGCTAAAGGAAACGCTTAAATAATCGTGCCTACTTCATGATGGTGCTGTTCAAAATAACTTATAGGTAGGTTAGGTTACGGGACTATTCCCACCTCTCGTTCCCACCACTGCAACTCCTGTGTAGCTAGGATCTACAGCTCGATAATAACCCAACCAATGAAGGTCAAGGTTGGCCCGTCATTGGACCCGCAACGAAATTAATCAGAAGAACATAGGAGGAGTTCGAAATTAAGGTTCGACTTCCCTCCATTGCAAAGCGGATGACAGGTGACAAACAAAGGTTTAGGTTAGGTTAGGTTACCTTAATATTTGTGAAGGTACAACAGATACAGGATATGTGGTATTTCCTTGTAAACAAAATGGAGTCATCTTTTGAAATCCTGAAATCTACAACCGAACAAAGACTCATTCCTGCAATCAATGGCTCTATCAATTTCTCACAATTTGAATTTGTGGCTTAAATCTCGAAAGAGACCGATATCAGAATAAATATCTTGTTTATAAAGATCTTTTCCCACAGGTCCAAGAGTTCATCAAGAAAGTGAACACCAGTGCAGTGACGGCCAACCTGGACAACGCTGAGGGTCAACTAGATGCGTTGGTGCAGGCCATCGCTTGCGGAGACAGGATTGGCTGGTCCACACGCAGTAGGAAGATCGTGATACTGCTGACCGATGGTTCGATACACACAGCTGGCGACGGGAAACTTGGTACGGAAGATGTTTTCCTACTTGGTACAGCAGTTTCATCTAATCGTACAGTCATTTGTTATAATAATATTGAACTTTAAAACTACACCTACATAATGCCTCCAATTTTAGCGGATGCGGTCACCTATTAAAAAATAAATGTTTTTAACATCCATTCCTTGCATAATAAATATCACATGATAGAGATCCATCAATTAATTTTGTAGTACCATAGGAATCCCTATCTCTATGCTAACGGTATCAGCATTAATTTCGTATTGAATATTTTGTACGCAAAACATTCCACCTACATCGAGAATCGAGATGTTGTACAATAGTCTCATTATACTTTATCATTCTTATAACAATAGATAAACATTTGCACAACTTATTAACAATACCGTAGCCTTAACCGCTTATTAACAACAATAGAAACGATAATTAATTCAGAAAAAACATTTATTACATAATCATTTTGTTTTCAATATGATTTCTAGCCACTTGTTTATAAATGTTTTTTAGCTGGTGCGGCGAGGAAAAACGATGGAGAATGCCATTTAGACGACGATGGTTACTACGCTGACTCTGTAATATACGACTATCCTTCTATAGAACAAGTCTACAGACTTTTAGATAAGCACAAGGTAAGGCGTGTTTGCAGAGATTGCGGTTAATATAAACACATTCTTGCTATATTTGCTCGCGAATTTGCGACTAATCGTCTAAATATTTTTAGGTCAACGTTATTTTTGCGGTAACCGACAGCGTTAAGTCGTACTACGATAATCTCCATCAACTTTTGGAGGACTTCACTTACGTCGCCAAATTGGAAAGCGACAGTTCGAATATACTGAAGCTGGTGAAAATGGGTTACGAAGATATCGTCAGTGTGGTAGACTTTGAAGATGACTCTAGTTCAGGACCTGTGAAGGTACATTACTTCACGGATTGTGGAGTGATTGGCGGCTCAATGATGGAAACCACTCGGTGTACTGGAGTCGAGTATGGAATGACGTTAAATTATGAAGCTCACTTAAGCTTGGACTCCTGTCCGGAATATAAGAAGGTAAAAATAATCGAAGTTTTAAGTGAACCGACGGCATTTATAAATAAAAACCTGCATTATTACCTACTTACCACACGCCCTTGAGTTAGTTAACTCTAATCACGCATCTTTCTACCTACGACATTTAGGTACCTACCTTTTGCAAGTTTCGCTAACGCTGTGGAAAATTTCCCAAATCTGAAATTGGAATTAAGTTTTTCAGATTTTAGTAACTGTATGTAAGAAAAACATACAACAAATCTTACGTAACTTAGCATAAAGTAGATATCTGAATTCTTAACATAATCTTGCCACTTTCCACTTATCTTGGCCTTTTCAGTTACTGAAATGAAGCAAATGTAGAGTCACCTCAAAAAATGTAGTACAATTTTTCAGATGACCCAAACAATCCGCGTAGCAGAAAGCCAGCTGGGCCAGGACGCCCTCACGATAGAGGTGGAGCTACAGTGCGGCTGTGACTGCGAGGGCGACCTCGTCAAAGACATGGGCCTGAACTGTCCCATCAACTCGCATCTGGTTTGCGGGGTGTGCCAGTGCAATAAGGGATGGTGGGTAGAGTCAAAGAGCGTTTTACTAATATTTAGACATAGCGGAAAGCTAGCTAAGCCAGGACCCCCTCACGCTAGAGGTACTTTTTGGCTATGACTCCGATGGTGACCTCGTCAAGGACATGTCCCTGAACTGTCCCATCAACTCGCATCTGGTTTGCGGGGTGTGCCAGTGCAATAAGGGATGGTGGGTAAAGTCAAAGAGCATTTTACTAATAATTTAGACATAACGGAAAACTAGCTAGGTCAGGACCCCCTCACGCTAGAGGTACTGTTTGGCTATGACTCCGACGGTGACCTCGTCAAGGACATGTCCCTGAACTGTCCCATCAACTCGCATCTGGTTTGCGGGGTGTGCCAGTGCAATAAGGGATGGTGGGTAGAGTCAAAGAGCATTTTACTAATATTTAGACATAGCGGAAAGCTAGCTAGGCCAGGACCCCCTCACGCTAGAGATACTGTGTGTGTGGCCATGACTGCGACGGTAACCTCGTCAAGGACATGGCCCTGAACTGTCCTGCCAACTCGTACCTGCTGTGTGGGATGTGCCAGTGCAATAAGGGATCATAGTTGTCATCCCGGAGACAGCCATGAAGGGAACTGCTGGGAATAATCGATAAAGGTTATTCCTAAGTACGTTAAAGTATGTAGTAGGCAATCAACCTAATCGGCGTTTTTGCTAAGAGTAAATTGTTCGATGTTGTCTTTGATTAGAGTTAACTTAATGCAAAAATGATTGGATGATTATTGCAATGTCATTTATGATCTAAGTAATTGTTATAAATTATGCCTATTACCTAGGTATAATCAAAACAACTAACTATCCAGACATTTGGTACCATTTGTCATGTATCATGCAATCTCTTTCTTCATTAATCGGCCATTCTCAGATGAGCTAGTTTTTGCGTGTCCGGGCTGTTAAATCGTTAAAAATGACAAATTAGAGACATGCAAGTATTTTTATATGTTACTTAACAACCCCATCCAGTTGTGCATTAAATCATAGGCCTCTATTTTAAGTATTTGTGACTTAATTAATTTCATGAACCTCTGTTCTCTAATTACCGTTACGCGTCCGCACACCGACTTAATGTTAAAACTTGGCTGTAATTTTTATGTCGTACTAGCTTTCCGCCCGCGGCTTCGCCCGCGTGGATTTTTGTCTGTCACAGAAAAACTTTATCGCGCGCGTCCCTGTTTCAAAAACCGGGATAAAAACTATCCTATGTTCTTTCCCGGGACTCAAACTATCTCTATGCCAAATTTCATCAAAATCGGTTGCGAGGTTTAAGCGGGAAAGCGTAACAGACAGACAGACAGACAGACAGACAGACAGACAGACAGACAGACAGACAGAGTTACTTTCGCATTTATAATATTAGTTGGGATAGATTTGGTTTACTCCATTCAACATTTTAAAGAGTACAAAAGATTGTCTTACGCATAGCAAAATATCTATTCAATAGAACCATTCTGTAAATAATTAGAATTAAAAAACTGCTTGTCCGAGCGAAAGTCCTAATTCCCGTGACGTTTTCTGTTTTTGGGCACACAAGCCTAAATAATAATATTTGACACATCATTTACGCGCGCGGCGCGAGCCCTTAGTTAGTTCTAAGACCTGTTAGCAAGTAGACGTCTATTGCGTTGGCGTACCGTCGATGAATTGCGTAAGAGTATAATTACCATATCTTTGGTTTTCAATTTTTCTATTTACCATGTCCTTATTTTTATACTCGATTTTTGAAGGTAGATCCACGTTGTTAATTTAAATAGATTCAGTACTTTAGCCTTCATACGTTGTAGAAAGACAGTATTTGCATACGCTGAAGATTTTGGAAATTTTGAAGAAAAACTATCGTTTTATAATTTCCATGTACTAATTACAGTATATTTATAATCACCGTTGTATGAAATTATTACCTACAAATTGCACTCACGATTGAATACGTATGATGATAAAATATGAAATATATCTAGACTTTCGCATAAAAACTGTACGGACTTTTCTTCCAATCTTAGAATCAAAATTTTAAAAAACTTTCGTTAGAGTAACCTCGAAATAGATTCAATTTCATGACGGATGTTCAGCTTCAGTTGCTGCATGGTTTTTGGATTTAAGAGTATATTTTAACCCCTAAGGTGACCCCACAAAAAGAAGTTACCTGGAGTGAAATCGGGGCTTTCTGATGGCCAGGAGATGTCACCCCTGCATGAAATATGTCTCGTACCTGGACGCTGGTAGGGCAAAAAAAGAATGAGACATGTATAGGCTCCTTAAGAGCATTTGACGATTTGCAAGAACTAATTTAATTAGTCTAAACAAATAAAGATAATTTTGATTTTGATTTTACCATATATTTATTTTTACTATTAGTATAATTGATATTAACATCTTAAATCATTAATTAATTTTAATATAATACCATTAACATCTATCCATAATACCTTTGCCCTAAGAAGATGAAATTTTCCAACAGTTACACTTACCTGGCGTGATCACATTAAGAACAAAAGAGAACAAATCAACAGACAATGGGACTTTTCAAGGCATTAGTGTATAGGCACTTTGTACCATCCTAAACTGCATCCTACCTGCTTTGTTATGCATAGAAAAAACTTCGTGATATGCAATGGGTACTGGACAGAAGAAGCTTGGAGAACAAACTATATACAAATGGATCCTAAAACCCATGTAGACATGGCATCGACTTAGCCTTGCAAATGTAGAAATACTTTAACCTCTTACCTACGGGAGGCACCTATAGTTGCCAAGTCAAAAGTCACTTCTCAATACGGGTGGCTCTCTAATCATCTATTGTTATTTTGGCAAAGCCAATACTAAATCACGGTTTACGACAAAAAAACAATAAAATTGCAAATTAAGTGTAAAATGCGCTTGTAATTATGAAACTACATTAGTTGCAGAATATAATATTCCAAATTTCAATACCGTAAGTCTCATACTTTTTAAAATATCTTGATGTAAAGTGGAGCAAACAATTTTATAGGTTAAAATACCACGTATTGAGAGGCGACTTTAGGTTTCCAAGGGCCCGTAGGTAAAGGGTTAACGTTTTCAAAATAAAGGTTTAAAAATCTTGAGCTGTGCACCTTGGTTTACAAAGTCCAGTGAAGTGATACCAAACGTCAAAAAGGGTGTGGAAAATCCTGTAAAGCTTACAACCAAAGACTAGAGTCTAGTCTAGATTGCATGAAGGTCTAGTCACTAGACCTTCATGCAATCTATTTGCTGCATCCCTTCTAAATTCTAAGAATTCTGCATTTAGGCTCAGGAGAAAGCGAATAGCATCAATCTGAAAACTTATTGTAAAAGAATCGAGGTGACAAATCATGGGATATGCTGAGCTGGAACTGTCATTATTACAAATTCAATTTGATCTGATAATGGGTGATGGCTGATCGCAGATAGATTAAAAAGAGGAAAAATCACTTAAATCATTAATTAATTTTTCGATATATGCATATCTGAAAAATCAAATTTGTGAGATCTCCTGATCCAATATCTGTACGTTAAATCGTTTGTACCACATTGAAATCAAATAAATGATTATTAAGATTCTGATGAAATGTGACACGTAGCCCCATCTGGCCGAAACTAAGTGTTCCTGTTATAGCCTCAATTATTGCAGTATACTGAAAATATCTTGATACAATAAATAATAGAAATGAGTGTTTTCCTTTTTTCAAAGGGTTATTAAGTGTACCTACAGCGTTTTTTATGACGCTATATATTTATATACAAATTTATCAATGCAAGATATTATTTTCTTGCTATTTTACATATGTTTTCTAATTACCGTTAGATTCAGTATTAGCCTTATCTAATTACCATGCCCATAAAATTTTTGGGTCTCATTTACGCGAAAACCGCTTGGAATAATTTGACGCCTTAACGATTGTTAAATTCGTACTTTTCATGTGTTTCATATTTAAATGCGTTTAAGTCAATTAAGCCAAATTTCAAAAATGATATGGTAATTAGGCTGAGAACGCCTAATCGTGAGAATGGCCGTAATAAATCTATTGGTTACTAGCGGCCGCCCGCGACTTCGTGCGCGTGGACCCCGTTTTACCCTTAGGGGTGAAGTTTCGAGTTTTTTAGGGTTTACCCGGAAATTATTCAAACTTTTCTCGCTGTAAAAACCATCCTTGGACTTCAACAAACATTTAAAAAAAAGAATTGGTAAAATTGGTCCAGGCGTTGTTGAGTTATGCGCTTACCAACACATTTTGCGATTCATTTTTATATTATAGAATTATGAATCTCTGAATTTATTTATTTCAGGTCAGGTCCACAATGTGACTGTTCCATCGAAGATGAAGAGGCATCAGCAGCATTAGTGGCGCAGTGCCGCGAGCCGAACGCAACTCGCTCGCTCGTGTGCTCAGGCGCAGGAGAATGCTTATGCGGCAAGTGCGACTGCGACCCAGGGTTCAACGGCCGCTTCTGTCACTGTAAGGCGTGCGAGAGGAGCAAGTAAGTATCAGAGTAAATGCTACACAGCGTATGTTGCTCTACTCCTTCTTTGAGTTAGTTTTAGTAGATGGCGCGAGCATCCTAAACTCAACTCGCTCGCGCGTGCGAGTACATTGTGTACTTCAACAAAATTAGGTCTTCCCAATGCATTTGGCAATCATGGGAATGTAGACCTAATTCTCCATTTGCCTCTGGTAAACAGAGATAGTCGTGTTCCCGTAGTAAACGGAATTATTCCAACCCCTCGTTCCCACTGCTGTAACTTCTGCTATAGCCAGGATCTACGCTTGACCGTCATTAAAAACCCAACCAATGAAGATCGAATCAAGTTTGTCCCGGAGGAAAGTTAAACTGTCATTGGATCCGCAATGAAATTAATCAGAAGAGTAGGTACCTCTAGGTTCCTGCAGTAGAGACTGCATCACTTGATGACATTTACAGAGAGAACGGCGTCGAGTGCGGCGGCGTAGGGCGCGGCACGTGCATCTGCGGGCAATGCGCTTGCGCCGAGGGCTGGGGCGGCGCCGCGTGCGACTGTCCCGACCGCACTGACTCCTGCGTCTCGCCTGCTAGCGACCTCATCTGCTCGGGGCACGGGGAGTGCGTCTGTGGTGAGTAAAATATTCTTTTTACGTTTAGATGGCATTTTGTTATCCTTTTTAAATAACCAAAAACATTGTTAGATTGTAGATTTAACTGTCAAGTACTCTCCCTCTTTTACATGGAGCCATATTTAACTATCATCTTGATTTCGTCGGTCTATGTACGACTAGGTATCAGGTAGGTAGGTACATTTTCCGACGTGGTCTCCAATTGAGAACGTTTTCTCCATCCTGAATAGGTTCTGGGACAGACAGCAAGGCCACTACAATTTTGCCCCTATGAGATCTTAGGCATTAATTTATTTTATAGTAGAACGACGTCGAATCAGTGTTCCAATCTTATTGTTGTATTCCTTATTTCAAACAAAGCTCCCATATATAGACTTCTTATAGCACTTTCCTTATTTCCCTGATCCCCAAGAAAAGTGTCGAAAATTACAAACGTTATTTTATTTAATCTTTTCTCGTTATTTAATGTTATTTTACAGGCAAATGTCAGTGCTCAGCTCGCAAGGACGAAGACGGCATCAAGTACACGGGAGCGTTCTGCGAGACTTGCGCCACGTGCGAGAACCCTCTCTGCGTGACCGCGGAGCCGTGTGTGGCCTGCCACCTCAACAGCAGCTGCTTGGACGTCTGCTCCATCGGCTCTGTCAACTACACAGTCACTGAGAGGCTCAATGAGCAAGGTAAGTCGTCATCATCATCAACAGCCCTTTACAGTCCACTACTGGACTATGAGCCTCCTCCACTAAAGTGGAGGGTTTTGCCATAATCCCCACGCTTGGCAGGCGGGTTGGAGATCGCAGTTTAAAAGATTGATGTTTGTCAGAGAGCGCTGCTACACGTTCTCTGTAACGTACTTAAGGTTAAAGTAAGCTCACTACTTGAAGAAGGTCTTTAGGAACTGCATTTTTTTTTGCAAGCCTCTTTTTAAATTAGTTTTGAGACAAAGAAGACTATAATGTAGAGCTATTTAGACTCGTAATGCCACTACTTCAAGTAGAGTCACTACTTGAAGAAGATCTTTAGTAACTGCATAGTTTTTTCAAGCGTCTTTTTCATTCCTTTCAAGACAAAGAATAATAGAGCCGTTTAGGTGCGTAATGCGATACGCCTGAAATTCACATGTCCAAATATAGACCATGACGGATCTTCTGTTTTATGATTTTTGGATTACATTTTACCACAAAGTTATTAAAAAAGAAAATCACGAGCTTTATAATACAGTTTACTTCTTCTAAAGAAAGCGAGGTGTGAGTAATGTAGGCTAATTACAATAACTAATTTAGCTGGCGGTTGTCATTACGGCTTGAGAGTGCGGTCGGCTAACGATATCATTATCTACCTTCTGCGCCTCATCGCCACTGCTCTTTGCGGTTTCGAATAGGCTAAAATACACTTTAATCTATTTTTGTTTTTGTTGTGGACAGACAGTTAGGTTACTGTTGGAAATGAAATGCATATCATTCTGTGGTTCAATATACATATATGTTATGCCGTCAACTTATTGAGCAATGCGCAACTAGACGCATGTTTTAAGGGTTGTCACACTGTCACATTGCTGTGCACTGGGTTCGGATCCTACAGAATATCGTGCTGATCTTTTCAACGTTTGATAAGGCATTAATTTCTTCCTCATTTCAGAGTTACTAACATCCGGCGAGATCTCATGCATCCTCCGCCGGGACAAAGACAGTCAAGAGTGCGAGTACAAGTACACCTACACCGCCGCGACCAGTTCCATGGTTGCCATGGAGATCGTCATCAGATCCGTGGAGTGCTACCAGCCCACCAGTGCCCGGCTCATGACGAGTGCTTTAGTCATCATGGCCTGCGTCGTAGCTGCAGGATTAGTCGTCATTTTAGTAATAAAAAGTGGACAGATTGTATCGGATAGGAGAGCGTACGCGAAATTTGTGAAAGAAGCCCAGGAGAGCAGGAAGAATATGCAAGAACTGAATCCTTTGTACATTTCGCCGATCTCAGAGTTCAAGATGCCCGAAGCATATAATAGGGAGAAGAATGATTGAGTTCAACTTATTTTGACTATATGTAGTTACACTGTTGAACTGTTTTGTTCAATTGTTTGAAAGTTTCATGATGCCCTTTTAATAATAGCAACTAAGAAAGATTCGTAATAAATTGACGAGTATGTCGAGTATGACGAGACTTGTATGATGTTCAATTGTGCCATTAATTTAGAAACGAGCTGTCCATAGCAACACGTTATTAAAGTGCCCACTCATGCGCTGAGCTATGCAGCTTGATAATTCTGCATAATTAAATCTTACACATTTACAACTCTCTTCTAATATTGTTGTTAAATAAACATTCTGATTGTCCCTGCATCTTAATATTGTTATAGCACACGCTTTCTTTGCTGGCGCTAATTTGGTACTATTTTACCCAATCATCATCATCATCATTTCAGCCATAGAACGTCCACTGCCAAACATAGGCCTCCCCCAATGATTTCCACAATGGCCGGTTGGTGGCGGCCTGCATTCAGCGCCTACCCGCTACGAGGTCGTCGGTCCACCTTGCGGGTGGACGTCCTACGCTGCGCTACTTATTTTACTTGTAGTATTAGTAGGTTTAGTGCTTGTTATATTAACAGGCAGTATTCAGTTAGTTGTTGCATACCAATATTATTAAGTTTTATGTTTTCTTTTGCTTTGTTTTGCTTTTATTTGTACTTAATTTATTCAATAGTTTACAAAACCACGAGTAATGTGATAATTCAACTAATGTCTTCTATATAGTACAAACACTAGTCGCCTACATTAATATCCTCTTGTAAAGTACTTAATACTTTTAATAATAATATTTAGTTCCTCTATAATATTACTTAATACTTTTTATAATGTTTATCATAATTTATCTATCTGGAGTTAAAATAAAAAAAATATATTTAACGATTTCTTTTTATTTTCTAATATTCATAGTTTATACCATCATGGAAGTCTATATTTTAAAGGCACTTGTCTTGGTATGTACCTTTGTTAAACAAATCAAATAAAATTGATAAAATAACAATTGTAGGCATAATTTTTAAAGACTTAAAACTTATTTAATAGATTTCCTCATACAAATGGTAAAGTTTTATAACTTTTCGAGTCGGATTATTTTTGTTCGACTTCTTAGAGGTAACATCTTAAATAATTAAGTTAAGTATTATTTTGAAACCGTTTTTATATTGTGATATGATTTAATAAAGTTTATTTACCTTTACAATAAACACTGTCGTAATCTAAATGACTTTAAGGTTTCAAAATAATACCTACCTACTCAAAAGTTAGTATAAAATATTTATAAAATTCATATCACATTAACACTTATTCAAATATATTAAAACAACCGCTAAAAAACTCCAAAGGCCATATGACAGATCTAGAAACATTATTTTGTACTACCTCCCAAGACTTAATTTGTTACAAACATTTATACAAACACTAACATGTTTGGTTTATAGGTACCTATAATCTACTTATTTTACTTCGACTAAGCACTTTAACATTGCTTTGGAATGCATGTAACATAAACACATTTTTTCTCTACGTTGACTAATATCTTGAGCTATTTGTCTTAGAACTTATTCCCTTCTAAACAAATTCAAAACTATACACAATATTATTAGTTACAAATTGGAACAAAGAGTCATCGAAGTATACGAGTAACAGAGAAGACTAATCGATTATAATAACATTAAGGCCCCATGCTTTATTTTTAATAGTACCTACTTACTAGCTACGGTAAATCCCCATATTGTACAAATATATCTACTGACACCCATTACAAATGCGGATCCCATAATGTTAATTCGGGTTGTTTTATAAGTACCCAATTTGGAAATTCAGTCGATTTTAATTTCCTAGTGGAATGTTTTGGTGGTGGTTCCAGGTTCCACCGTGGTTTGTACAGCTAGCACCCGTTGGTGGATTGTTATCAGACTTGGCGGTCATGTCTCGCTGGTGGGACTAGGGTCATGGGGCGGGAGTCGAGTTTGACGGGTTCGGGCACCGGCGACAGCTCGGGCGTCGGTGGCTCGGGCGAGGCATGCGCGGGCGACGCGTCCGGCACCAGAATTCGGATCAGGTCGGCTATCACTTGCCATGGCACCAGCCTGGAAGGAGAAAAGTCATGAATCGATTTTAATCATAAATTGATACAAGCTTCTATTTTAAGTGGAGGGGAGATACCTGCATGGGGCCAACATATAGGGAAGAGCTGCGCCTTCACTTTAAGTTATGCAATAGTCAATAATAAGTACACCAGAAATAAAATTGCACCACCTAACTTTGACCGTATCTTTGACGATAACCGGTGCTTTTTGTATGGAGTTTGACAGATTTTTGACGTTTGTTAAAATTAGAATAAGATGGTGCCTGCCACTAGCTTTAATAATATTAATCAGCCCGTCACTATCATTCAATTTTCCTTAAGGAAACCTTTGTTCACAGCTAGCTAACGTGCGTTCGATTCGGTCCAAGATACAGAGGAAATGCTTAGTTTAAAATTCTTCGCTGCTGATGGCTTTAGTTAGGTAATATCATAACAAATAGCAGATGCTGAGTGTCCAGGTGCGTTATAAAAAGCCATTAATAATAATATTATGGCACGTGCAAGACATGTGTGTTTTGTATCTAATAACAAATTGTTAAGTATGTATCATCAGCGCCATTATAATTGTCGTGTTACATAATGATCTTACGTAACATGCTCATTAGAATTAAAATAGTTAAACTTCAGGCCTTTAAAAGCTCTTATATGCGACCCAAACATAACTCTATCAATGCTTTAGAACATAATGTAGGCTGCCAAGAAGAAGTAGCGCATAAAACCTAATTAATGTTTTTCAAACTTCAAAAAAGGCTTTAGCATCGTATCGTGTTACTTATATAAAGCATAGCAGTTGGTATTTCCGAAAGTTATTAATGTTTGCAGAGATGATGATAATAATAGCTGTTAGATTATGATTTATGACTTATATCGTGTTGAGGTCGTTTGTAGGTACTTAAAGTTATACCTACTTATTTACGCAACTGTACAACAAGTAGCTACTGTATGTAATGATGTTTACTTACCATTTAAAGGGCAGTAGCACCCTTAGGAAACCAGGTATGACTGCGAAAGGCTCGTTGGTGCGGATGGCAAGTATCACCCGGTCGGCCACGTCGTTTGAGCTCAGCTGAGGTAGAAACCTGGAAGAAGGATAAATATGGGTCTTTACAAATTTAAATTAAGTAAATATGAGTATATCTCACACATAAATGGGCGTGATGGGAACAAATTCAATATCATGTGAAAGCAAGTATTCACACGTTTGAATATTCTACCACACCGCTTTTGGCAAAATTACTTTCAAAATGTGGTCTGCTAGGCTTGGTTTTAAACTACCTAAACACAACAAGTTCGTGCTGTAGATTTGTGATATTGTTAGCGCACTAACTTCATGAAGTCATATATATGATCTTAACGACTGTTATAGCATATGTCTAGCTTACCTTGAGTTAACATCGTCGAACATCCCCGTAGACCTGATGAAGAATGGGCAGATGAGCGATGTTCTGACTCCCTTGATGCCTTTGGATTCGAGCTCTAGCTTGAGAGACTCGTCGAAGCCACAGGCGGCGGCCTTGGAGGAACAGTAGTCCACCAGTTTGGCCACTCCTACGTAGCCGGCCATGGATGCGATGGTGACGATGTGCCCGTCGTTGTTCAGAATCATTGATGGCAGGAACGCCTTTACGGTCTGGAATGGTTGATTTGATGGATTAAGATGTGCAGATTTTTTAACTTTCAAAATAGTTTAAAAGTTTATAAGTTTGGCACAAGTCGTAGCATAACCTTAGTTCAGCCCAAAAGTGTTAGTTAGGTAAGTAGAGCTTTTTCCTAGGGCTTGTCATAGAACTTTATTTGGTTGGATTATTGAAATATTTTGAAAATAGCCATTCTTAAGTATTTCGGTTTTTTCATTATTTTCGTCCACTGAACTAATCCAATTTCCAAAATCGCTGTTTGTTTTGGTTGGATCATTGAGATATTTTTAGAAGCAGGTTATTACGGACTCTTTCTCCATTTTCATTGACTAAACTTTGAACCAATGATTTCCTTATCACTCTCGACTCCCAGAAAAAGCCTCGTGAACGTGTTTAAGAAGCAATGTACTTCTAACTCACCCAAAAATGAGCCAAGACGTTGACATCGAAAGTCCTCTGGATGAGGTGGTCCGGCGTGTCCAGCAAGTAGCGGCCGGAGACGACGCCCGCGTTGTTCACCAGCAGGGTCACCTGGAATCAATTAGTGTGGTGTTATTAAAAGACTAGATCATAATTAAAATTTCTTAGCGATTAGAGTCGCTTTTCAAACTAAATTTTAAATAAACAACTTGATAAAATGAAGAAGAAAATGGAAGAGCAGTCGCCCGGCAAGCGAAAGGTCGTGGGTTCAATTCCCGCCTTAGGGAGTTCGATTTTTTCAAGTTGTTTATTTAAGACTAGATCATAGTGATATGCTATGGGAAGAATAGATTTTGGATGGTATAGTTATCATACATTAGGTTGAAAATTAAGTAAATAGGCCATCGTGGTCAATTAATGGAAAAGCTCAATAAGCTATTAATAACTAAGATTTTGCCCGTATGAATAGCTTAATAGAATACTTCATCAACCTAACATATCATGGATAATACGCATTATTTGAAATCGCGTCTTGTAGTTTTTGAGTATAAGTCGTGACAAACATACAATACAGAAATATAATCTACTATTTATAATATTAGTAGGTACGAGTATGATAGACGCCAATCGGAGGACTGATTAATCATTTAGGTAGGTAGGTACAAATCGCATTGCAAATTGCAACAGATTTAGGCATGCGTTAAGTCTAGGTACAAACGACAAACAGCACATCAAACTATACATGTTTATTGCAATATAGCACCTATTACAATGCCATAAGAGACCTCAGTGTTTAGCTTGCGGTGCTGTTGTCTCTACCTGTGTTACGCCCGTATTCACAAACGATGCTCACTTAAATGAAGCAGCAAATCGAACGCACAGCGTTGAATAGAGCTCTTTGATTGGTTCGTGTGTCACCCTATGCGTCCACGTGCTCTGTGAGACCTCACAGTAGTCAGTAATGTTTGTGAATACGGGCGTACCTAGGTATGACTTCGTGGACGCGCATAATTTGTTTTGACTCATAGCGGGAACAATAACCATTGTCATGGTTAGGTATCATTTCGAGCTTGACACATTGTTTGGGACTACCTCACGCATATCGAAGGAGGATAAAAGATTCAAGAATGTTATTACCTTTACAACAATGTTTGTAACAGTCATTAACAACACAAGTAATACTTAGGTCACTAAAAACACATAATCTGCTAACTAATAAATAACACTTAGTTGCAATTTATGTTATGAATCTTGATACGTACCTAATGTAACTAAGTAGGTACCTACACAATAACAAAACCTACTTGTAGGTATGTTGTTTTAAATAAAGGTATATAATGGAATTCTATTTTTATTTTCATAATTTTATTGAATCTTAGCTTAATTAAGGCGCAGCCAAAGCAAGGAAGTCTAGAAAGCTGAAAATTAGTAGGAAATATTTAATTAATTAAGAGTTTTAATTAAGATAAAATAATTTAACTTTTTTGATGTGAGGAAAATCTTAAAATTATTTTTCATATTGAATATTAAGTAAACAAAATGGAGTTTTTTTGCAACAGATTAAACCAGATCTCAATAATAATCATCATTGGTACTTCTTGCTTTTACCATCATCATTTCAGTCATAGGACGTCTACTGCTGAACATTATAGGCCTTCCCAATGATTTCCACAATGGCTGGTTGGTGACGGATCTAAATAATATTGCCAATTATTATTTTGCCTTATTTGCTTATGTATTAAGAATATTATGTAAACCAAGCTTTTAATCGATAAAAACTTAATACTGTTAATTTTTATTACATTTCGCATGGCAGTTCTTTTTTTATAGTAGTGGTGAAACGCAATGGACGCGCCATTCTATGTTGGGCAACGTTTTCCCGCATTGACTGACCTTCATGAGTTGGTAAATCACGTCACAATGACCCTGAATTTCAGCTTGATAACAAACTTTTACTAAAAAATCCTGGAGATACTCATCTCTTCAATATGTAGCAAGCACTTAGGTAGGTAATGATATCTACTTAAGTGCTAACATACTTAGGAAATGCACATACATGCATCCGTCTAAATATTGTAGCATATTGTGTAGTTGTGACAGGTGCTTAAATAAGAGTTTAACTAAGTAAAGTCAACGTCAAATAGTGCGTGACACCCAAAGTAGCCAAAAAGTTCGCAATACGCAATACGTTTACTTTGTGTTATGCACTTTTTGTCAACGCACTTTTTAACAACGACTGTACCTAACTAACTTATGGTAATTTATAAAAATGTATGAAATCATCATCTGCATACATCCGCAACATCAAATGCTAATTTAAATATTTTCCAATAAACTGATGCTTAATGTGTCTGCAGTTTACGTATTGAATCACAAGTTATATTTATCGTTATATTGTTATATTTAAAAGGCATACTTAGTGAAAGGTGGAAGAGAAATTTTGGACTCCTTTCTCTCATTTTACAAAATTCGCAAGGGACATACTGGCACGGTAATTTATTACAGTTAAAAGATCCGGATCAATGACCAAAATGACGCGGCCAGTTTTATGTAAATAACATCTTAAAATTGTTAACGATTGGCTTCTGATAATTTCAAAACAATTAAAAGTAAAGGTTAGTCGTAATCGTCAAAAGTTTTGAAGTTCGTTATTAAAACAACCAATCGATTTGAAGAAACTCGTTTTTCCCTTTAACTTCAAAATAGAGCATGTCAATTACAACTTGTGATATTCTTCGTATCGTTTGTTTTGTGTAAGGTGCTTAAACAGTTGATAGAACAATAAATTGAATAGTCGAATGACTATATGTGTAGTACTAACCCTGCCGACTTCTTGTTCCACCTGCTTGGCAACCCTGTAGATGTCCTCCTTCTTGGCCAAGTCGACCACGTACCCGTAGCACTTGCCGCCGATGCCGTTCACCAGCTTTACTGTGTCTTCCAACCCTGTAACAATTGACGTTCTAGTAAAATATCATCATCAGGTCCCTTAGTCTCCATTGCAGGAAGACGATACTCTGTAATTTAACCAGAGCCTTTGACCTACGCAGCTCCCCAAGCACTATGGCCATATGGCATAGCGACACTATGGACGAGTTTGAGAGCCTTAATATTCGTTTTCTCCCTCAGTCACCTCGTACTATATCCAAAGGTAGAGTGGGGTATTAGGGGTGGTGTTATTTTAATGTACCTATTAGTAGTATTCAATAGTTCTACTAATTAATACTACGATGAGGTACGATACTTTGGGTAAGTTCAAAGACCGATAAGCATACCCAAATGACACTCGTATAGCAATGACATCAACTGTCGTAAACACGTTTTCACATATGCAAAGATATGTTATTCATTACGGTAGAAAACGATTTCGAAGTCTGTGACTTTTTCGTTATAGCCAGTGCAGATAACGACACCAACGTAGAGGTATACCTAACTGAATTTTGACAAACAGACAAAATCACATTATCAATAGATCATCTCTAGTAAAGAGTTACAAATCTCGAGCAATGTCTATCAACCCCACCCTTTGAAACTAACTATCTATATCCTACACATCAAAATTAAAAATCCGATATCTCATCCTACCTAACTCGAGAATCGCTTGTTGTGTTGTGAATGACAGACAACAGCCCAAAATAAATTCGTTCTTATTAAATTTTTTGAATTAACTTAAATATAATTATGCTTCGGTCCTTTTTTCGTTGTTTTTTTAATGACATTTTTTCAAACGGTCGCGCAAGAGTCAAACCCGCAACCTTTCACCTTGCGATCAATCTTAGCTTTCGCTGTGAATTAACGCGTTGACAGTAATAATGATTGTGCAATTTAATTTATCAACATAAATGTTATGTAAGTTTTAAATTGATGATTGAAAAGTCCCCATTATACATACTTTACTTTGAGCTTTTTCTCAAATTTCATTGTTGACTAATTTTAATTTAACAACCTGCATCCTGCATGTCAAATCTTAAAAACTTCAAAAACATCCGGATCTGAGTGGTGTGAAATGTGAGACAAGTCTTTTGTTTGGAATTTCGAATCAGTCTGTTAGGTTTATCTCACTACGAGTAGTTACTAGGTATTATAGTAGCCAATGATACCTACATAATACTTTATAATGAACTTTATTTATCTACTAAATAATTTAAATTTAAACTCTCTCTTCATTGACATGTTTATTAATAAAAAATATGACGTCTAATATGTTGCTTTTTTCATTTTATATCTAAATATTCATTTTTTGTATGATGACGTTTAATAATTAAATTAAGTGGAAAACCCTAGGAAAACTTTGGATAAACTAGCAGTCATAAAAACAATGTTGTTGTTTATGTTGTTCCTGTCTTTAAAATATAAAAATAAAATTCTTGTTTGGTTAATCATTGGTATAGATTATTCTGGGCTCGAAGTGTGGCAAAACAAAAACTGGTTTGACAGAAAAAAACTTACCAACTACCTAAGTAGGTACGTAACTTTGCTATTATTAGAGAGAGCGGATAATATTTGCTAGTACTTCATTCTTTATTTAGTCACGATAGTTTTTGGCAGATACATATTTTTGTCTAATGATGCAGTACCTACTTTACTTATCACTCGATGATTTAATAACTTGGCTTGTTAATGAAAAAAGAAAATAATTGTTGTTGTTTCACAAGGTTCAATGCCTCATACCTATTTGATGACAGTGTCTTACCTAAAATAAATATTAGTGCAAAAGTAGTAATATCAGTAGCAATTTAAAGGTTATCAACCTCACCGACCATAAGATACGAATAACAGCACAAACAATATGGCATTTATGCAGTTGCAATACGTGCTATTTTACGAAGCTGTAGTCTGAGGCGTCGCGTTGGCGACTGTAACAATTAATCATCAGTATTTTTTTTTCTGGCCAGTTTCCCTATTAAACTTGTCGCGCGCTCTATTTAATCTGTAGACCTTATGTTATACACTGCAACTTGATTTTCATGTCTCATCCCTCTCATCTTGGAATGAATGATAGAGACAGACATAGCCAAAAACACGAACGTCCTCATACAGACACAAGCCGCGGGCACCCGAGATGCTTTCTATAGAACCTGATACCACTGCCCATTAAGACTCGGCCCGTTATAAGCTTTTTTTGTATGATTTTGACCGCGAAATAGCCTGAGGGCTACACACCAAGGAAGTTATAATTTAAAATAATGACATGAATTTTGAATCCTTTTCGCGACACGCTAATTGTAAAAGTTAAAACAGCGACGTTTTTTTTTAAATTGGAAAGCAATATACGAATGCCAAGGCAATTTTATTTGCATAAATCAATGGCAATAAAGTTTTATTATTTTGATTTTAGTTACAAAAAATACCGGTAAGATATTTTTTTAGAGATCCGGCACCATTATTGTAGAAAGTTCTAGTTAGTACCTTGGTAGAGTCCACTGACATAATAATATTCCTTTTCAAACAGTTTCTGATATAATACACATTTAATTCGTATAAATATGTAGAGTTGCTGAACGTTTTATTAGTGTTTTTTGGGTGTTACAAAGGAGCGTAGCCCCTCGAGTACAATTTGTAGAAAGTAACGGTGCCAGCCAAAAGTTCCGATTGCACCGCCGCCTCCGAAGCTGGTTGGCAGAATATATTTTGGCCATAACCTTAATTTTTTTTTTAATCATCATCATCATCATCATTTCAGCCACAGGACGTCCACTGCTGAACATAGGCCTCCCCCAATGACTTCCACATCGCACGGTTGGTAGCGGCCTGCATCCAGCGCCTTCCCGCTACCTTTATCAGGTCATCGGTCCATCTTGTGGGTGGACGTCCTACACTGCGTTTTCCGGTACGTGGCCTCCATTCCAGAACCCTGCTGCCCCATCGGCCTTAAGCATTTTTTTTAATAGTAAAGGTTAAATTGATTAGTTAAATCAAGCTATATTCAGGAATTAAACATGTATTTTATGATACAAAATTACAAATCCATTATATTAAATATTGATTGACGCATATCGAGTTGATCGACTGTAGATCTCAGGTATACTAATACAATATTTAAATGAGCAGAATTTTAGATAAAAAGCCTTTCAGCGTGGCATTATTGCTTATTTCTTGCCCGGGAACATACTTCTAACTATACTTAACTAATAGTTATCCAAAGATGTGCCAGTGTGAACAAATAAAACGTGCGATGCCGCAGGCGAAGCCAGTATAATGATATTCTCGCCAAGTGAATGTCAGGTGTCTGTCGGCGTTTGAACAACTGATCATCGTATTTCTAGTTAACGTACAGTCCACATCAATATTGAAATGACCATCTTACTGACAAAAAAGGCCGACTGGCACTGTCTCTCTATCATCTATGTCCTTACAGTCATTAATAACCAAATCTTTGATTGCGAAATTAAATAACGGTGAGATATCTAACATTTAATGCCTATTTCAGTAGATTTTTATCGCCTTTTGTTAATAAGATTGCCAAATCCTATCGGCGCCGACTGTACACGCATGTGTGTCAATGCCGCGATGCGCGCGCGCCGGTCCATGGCGGGAAATGCTTCCGTGTGTGGATAATTCTTTCGCAGCTGATTATTCTTGATGAGAGAAAGACGGGTAATTTTCTTATTAACATTGTAATGAAATTATGTGAGTTATTGTTATTATTGCTTTTGTGGGTTTATTACTTTCGGTTGTGGTGAGAAATGAGCCTTGCTGGGAAGAATGATATAGGCTTTGTAATATAAGAAAAAGTGATGACACAATGTCTGGTAAAGACAATGACACCGTTGATCTTTCTCTAAGGCATAAAGGCCGTGATTTTTCTAATGTGCTAAAATAGTTAAAAAGTATATGGGGACCTTTTTGCTGCTGCAACGCCGGCTAAGTAATTTTACCGATTATTTTATGCGCCTAGAGACGCATGACGCGGAGGGCCGACCCCAAATAAAATGGGAATGGACCAGGCAAAGAAGAAGAATTATTATTATTTATTTTTTTTACTGATTCTGTAATTTTGACTCTGTTTTTTTTATGTACTTATGTAATGTGTTTCTATGTGGCAACAGAATAAAAGTTTTCTATTCTATTCTAGTAATTTATACATTTTTGACTCTAATACAATCTTCAAAAAGTAAATACCAAATTATAGTTCAAACGCGGAAAATGTTAAACATACATGAATGCGATAATTTATGTTGCTCTATAGGTCTAATTATCCTATGGTAATTATGAACGCCATCATAAACGATAATAGACTAACAATAACACGAGACAAAGGATTAATTGAGCACACTAACACTCCAATTAAGATCCATAATCACGTGTTACAAAGATACGTGCATAATGCATCTGACTCGAGTCCCTAAACACCTTCTAAAGGCGACTAATGTTTATTTGATTAAAGAAAATTAAAGCAATCAAATAGTGATTAATCAACACTTAGCGGTCAGTTATATTATTATTGTATAATTTTATCTCTCAAATAAATCTGTATTCAAGTTGAAGAGAAATCTAAGTACACATAGGTAACTCGTTAATCTGATATTAATGCTAGATGTATTAAAAATAAACAACCTGGAAACATTATCTTCAGTTATACAATCGATTAGATGACAAATAGCTGGCATAGTTGGTACAAAATATTTTAAGCCATAAGATTTATATGAGAAATACTCGTAGTTCTCTTCTGATTAATTTCGTTGCGGGTCCAGTGACAGTTTAACTTTCCCCTTGGACAAACATGGCATTCACTGGTTGGGTTTTTATTGACGATCAAGCTGTTGATTTCGACTACTTACGAGTTTCAGCAATTTGAAAGAGAGGTGGGAATAAGTAGCCACTTTTTACCAAGTTCGTTACAGTGAAAAAAGAAAATGCTGTAATAAAAAAACTGTTTCCGATCCCATTTCCTAAAACTGAGATTCAAATTATAACGCGGTGTCAAGGTGAGCCGGATTCCGTGG